TCAATTGTTTCTAGAAATTTTATTAAAATTTTTAAAAAGAATTTAATTAATTGTTGACAATTCTTTAACATAATTATTTTAATAAATAATAAAATTTTTCGCTTGAATTATATTACTTTTAAAAGTGTTAATAAAATTCTTCGAAAGAATTCAATTAATTTCAAAAATATTGATACAATCCTTCTAAGGAATTAAATTAATTTCCAATTTCTTGATAAATACTTTACATGAATTCATTTTTATCAAAATTATTGAGAATAATTCAATTGTTTCTAGAAATGTTATTAAAATTTTTAAAAAGAATTGAATTTCTACTTTTTAATTGTTAGGTAAAAATTATTTATAAGAATTTGATTTTTTCATAAATAAAAAAATGTTTGGCAGGAATTCTATTATTTTTAAAAGTGTTAATAAAATTCTTCGATAGAATTCAATTAATTTCAAAAATTTGGATACAATCCTTCTAAGGAATTCAATTAATTTCCAATTTCTTGATAAATACTTTACTTGACTTCATTTTTATCAAAATTATTGAGAATAATTCAATTGTTTCTAGAAATTTCATAAAAATTTTTAAAAAGAATTGAATTTCTACAAAGAATTTAATTAATTGTTAAAAATTCTTTGTAAGAATTTGATTTTTTTTCATAAATAAAAAAATTTTTGTCAGGAATTCTATTATTTTTAAAAATGTTAATAAAATTCTTCGAAAGAATTCAATTAATTTAAAAAATTTGGATAAAATCCTTCTAAGGAATTCAATTAATTTCCAATTTTTTGATAATCACTTTACAGGAATAATTGAATTCTTCCGAAGCATTTTATTAAAATTTTGAAAATATAATTGCATTGTTTCGAGGAATTATTTTGAAAAATTTTGCAAATAATTGAATTTCGGCGAAGAATTTTATTAATTTTCTAAAATAATTAAATTCTAATGAATAAATTTATTAACATTTTTGAAAATAATTTAATTGTTTCCAGAAAATCAATTAAGGTATTAGTCGCGCTGCTGGCTCTGGCTAAAAATTTACCGGGCCGCTTACTAGAGTGGGGCAGTGAGAGTGAGAGAGATAGTTTAACTCCCCACTCTATTCGTTCGTATGAAAATTCATATAATTTAGTTATTTTTTTAACTTTCTGTCAATATATTTATAGTTTGGTGCGGTCAACAAATGTCATGTTTTTTCTATTCATTTGTTTCATCTAATAGAATACTTTGGTAGTTTTATTTCAAAATCCCGTGCAGAAATCGCCACTTTTGTTCCCGATTACCGCCCTGGCCCCGGTCGGGATTTCATGATCTGGCCCCGACTTCGTGGCCCCGACCAGGACCAGACCGGGTTTGCCCAAGGATCTACAAACAGCGCACAATGGGATTTTTTTTACAATTTACTGTTCAAAACTGTCTACAGCCTACAATTCTTAACCGGTTTCAGTATTCTTTATTTTAAATTAAAGGCGAATAAATTCTTAAGACATCCCTTAAGGTCAATTTTTTAGTTCTTAATTGTTTATAATTTTTATTTTCAATCAAAGTTAACAAATTAATACAATTTTTCAAAAAAGGAGGCTTATTTTCTTATTCCGTTGCTGCATATGATCTGAATCAGTTCAAATTAATACAATATGACCACCATATAATTAATAAAACAGAAAGTAATTTATATCAATTGTTATAAACAATATTAATTAACAAATAGTTAACTTTGATTTCTTTCCACTAAAAAATGTTTTTTTTACCTTTTCTTTTTAATTTAAGTTCATTTAAAGAATATTTGCCCTTTTTGATTATAAAATAACTTATTTAAATTGTTATAAACAATATTAATTAACAAATAGTTAACATTGATTCCTATTCCACTAAAAATTTTTTTTTCACATTTTCTTTTTAATTTAAGTCTATTTAAAGAATATTTGTCCTTTTTGATTAAAAAATAACTTATTTAAATTGTTATAAACAATATATTAAATAACAAATAGTTATGTAACTTATGCTCCTGTCCACCAAAAAAATTTTTTTTCACGTCTACTTTTTAATTTAAGTTCATTTTAAAAATATGTGTCCTTTTTGTTTAAAAAATAACTTATTTAAATGGTTACAAATAATATTAATTAACAAATAGTTAATTTTTGTTCCTTTCCACCAAAAATTTTTTTTTCACGTTTACTTTTTTATTTAGATAATGTTAAAAGACCACGGATATATAATATTAAATATTTAAATAAGTTATATTATAAGCAAAAAAGACATATATTCTTTAAAAGAACCTAAGTAAAAAAGAAAATTTGCAACAAAAATTTTCTGTTGGACAGGATCATAAGTTAACTATTTGTTAATTAATGTTGTTTATGACAATTGAAATATATTACTTTATGGGTTTTTAATTGTCTGCTGGTAATATTGGATTAATTTGAACTGATTTAGAGCATGTGCAGTAACGGAATAAGAAAATAAACGTCCGTTTTTAAAAAATTGTGTTAATTTGTTAACTTTGATTGAAATTTGAAAATAAAAATTATAAACAATTAAAAACTCAAAAATTGTCCTCGAGGGATGTCTTAAGAATTTATTCTCCTTTAATTTAAAACAATAGGACAAACGCACCAATTGTCGAAGGTGAACCATTTGTCGATGTTATCATGGTGATAACCAAAAATATTGCCTAAAATGTTAAATTTTTTTGTGGTTATAATATTAACATATTATTTTTGACATTTATAACTCTTAAAAACTCTTAATTGTTTTTCACACTTAAATTGAAATTCCATGTTTAAGGCAAAAAAATAAATTATTATTAATTAATAATTTTTAGTATTATTGTGAATTATTAATAATGAAAAAATTTTTATTATTTTAAAAAATAGTTAAATTATAAATAATATAGAATAAATAATTAAATTAACAATTTTTACCATATTATTATGATAAACATATTAATTTATATATATATATATATATATATATATATATATATATATATATATATATATATATATATAACATACATTTTTAATAATTTTTCTATAAATAAATATGATACAGTCAATTTATTATGATAACACTGTATATAACGGTCCCATGATTCAAAAGGAAGTTTAAGCGAGGTCGCTTCCAAGCTTGCGTGGCTATGCGGTATGTGTATTCGACTTGCGTCCTCGAGGTCTAGGGTTCGGTCCCCCGTGCGTGCGATATTTTTCCGTCTTAGTTTTAAGTGTTTTGTGTATAATTCTTAATAATGTTACATAAAGTATAGGTTTAAATAATTATTAACAATAATAATAATTATAAATAATTATTAATTTAAATAAGATAGTCTGTCTAAATTAATGAAAGAAAATAAGAAAAATATTTTTTTTAAAAACTTAGTCCAATAAAAGCAATTCTAATAACTATTTACATTTTTAATGACACTCATAAAAGTTTATTTACTACAAAAATATTAATAATAATCATTAATATTGAAGTAAATACTCCCCATTCTTTAATAATCAAATAACAAGCTTTAATATAATAAAATGCAGTCAGTATTGGAATTCTACCTGGGTAGCGAAAAGATCGGGGGAAATCCCATGGCCCCGACCGGGTCCCGACAGGGCGGCCAGATCGGGCAAAGTGCCATGGCCCCGGTCAAAATTTCTGCACGGGATCTGACGATTAGTTATCATATAAATAATTATTAAACAAAATTAATACATGCATTGGGTGCTTCCTCCATGCAAAATGTATGAACTTTGAATTCATTTTTTGAAGCTTTGAAACGGTCAAAATTAATGAAATTGGTCTCATTCTGTAGATAAATACTTCAGGAATAAGTATGCAAAATTTGAAAAAAATCTGACGAAAACCATTTTACGCGACTAATACCTTAAAATTGCATCGAAAATAATTGAATTATTAAAAATGAATTGTTAGAAGAATAAATTTAAATCTAGCGCGTACTTTTAAAATACTAACAGAATTTTATTCAAATTGTTAAAAATAATTAAATTTTTTGTAGAATTTTATTAAATGTTTTGAAAAATAATTGAATTCTTGCGAAGGATTTTATTAAAATTTTAGAAAATAATTGAATTGTTTCGATGAATTTAATTAAAATTCTTCTGAAATAATTAAATTAACAAGCTTTATCAAAATTGTTGATTTTCCCTCTGCTTATGAACTTTTTTTTTCTATTTTCAATTTTTATTTCTTTTCTAATCCTAAATTTTCTAATTCAAAAATTTTTTTTCAATCGTTTTATGAATTTTTTTCTCATTCAAAATTTTCATTAAATTAGAATTGCGAATTTTCTAATTCAAAAATTTTTTTTCAATCGTTTTATGAATTTTTTTCTCATTCAAAATTTTCATTAAATTAGAATTGTGAATTTTCTAATTCTAAAATTTATTTTCATTCTAATTCTAAATTATTTTCTGTATCCGAATCATATTTTGATTAAAAATACTATTTCTATTCTAATCCGAAATTTTCTGATTCAAAAATTTTTCTATTCTTCATTCTATTTTTCTAATTCCCGATTTTTGACTGATTAAAATTTCTATTTCGATTCTAATTCCAAGTTTTCTAATATCTAAATTCTAAATTTCTCTAAATTCTAACATCTGTTTTTTTTAACTTCAGTTCAAGTTTAAAATAAAAGATTAAAAAAAAAGTGCAGAAGAAAAATACGTCAAGGGAAAAAAAATTAAATTACAACAGAAATTTATAAAAAAACGGGAATTTCTATAAGTTGTAAAAGTCGATCGATGATTGCCGGGAGATAATGGAAGAAAAATGAACAACAAACAAGCGATTTAATATCAGAAAAGAAGAAGTCGAGGGACTTTAAATTAAATGAGTATTACTTAAAGAATAAGGGTTCACGCTAATCATCAGGTTCTTAAGAGTTGAGCAAAAAAGAAAAAGGCAAAAAAAAGAGAAAAGAGAGAAAAGAGAATGAAAAAGAAAGAAAGAAAAAGAAAGGCAACAGCAAAAGGATATGCTTGAAAATTGAGGAGTCTCAGAAGGGGACATGGAACTGAACGGCGACCCTGGTTGGAATGATCGAGTCGCACTCTTGACCGGCATTCAAGCAAGGTCACGACCTCAGGGGAGGTCTCCGACGACGAGCTTTACCTTCGGGGCAAAGCATCGCGCATGCGTACCACCTGCTCGCCCGGCGAAAGTATTTAAACAAGATCGCGGGCCTTTCAGAAGGCCACTATTCTTCGAACTGTCACGAATCGCGCAACTTCCTTTTTATTATCATTATTATTATTATTTATCATTTTTTTAAAATCGGCAAAAAAAATCAGGAGGTACCAAAAGAAAAGAAGGGGGGTAAAGAAAATTAGGAGCGTCCTTATCAGATCGGGAAGACTTCATCTCACGAATGCAATTTCGTTTCCTCTCTTCCTGTCCGGAGGACACGGACGCTCCCTTCCTAAACGCCTCTCACCGCAGCACTTTAATTACCTTCAACAGTGACCAGTGTTATTTGCCAGTTAAACTGACAGTGTCTGTCACTAAGTGTCGTTCTCCACTTAGAATCAACGCAAAAAAAACCACTCATCGTCAATGTTTGCCGCAAGCTCTTCAGAAACTTTTCAGGAAACTAGAATAGTTATTTCCTTTTTCTTTCATTTCTCGTGAGAATAAAAGTGTTTTCTTTTTCTGAAAAAAGATAGAACTAATCTGTGATAATTAGTTTTTTCCAACTCTTTTTTTTTAATACGAGAATTCATTAATATTAAGTAATTTTATTTTAAAATCAATTAAGTGCTTTTCTATTCGACAAATATTTAATACTCTAAGCAATTAATTGATTCATTAACATAAAATCAATATTAAATTAATATTAAATGTACTGAATTTATTGACCGAATTTTATTTATTTTATTTATTTTATCCATTTTATTAATCGAATTTTCTTAATTGATTTTCAAATTTCATTAATTAAATTTTGTGATAATTGCAAATTTTCAAGAAGATTGTAAAAAATTTGTCTTAATGTAAAATAATAGTGTGCATACCTCGAATGTCCTGAATTTATTTTTAAAAAGAAAATAAGAGAAAAGAAAGCCCTCTTTCTTTCCGCGAGTCAGTCATGGAGGAAATGGAAGTGCAACAAGAATTAGAGGACAAATTGGGAAATTTGTCATTTTCACCGCCGCCGATGAAAAAATCCGACACAAGGGATAGTATTTCGTCAATTGACAGTGATGTGAGTCTTTCCTTCGATCGTCGCGGTTCTAAGGGTGAAGAGGCCGATTTATCCGATAGCGGCAGTTCCGATTGCGACAGAAAAATCAGGAACGAGACGAATCTACAAAAAGCACAAAATAAAATTAGTGATCACGATTCTGGCGCTGATTCGTTTGACGATATTGTGCCCAGGGAATCGGAAAGTCAGGTGAGAGAAAAAAAAATTCTTAATACTAGAGAAAAATAAATTGTTCAATTGATTTGAAACTAAAAGTGAAAGAAAAAGGAAAATCTATATCAATAATCATTGTATTCCGGTAATCTGTTGTTGTTTGCTTTTTTGTTTCCTAACTTTTTTAATAATTTTTCTTTTCAAATATTTTCAATTTTAAAATTAATGTATTGAAAATCATTGAATTCTTGCGAAGAATTTTATCAAAAAATTTAAAAATAATTGAATTCTTGTGAAGAATTTTATTAAAATTATTATTATTATTATTATTATTAAATATTACATTTTATTCAAATTTTTAAAAATTATTTACAAATTATTTTCATAAATTATTATTCAATGATTTTCATAAATAATAAAATTTTTTACAGGGATTCAATTATTTTCATAAATACATAATAAAACTCATCGCAGACTTTCAATTACTTTCTATTTTTAATACAATTTTAATGCAACTCCTCAAAAAATGTAATTATTCTTAAAAATTTTATTAAAATTCAGCAAAGAAATTCAATTACTTTAAAAAATTTGGCTACAATTTATTTATTACAATTTAAGTATTATTTTCAATACATTTTTAATTAAATTTCTTCAAAAAATTGAATTATTTTTATAAATAATGAAATTCTTTGTAACAATAAAATATCTTTTTAAAAATAATTTTCATAAAATTCTTCGTAGAATATTAATTAATTTCAAAAATTTGGCAAAATTCAATTATTTTCAATGACTACTATTTCAATAGAATTTCATAAAAAAATCCAATTATTTAAAAAGAAATTTTAATAAAATTCGTCTCAAGAATTCAATTATTTCCAAAAGTATTATAATTCTTCGCAAAAATCCAATTATATTAAAAAATTTACAAAAATTCTCGTCTAAATTTCAATTATCTTTATAAAAAATAAAATTTCTCTCCGGAATTCAATTATTTTGAAAAATTATAATAAAATTCTTGACAAAATTGCCATTATTTACAATTTTCATCAAAATTCTCGAAAAATGAAATTATTCTTAAAAATTTTATTAAAATTTTTCAAGAGAATTAAATTATTAAAAATTTTGTTTGATAAACTTCTGTATGAAAATTCAATTTTAAGAAACATTTAATTATTTAATAAAATATTTATTTTTGTAGTTAAATAATTGAATTCTTGTAGAAATTTCTATTAAATATTGACTTAAAAATGAATTTTAGTTGAAAATTCTAGAAATGAATAATTAAAATGATGAAAATAATTTTTGAAGAAATTACAGTAACAAAGTAGCAAATTTTAATTATTATAAAACATGAAGAAAGCGATCACTCCGAGTCGAAGACCTGGAGTGGTCGATTTCTTCATGTTTTATATTAATATTCTTATAAGTTATTGAATTTCAAATTTTTGAAAATTTGAATTTCTATATGAAAAAATAATATTGATTAAATATTTTTTTTTAAATAAAATTATTAATATTTTTGAATAATTTTCGTAAAAAAAAATTTATTTTTTATCCTGGAAAACCTGGAAAAGTCAGGGAATTTGAAAAGAGCAAAAGCGTGGCAACCCTGTAAAAATTCTAATTAAATTCTTTTACAGAATTTCTTTGAATTTTTTTAAAATACATAGTGGAGTTTTTTTTAATAATTTTAATTGAAAATTTTTTAAATAATTGAATTTTTTAAACAATTTCTTTCAAGTTATTAAAATAATCATGTTTCTTAATAATTGAAATTAATCATTTTATTTGTTGAATTTTAATAACATTTTTAGAAAATAATAAAATTCTTCTTAGAATTTTATTACAATTTTCTAAAATAATTTAATTAATTCAAGGAATTTTATTAAAATATAGAAAATAATTGAATTCTTTCAAAGAAATTAAAGAACTTTTGTCATCTTTTTAAGATAATCGTGTCTGTTAATAATTATAATTGAATATTTAATTATTGAAGTTTATTAAAATTGAATTGAAAATAATTGAATTCCTGAGATGAATTTTATTAGTTATAAAAAATAATTTAATTCTTGCAATGAATAATTAAATTTTTGCATTGATTTTACTTTATAAAAAAAATAATTGATTTCTTTCGTGAAATTTGATTAAAATTTTTTTGAAAATATAAACAGTAATAATTAATTATGTACATACTTAATAAGAAGGCCGTAAATAAATAGAATAAAATAAAAAAAACAAAATAGAAAAAACCGCAAATAAGTTAGAAAAAAAATTTGGAAAATTATTCATTTTATACATTTTTTTGTCAAACTAAAATATATGGCCGAAAAAAATGTTATGTTCGTGTATATATTTAAATAAATAAATAATGAACTTAAAAGAAAAATCCATCTTGATATCCATTAGGAAAATAAAAAAGACAATTTCGTCGAAGTGATGGAAAAATTTTGATAGAAAGTCGCAGATAAAAGAAAATTGATACTCTCGATTGCTTTGATTCTGGCAATCACAATAAATTAACTAGAATTATGAAATGTTGCATAATTATAGCAGCGGAAATTGTTCCTACTTAAGCACTTATGCAAGAACAATGTATATTAAAAACGTCAGAAACGTTTAGAAACGGTTTTTTCCATTGTCATAGAACAATTTCCCCCCTGTTGAAATTACTATTCGATAATACGACACAGATACTTTCAAAGCCATCACACAATCGCAATTGGCAAAGAAGAAAAGAAAAGAAAGTCCATTGAAAATCAATTCGGAAAATAAAGGAAAATTATCATCAACTATATATTTACTAACTTAAAAAAATACCATCTTGAATTATTTTATTCTAATTTTTTCATTTTTACTCGATTCGTAACTATTTAGTAAAATTATTTTTCTACTCTTTAAAATTGAGAAAAAAAATAAAATTAAATGAAAAAGGTCGTGAAAAAAATATAGAAGTTAACATTAAATTAACTAAAATATTAAAAATAATATTAAAATTTTGAGTGACGAAAAAAAAAATTCCATATAAAAGCTGTTCCAGAATTAATTCATGCAATAAACGATCAATTATTTAACTCTTCGTATTAAATGAGGCTAATTTTTTTTCTTGAAAAAAGAAGGAAAAAATGCTTTGTAAAAAATTGAAATTACGGAATTGAGGCCTTGGATCCAATAACTCGCCCGACGCTCGAACGATTTCCCTATTGGTAGTCAAGACCGTCAAAATAACTAAAAAAGTAAAAGTCGGTAATTTTAATTTTAAAACATACTACCATATAGAGAATAAAAATGCGCAACTTTTTTTTCTTTGAAATTTTTTTGTAGGATTTTTATTTTTAATAATAATGGCCAAAAACTGAATATTTTTTATTCCGTAATTTCATTGAATTTTGGAACATAAATCGTCGTATCTCATACAAATCTGTATGAAATCAATTCAAATTTGGAATACTTACGCATTTGGATCTACCAACGACGATAAGTTGATTAAAATTTGAAAAAAATGTTATTGTTGAGTTATTTGTTAATGCAAATGTGGACCTGTCGGTAAGTGCGATTTCTCAACTTCAGTGAAATAAAGTCTGTGGGGAACTTTCGAGTTGAGAGAACTTCCAGTGACAAATTTGTTAATTAATATCTGAAGAAGTTTTCTGGAAATTTTCAAGCCATTTTGTTAACAATTTTAAGAGATATAATCCTTTTCCGAAAACGTAATTTGCACGTCAGCGCCGTACTCACAGCAGACAGCGCGCCGTGCATGACAACGTTTGGAACAAGTGGAATATTATACTGTCTTGTTTACAAATCTATCGATTTTTGAGGTTAAAAATCAGCCGGCTTTTTTAATTAGTGATTTTTTTATTATATTTATGTTTAAATGTGATTTTTATTGACATTTATACTGAAACAAATCTATTTTCAATTATGTTGAAAAATAATTCTACTGAAAAAGGTAGAAAAAGGTAATGGTAGTAATAAATAAATAAACACTGGAAAGTCAATTTAATTATATCATCAAAGTCACATATAAAAATATTAATGACTAATATTCCTCTATTGATTAATTTACATTTCTATTTGAGATACCGATAATAAAAACAATTAGTCGATTTCTCAGTGATTATCTACAAATTAAAAATAATAAATTTACCATATTTCTAGCTGCTTTCCTTTTGTTGTCTTTCCAAGCACTTTCATCTCTTGACCTTTTTCTACCTTTTTCAATAGAATTATTTTTCAACATAATTGAAAATAGATTTGTTTCAGTATAAATGTCAATAAAAATCACATTTAAACATAAATATAATAAAAAAATCACTAATTAAAAAAGCCGGCTGATTTTTAACCTCAAAAATCGATAGATTTGTAAACAAGACAGTATAATATTCCACTTGTTCCAAACGTTGTCATGCACGGCGCGCTGTCTGCTGTGAGTACGGCGCTGACGTGCAAATTACGTTTTCGGAAAAGGATTATATCTCTTAAAATTGTTAACAAAATGGCTTGAAAATTTCCAGAAAACTTCTTCAGATATTAATTAACAAATTTGTCACTGGAAGTTCTCTCAACTCGAAAGTTCCCCACAGACTTTATTTCACTGAAGTTGAGAAATCGCACTTACCGACAGGTCCACATTTGCATTAACAAATAACTCAACAATAACATTTTTTTCAAATTTTAATCAACTTATCGTCGTTGGTAGATCCAAATGCGTAAGTATTCCAAATTTGAATTGATTTCATACAGATTTGTATGAGATACGACGATTTATGTTCCAAAATTCAATGAAATTACGGAATAAAAAATATTCAGTTTTTGGCCATTATTATTAAAAATAAAAATCCTACAAAAAAATTTCAAAGAAAAAAAAGTTGCGCATTTTTATTCTCTATATGGTAGTATGTTTTAAAATTAAAATTACCGACTTTTACTTTTTTAGTTATTTTGACGGTCTTGACTACCAATAGGGAAATCGTTCGAGCGTCGGGCGAGTTATTGGATCCAAGGCCTCAATTTTTCTTAAATACTTATACCCGATAAGAAAAATCTATTTATGGCCGCAAATTGTATATTTTCATCTTGAAATCATTTGCGATGACGAATAGTATAATAAAATTGCTACATTTAATGTATGTCATTGATGAAAGTGCGATTCTCCATTCACAATAAACTATATACATAGTTGCAAATGAATTACGAGCTTAGCGAGGTGTAAAATACTTTAATTGTTCATTTAACAATTCTGCCATTTAAAAAGACTCGTGCAATAAAGATGTTAAAACATATTGCATAAATTACTTCTTTTTTCTTTTTTTTCCTCAAGTAAAAATTCTTGTAAACCATGTTCCAGTTAAATAATATATTATACAGAAACAATTTTACTCCCCGTTTGCCAATAAACTAATTTCAAATTTACTGTTCGTTCTTCATTATAATAATTATACAGGGTTGTCACGCGTTTCCTCTTTTCAAATTCCCTGACTTTTCCAGGTATTCCAGGTTAAAAAATGGAGTTTTTCCAGGTTTTTAATACGAAAATTATTCGAAAATATCAAAAACTTTATTTTTAAATAAATATTTAATCATTATTATTTTTTTATAGAAATTAAAATTTTCAAAAATTTGCAATTCAAAAACTTATAATAATTAAAATTTGCTACTTTGTTACTGTAATTTCTTATACGTATATTCATTTCTACAAATTTTAACTAAAATTCTTCTTTAGGTCAATTTTTGTCTTAATAATTTTTGAAAAAATTCTTTGACAATTTTCTAATTCTTTTGTTTACAATTTAATTTTATGAAATTTCGATTATTCTTACATTCCTCAATTAAATATATTAGAAATTAAAAACTTTAAATAATTAAAAAAAAATTCCATTAAATTTTTTGAAAAAAATTAATTCTACAGAATTTTTAATTAAAAGTATGAAAAGTTCAAATTTTCAAAGATTTTAATTTGAAACCTTTTGAAATTTCAATTATTTCTAAAAATCGACGCTATAATGCTTTCAATATTCAATTATCATCTAAAATTTTAACTAAAATTCATTTTTAAATCAATATTTAATAGAAAATTCTACGAGAATTCAATTATTTAACTACAAAAATAAATATTTTATTAAATAATTAAATGTTTCTTAAAATTAAATTTTCATAAAGAATTTTATCAACAAAATTTTGAAATAATTTAATTCTCTTGACAAATTTTGATAAAATTTTTAAGAATTTAATTTCATTTCTCGAGAAATTTAATGAAAATTGTAAATAATTGAAATTTTGTCAAGAATTTTATTATAATTTTTAAAAATAATTGAATTTCGAAGAGGAATTTTTTTTTTATAAAGATAATTGAAATTTTTATTAGAATTTTTGTAAATTTTTTTAACATAATTGGATTTTTGCGAAGAATTATAATACTTTTGGAAATAATTAAATTCTGGAGACGAATTTTATTAAAATTTCTTTTTAAATAATTGAATTCTTTTGTGAAATTTTATTGAAATAGTAGACATTGAAAATAATTGAATTTTGTCAAATTTTTTAAATTAATTAAATTTCTACGAAGAATTTTATGAAAATTATTTTAAAGAAAATGCTATTGTTACAAAAAATTTAATTATTTATGAAAATAATTCAATTTTTTTAAGAAATTTAATTAAAAATGTATTGTAAATAGTACTTAAATTGTAATAAATAAATTGAAGCAAAAGTTTTTAAAATAATTGAATTTCTTTGCTGAATTTTAATAAAATTTTTAAGAATAATTACATTTTTCGAGGAATTCCATTAAGGGCATTTGAACCATTATGACGACACAATTTTAAAACTCATGCTTTGCACATATTGTGATGTCATAATGGTTCAAATGCCCTTAAAATTGTATTAAAATGTAAAATAATTAAAAGTGTGCGATGAATTTTATTATTTATGAAAACAATTGAATAGTTGCTAAGACTTTTATTAAAATTTTCAAAAATAACTATTTTCCTGAGAAGAATTTTATTATTTATGAAAATATTTGAATTATTGTGAAAAATTTTATTAAAATGTTTAAAAAGAATTGGATTTTTGTGAAAAATTTTCTTATTTTTGAAAATAAATGGATTTTTGTGAAAAATTTTCTTATTTTTGAAAACAATTGGATTTTTGTGAAAAATTTTCTTATTTTTAAAAATAATTGGATTTTTGTGAAAAATTTTCTTATTTTTGAAAATAATTGAATACTTCATGAGAATTTTGTAAGCATTGTTTTAAATAATTAATTTTTTCCAAATATAATTAATATTATGAAAATTTTATTTTAAATAATTAAATTCTTATGGAAAACTTTATTTGTGGAAATAATTGAATTTTTCGATTAATTAATTAAAAATAATTGAAATTCTTCGATGACTTTTTATTATTTATGAAAATAATTGAATTCTTGATTAGAATTTTATCAAATTTTTTTTTTAAAACTTGAATTTCTATGAAAAATGTTAATTAGTAAAAGTAATTGAATTATTGAGAAGAATTGTATAAAAATTTTGTCAAATAATTGATTTTTTCGAAATCTTTTTGAAAATGCTAATCAAAATTAATTGAATTCTTGTGGAAATTTTATTATTTATGAAAGTAAATTAATTTTTGATGAGTTTTAACAATTTTTTTTTAAATCATTGAATTGTTTTGCGAAATTTTATGAAAATACTAGATATTGAAAATAATTGAATTTCGAATATTTTTTAAAAATAATTTTACTATTTTTTAAAATATTTGAATTCTTTCGAAGAATTATTAAAATTTTTGAAAATATATACAATTATAATAAATCGTGTACTTAATAAAGGAATTTTTTAAATTTTTGATTATGAAATTATTTAAAAATTTATATTTGAAATTAAATAAATTTTGTCATTTGCATAACAATTACAAATAGAACATCACGTTCAATGCGCTAGCGCGGGTAACATTTGCTAGTTAAAATATAAAATAAAAATTACAAAAATAAAAGCAATTATTATCAAAATAAAAATAAAAATAATAAATAATAATAATAATAATAATAATAAAGTGAATAATACCTTAATTCTGTTAACAGGTTGCGAAAGAGAAGGCAACAGCAACAGTCGCGGAAGATTTCGTTCCGCCTTGCGATGAATTGTCCGATAAGATTTGCGCACAGGTGGAATTTTACTTCTCCGACGAAAATATTGTTAAGGATGCATTTTTATTGAAGCACGTGAAACGAAATAAGGAAGGTTACGTGTCTCTAAAATTGATCTCTAGTTTTAAGAGGGTCAAACACCTTAGTCGTGATTGGAGAGTGGTGGGCGCTGCTTTGGCGAGGTCAAAAAAGCTCGAGGTAAACGAGCTCGGCACCAAGCTAAGAAGAATTGATCCATTGCCGCCTTTTGATCAGACAACACCATCGAGAACTGTTCTCGCCGCCCGTTTGCCATTGGAAAAATTGTCCGTCGAAGCTGTTGCGGAACTCTTCAAATCGTGCGGCGAAATTGCTTTGATCCGCGTTCTACGACCCGGCCATCCTGCGCCTGCTGAGGTAACTTCACTACAATTAGATATTAAACACAATTAGATAAGTACCAATTAATTAACCAATTAACTATCTTAATAATATTAATTAATATATCGTAAGTTTCCTTTCCGTTAGCAAATTCTGTGCATTCATTTGTTTGTTTTGAAAATTAATTTTTACATGGGTTATTGGCATTCTTTTTAATGTCAAAAAAACCGAAAAAAAATCGTTTTATTCACTTCACAAAATTGACAAAAATTCCATTCCATATTTTTTATTTTCCTGACATTTTCCTAATTTTCATCAAAAATATTTACTTTTTTCTTATCCTCCTAATAAATTGAATTCCTGCAACGAATTTTATTATTCATGAAAGAATTTAAAATATATTTATAAAAAATAATCTAATTCTTGCAAAGAATTTTATAAACATTTTTAAATAATTCATTTCTTTCGAATAATGTTCTGCAAATTCTAATTTAAATAATTGAATTCATGAAAATTTTTATTATTCATGAAAAGAATTGAATTCTTACGAAAATTTTTACAAAACATTTTTTAAATAATTGAATTCTGTTTGGAAATTTTTTGAAAATCGTAGATATTGAAAATCATTGAATTGCGAAAAGTTTTTAAAGATAATTAAATTTTACAAAGTATTCTATTAAAAAATTTGGCAATAATTGAATGTCTGTGGGAAATTTTATTAAATTTTTTTGAAAATAATTAAATTCCTAAAAAGCATTTAATTATTCATGAAAATAATTAAATTCTTTCGAAAGATTTATTAGAATTTTTTAAAATAAGGGAATTTCCAAGAAGAAATTTATTACTTTTAAAAATAATTGAATTATTGTGATGAATATTGTTATTTATGAAAATAATTGAATTTTGAAAAGAATTTTATTAAAATACCTCAAAATAATTGAATTTTCGGGAGTAATTTTCTTATTTATCGACATAATAATTGAATTCTTTCGAAAAAGTATTTGTGTAAATAATTGAATTCTTAGAAAAAATTTAATTAAAATTTAAAAAAATAATTAAATTATTTCAAAAAAATTTAATTAAAATTGTACTCAAAACAATTAATTTCTTTCGAACAATTTTATTAAATTTTTGAAAATAATTATTCAATCCTTCCAAAAAATATTAAAAAACATTTTTTTTAAATAATTGATTTTTTCAAGGAATTAAAATGAAGTTTTTAAGAATAATTAAATTTTTTGAGCAATTCCTGTAAAATTGTATTAAAAATAATTAAATTATTGCGGAAAAGTTTATTAAAATGTTTAAAAAGAATTAAATTTCTGTGAAAAATTTTATTATTTTTGAAAGTAATTGAATTCTTCATAAGAATTTTATGAACATTGTTTAAATTTTAAAATAATTAATTTTTTCGAAATATAATTATCTTTATAATTGAATAGCAAAATTCTTCGATAAAATTCAATTATTTTCAGGAATTTTGATAAAATTCATTGCAAAATTCAATTGTTTTCATAAATAATAGTATTCGTCACAAGATTTCAATAATTATTCTTAAAAGTAATAAAATTCAATTATTTTCAAAAAATTTAATAAAATTCATGACAAAATTTAATTTTTTTTCAAAAATTGTTCTTAATTTAATGATTTTTAAAATACTACTATATTTTAATAAAATTTCTCAAAAGAATTCAATTATTTCAAAACAATTTTGACAAAGTTCTCAACGAATAATCAATTATCTTCTAAAGTAATGAAAATTTCACAGGAATTCAATTATTAAAAATAGAATTCACATACATTGTTTCGAAAAAAATCAATTGTTGTAAACTTTTTTATAAAATTCTTCGCAATAATTCAATTATTTTCAGAAATAATAAAACTCATTGCAGAATTTCAATTATTTTTAATACAATTTTAATTAAATTCTCTGAAAAATGTAAAAAAACCGCTGCCAAGTTGTACATTTTTATAATTTTGGTGTTCATTTCATGAACACTTTGCTTCCTCATAAAAATAATAATAATTAAAATATAAGAATTACTTTTTATAAAAGGGTTAAAAATCATTAAATCTTGTTCTAAAAAATGTGTTTTTATATATTCTATAAGATGGTAATAATAGTTTAATAATTACACATAAATTAATAAACAAGAATGTTGAAAAAATGATATTTTCATGATCCACAAGTTTTGAACGTTCAAATGAACGAAAAACGAAATTAAAAACTTAAATTTTACACTTAGAAACTTTATAATGAATTTATTTTATATCGACACAAAATTATTGTAATAAATATTTAAATTAAAGAAGAAAATAAATAAATTTCGTTCATTTGAACGTTCAGAACTTTAGGATCATATATTTTCCACAATTTTTGATTTTTCAAATACCAATAATTTCATAATTTCTGCCCGAATCAGGTTCAAAAATAGGTCAATCGAAGCGTTTTTTAATGCTCTTCAAGTTGGTGATAATTTTTTGAAGTTACTTTTACATAATTTAAAAAAATTTTTATAAAAGTCTTATTTTTCAAAATTTTAGATTTTTAAAAGTTTAATATCTCCGGTTAATATGGACGAAAAATGTTCAATTGGGGCTCAAAAGATGCGTCTGAAAAAACTCTACATAATTAAATACAAAACAGAACTAAACTTCTACATTTTTTAACAAAATTTTTAAAAAAGTCTTATTTTCAAAAATTTTTGATTTTTAAAAGTTTAATATCTCCGGTTAATATGGACGAAAAATGTTCAATTAGGGCTCAAAAGATGCGTGTGAAAAAACTCTACAAAACTAAAGAAAAAGATTTATAAGTGTCCTAACATTTTTTTAAGTTATGTCCAAAAAACGTTTTTTTACTAAATGAAAAATGCAAAAAAAAATAGTACAACATAGTAAAATATGTTAGTACACACACACATACACACACATCGGGACAAATTTTTAAAATCCGTTTTTTGGACTTCGGAGGTCAAAATACGTCGAAATTTTTTTTTATTTATTTCGAACATTTATACGGGGAGTTCCTGTGCATATATAAAGTACTAAAGTATTAGGCATAATAAGAAAAATTTATAAATATGTCAAAAAATGACAATCCAAAATTTTGCTAATACAAAGCTTCCTTTATGAGGAAGCAATTCTAAAAAATTTTATTAAAATTCGTCAAAAGAATTCAATTATTTAAAAATTTGTTTAAAATTCTTTATAAGAATTAAATTTTAAGAAACATTCAATTATTCAATAAATAATTTACTTTTGTATTTGAATAATTGAATTCTCGGAGAATTTTCTAATAAAAATTGATTTGAAAATTAATTTAATATAAAGTTTTAGATTTAACTTTGGAAAAGTTACTAATAATTGCAATTTTTAGAAATAATTAAATTTTGTAAAGGTTTCAAATTAAAATTTTTGAAAATTTGAATTTTTCATACTTTTAATTAAAAATTCTATTTTACTAATTTTTTCCAAAAAGCTTAATCGCATTAATTTTGTAAAGGTTTCAAATTAAAATTTTTGAAAATTTGAATTTTTCATACTTTTAATTAAAAATTCTATTTTACTAATTTTTTTCAAAAAGCTTAATCGCAATTTTTTAAAATTATTTCAAGTTTTTATTTCCTAATGTAGGTATGTTTAATTGAAGAATTTCCGAATAATGGAAAAATCGTTAAACTGAATTTGTAAACAAATGAATTTGAAAATTCTCAAAAGAACTTTATCATAAATTATTAGAATAATTATATTTAAATATTTTTGAAAATAATAATTGTATTGAAATTTTCATAAGTAAATGAACTTCAAACGGTTTCAATTTGAAATTTTATAAAATCTCAATGTTGAATGAATTTAATTAGAAATTTTAATGAACTTAGATTTTTGAAAAATTTTAATAATTCAAAATCTTTTAAAATAAGTTAAATTTGCCAATATGTATATTTAATTAATTATTAAAAATAATGGATTTATAGAAGAATTTTAGTTAAAAACACTAAAAAAAATTGAATTTTGAAGAAGTTACAAATGATTGCAGAAATTCAATTATTTTCAAAAGTAATAAAATTCTTATCACAAAATTCAATAATTATGTTCAAAATTTACAAAAAAATCTCGACAAAATCCTAATTATTATCTTTATAAATAAAAAAATTCTTATTCTTCAAAATTTAATTATTTTCAAAAATTTTAATAAAATTCTTGTCAAAATTTCAATTAGTTTCCAAAGTTTTCCTTATTTCAATGATTTTCAATATCTACTATTTTAATAATATTTTCCAAAAGAATTCAATTATTTAAAAACAATTTTAATAAAATTGTACGTAAACATTTAATTATTTTCATAAATAATTAATTTTCACATGAATTTTAATTTACAAATTTTTTATGAGTTTCTTCTCAATAATTCAATTATTTTCAGAAATAATAAAACTCATCGCAGAATTTCAATTATTTTTCATACAATTTTAATCAAATTCTTTGAAAAATGTAAAAATTCTAAAAAATTTTATTAAAATTCGTCAAAAGAATTCAATTATTTGAAAATTTGTTTAAAATTCTTTATAAGAATTAAATTTTAAGAAAAATTCATATATTCAATAAATAATTTACTTTTGTATTTAAATAATTATTGAATTCTCGTAGAATTTTCTAATAAAAATTGATTTGAAAGTGAATTTTAGCTTAAATTTTAGATAATAATAGAATATGAAAATAATTTTTTTTTTTAATCAGGAAAAAGTCATTGAAAAGAAAATTAAATTTTTGTGACAACCCTGTATGTGGATGGCCCCTATTTTCTAATTTTTATATTTTTGTTTTCTAATTTATTTTCGTATTATTATTCACTAAAATAATTAACTGATTAATAACTCAATACTGTTACAATTTTTTTATAATAATAATTAAGTAATGTTATTTTAAATGTTTTAGAAAAGATTTATACAAATATAATATATTTGTATAAATTAGTACCTATAAATCTTTTCTGAAAGGTTTAAATTTAATTGTTGTAAAAATTTGTCCATATTTGAAATATTTGTAATTAATTTTGGAATGAAAAATTTGTTGAAATGTGTGCAATAAATTAGTATTTGTTGGATTATTTTGTATGATTAGGTGCGACAGGCAATTGCAAAGAGACCAGATTTAGCATCGAGTGAAGAATGTGCAATGATTGAATTTATTGATTCGGCCTCAGCGAGAATGGCTCTGCAAATGCCTTTAGGTGAAGCAAAGATTTATGCTCTCCAACAGACAGCTGATAAGAAGAGGAAGCAACAATCGACGAAGAAGAATCCCGTAACGAGGGTCTCTCGCGAGGAGACTTATAATTCTTCAAGCTGCGCGAGCGGTTCTGAGAATGATGAAGGGAAATCGAGGCATCGCAGGCAAATTTACAATCATCCGGTTTATCATGTATTCACTGGTCATCCCTTTCAGCGTAAGAATATTATATTTTCAATTCAACTCACGCAATTATTTTCGACAAACACTTTCTATTTTTCCTCTATTTTCTAATTCTGTTTTGTACTTTTTCTCACTTTCCTTATTCTATTTTGTGTTTCTAAAATTTTCTTTCTATTTTCTAATTCACTTTTGTTTCTTTTATATTTTTCCTCTATTTTTTTTAAACATTTTTGTATTTCTTTCTAATTTTCTTCTTTTATGTAATTCACTTTTGTTTGCTAATATTTGGATAATTTTTTACATTTATGACACTAAAAGCTACTTCTTCAAGTTATTCAATTATTTTCCCAAAGAATAAAATTTTTCACGAGAATTCAATTATTTAAAAAAAATGAAATAAAATTCTTCGCAAAAATTCAATTATTTTCATAAATAATAAAATTTTTCACGAGAATTGAATTATTTAAAAAAAATTAAATAAAATTCTTCGCAAGAATTACATTATTTTCAAAAATAAGAAAATTTTTCACAAAAATTCAATTCTTTTTAAACATTTTAATAAAATTCTTCGCAAGAATTACATTATTTTCAAAAATAAGAAAATTTTTCACAAAAATTCAATTCTTTTTAAACATTTTAATAAAATTCTTCGCAAGAATTACATTATTTTCAAAAATAAGAAAATTTTTCACAAAAATTCAATTCTTTTTAAACATTTTAATAAAATTCTTCGCAAGAATTAAATTATTTTCATAAATAATAAAATTCTTCTCAATAATTCAATTATTTAAAAAAAATTGATTAATTCTTTAATTCTTTCTTAAATTCTTCACAAGAATTAAATTATTTTCCCAAATAATAAAATTTTTCACGAGAATTCAATGTATTTTAAAAAAAATGAAATAAAATTCTTCGCAAAAATTCAATTATTTTCATAAATAATAAAATTCTTTTCCAAAATTCAATTATTTTTTAAAAAATTGATAAATTCTTTAATGCCTCACAATTATTTGATTATTTTCCGAAATAATAAAATTTTTCACGAGAATTCAATTCTTTAAAAAGAATGAAATAATATTCTACGCAAGAATTCAATTATTTCCATAAATAATAAAATTCTTCTCATGAATTCAAATATTTAATTTTATTTTTCCCTGACTTTTCCCTGATTTCCAGACAAAATTTTCACTTTTTCCCTGACCCTAAAGAATGTTCTGATTCACTCTAAAAATTATTAAATACAAGTTCTAATAAAATCCTTCGTAAGAATTCAATTATTTTTACAAGTATACTAAAATTTCTAAAAAAAAATGCAATTATTCAAAAAAAATTTAAGAAAATTCATTTCAATAATTCAATTATTTTCATAAATAATAAATCGATTATTCGGTAATTCATTATTAAATCAATTTTTATTAGAAACTTCCAGAAGAATTCAATTATTTAAATTAAAAAATAAATTATTTTTTTTGAATAATTGAATGTTTTTTAAAATTGAATTCTCATAAAGAATTTTAAAAACAAAGTTTTAAATGATTCAATTCTTTTGACAAATTTTAATAAAATTTTTAAGAATAATTACATTTTTCGAGGAATTTGATTAATATTAATATTAATATTGTTTCAATAATAATTAAAATTCTGCGATAAGTTTTTTATTTATGAAAATAATTAAAATTTTCCTAAGAATTTTATTAAAATTTTTCTAAAGTAATTGAATTTCGGTAAAGAATTCTATTATTTAAAAAAATAATTGTATTCTTGAAAAGAACTTTGTTTAATTTTTTTTTAAAATAATTAAATTCTTGCAACGAATTTTATAAAAATCTTTTTAAATAATTGATATTTTTCGAAAAATTCTATGAAATTTTGTATTTTAAATAATTTAATTCCTGTGAAAATTTTATTTCTTACTTATCAATTATTAATAATAATTGCATTTTTCAAGGAATGTATTTAAAATTGTATTTAAAATATTTGAAATTCTGCGATGAAAATAATTGAATTCGTAAATGAAATTTTATTATTTATAAAAATAATTGAATCTTTTCGTAGAATTGTATCAACAAGTTTTTTCTATAATTAAATTTGTTGATAACATTTATGAAAATAGTAAATATTTAAAAACATTGAATTGCGAAAAACTTTTGAAAATAATTGATATGTTGCAAAGAATTTTATTTAAATTTTCGAAAATAATTGAATTTTTGGCGAAAAATTTTGCTATTTATAAAAATTATTGAATTCTTGACGAGATATTCATTAAAATTTATAAAAATAATTGAATTCGTGCAAAGTATTTTATTAAACTTTGTTTAAATAATTGAAATTTTGCCAAGAATTTAATTAAAATTTTTGACAATAATTGAATTCTTGAGAATAATTTTGATATTTATCAAAATAATTGAATTTTGGAAAAGAATTTCATTAAAAATCCTTAAAATAATTGATTTTATGGGGAGAATTTTGTTGGTTATCAAGATAATTGAATTCTTTTGCAGAATTATTAAAAAATTATTGAAAATAATTAATTTTCTGCGACGAAAAAAATAGGGGAAATTTTCAAAATAGGGTACGTTTAGGGGCCAAAATTAAAAAAGGGGACTTTTAGGGAAATAGGGGACAGACTGTGAAGCCTGCTCCCCTTAAAGTATTTTACGTACCTTTTTTCCTATGTCTAATAAATATTCTATTTTTGTAATGAACTAACATTTTTCCTTGATGAAAAACCCATTTTCAGCTGGTCCACCATCACCGGAAAATTGGATGCCAAGAAGACTCTCCTCGTGCTCAATGTCCGGGGGTCCTGACAATGGACAATTACTCCTTCGACGTCTCTCCTCGTGTTCGGGATCGGGTTCAGAATCCGGTAATTTTGGCCGAAGATTCTCGTCATGTTCATCGAGTTCGGAGACTGGTTACTTTCACGCTGTTTATCCACCGGGATATTATCATCAGCCAACGCGACGATTCTCCTGCTGTTCTGGTTCAGGCGGTGGTGGTGGTTCATCGGGTTCAGATTGCAGTGGCGGTTGTTTCAGTCCAACGAGACGTGGTTCTGCCGATTGTGGACCATTTCTTCGTCGTCTCTCCGCCTGTAGCCGTGATTCCGGCTATGAAATGGGAACAAGAAGATTGTCCTCGTGCTCATCGAGTTCAGAGACTGGATTCTTCCGACCAAGAAGTAATAGTGGAATTGTAGTCGCTCATCTGCCGGAAAATGTCACGAGACTACCGTCTGGACCCGATGGAACACGGGGATTTGGCAGACCACCTAGAATGGCTACTAGTTAGTTATAAATATTATTTTCACTTGTAATTTGTAAATATGTACATTAATGTAAAATATATTGTTGAAATTTTCTTATTTTAAGAAAAAAAAAAAATATTGTGTGAGTATGTACCTATTCAGGAAGTTATAATTTTAATTCACATGATTCACATTAAAGCATAGAGTCGATTGCTTTCGATATTTTGTAAATAGTCAAAATCGTCAAAATAAAGGCGTTGCTTTCATTTCTTCAATGAATAATGTCACAAAATAATTTGTTTACTATTTTTTTTTACTTTTGACGCTCTAATTTAAAATCTAATGTTATAATTATCCTGTCATGCATGAATTTAAATTTCTCAAAACATTTATCGTCATTCAACGTCAAATTATTAAAAAATGTTGAGTAAAGTCTGATACATAACCTCAAACATTTTAGATGTGAGTCCTCAATATTCTCGCTCACTGCGGACAATAGTATTAAACTTCTTCTTCAATTTTAATACAACTTGATTCATTTTTTCACAAACATTCATTGACAATAAACAAAAAAAATAATAGAATAGAAAGAACTGAAAAAAATCTCTTTCTTTCTTTATTCAAAATATACTGAAGTACAACGCGAACAATTTGAAAAGTTTCAACGAATATCAAATCGATTAATCGAATTTTGAAAATTTCTTTTTTAAATTTAAAACAATTAATTACAAAATTATTAATTTTCAAATATAAATTTCTTAAATAATTTCATAATCAAAATTTAAAAAATTCGTATAAAATGAATTATAATTATTACTGTTCACATTTTCAAAAACTTTAATAAAATTTCACGAAAGAATTAAATTATTTTCTAAAATTTTAATAAATCCTTCTAAACAATTCAATTTATTATTTTTTTAAATAGTAAAATTCTTTACAAAAATTCAATGATTTTCAAAACAATTTTAATTGAATTCCTCAGAAAAAATCAATTTTTTTAAAATTTTTTAACACATTTCGAAAAAATTCAATTTTTTCTAAAATTTTAATAAATTCTTCGAAAAAATTCAATTATTTTTATAAATAGTAAAATTCTTCGCAAGAATTCAATTATTTTCAAAACAATTGAGGCCTTGGATCCAATAACTCGCCCGACGCTCGAACGATTTCCCTATTGGTAGTCAAGACCGTCAAAATAACTAAAAAAGTAAAAGTCGGTAATTTTAATTTTAAAACATACTACCATATAGAGAATAAAAATGCGCAACTTTTTTTTCTTTGAAATTTTTTTGTAGGATTTTTATTTTTAATAATAATGGCCAAAAACTGAATATTTTTTATTCCGTAATTTCATTGAATTTTGGAACATAAATCGTCGTATCTCATACAAATCTGTATGAAATCAATTCAAATTTGGAATACTTACGCATTTGGATCTACCAACGACGATAAGTTGATTAAAATTTGAAAAAAATGTTATTGTTGAGTTATTTGTTAATGCAAATGTGGACCTGTCGGTAAGTGCGATTTCTCAACTTCAGTGAAATAAAGTCTGTGGGGAACTTTCGAGTTGAGAGAACTTCCAGTGACAAATTTGTTAATTAATATCTGAAGAAGTTTTCTGGAAATTTTCAAGCCATTTTGTTAACAATTTTAAGAGATATAATCCTTTTCCGAAAACGTAATTTGCACGTCAGCGCCGTACTCACAGCAGACAGCGCGCCGTGCATGACAACGTTTGGAACAAGTGGAATATTATACTGTCTTGTTTACAAATCTATCGATTTTTGAGGTTAAAAATCAGCCGGCTTTTTTAATTAGTGATTTTTTTATTATATTTATGTTTAAATGTGATTTTTATTGACATTTATACTGAAACAAATCTATTTTCAATTATGTTGAAAAATAATTCTACTGAAAAAGGTAGAAAAAGGTAATGGTAGTAATAAATAAATAAACACTGGAAAGTCAATTTAATTATATCATCAAAGTCACATATAAAAATATTAATGACTAATATTCCTCTATTGATTAATTTACATTTCTATTTGAGATACCGATAATAAAAACAATTAGTCGATTTCTCAGTGATTATCTACAAATTAAAAATAATAAATTTACCATATTTCTAGCTGCTTTCCTTTTGTTGTCTTTCCAAGCACTTTCATCTCTTGACCTTTTTCTACCTTTTTCAATAGAATTATTTTTCAACATAATTGAAAATAGATTTGTTTCAGTATAAATGTCAATAAAAATCACATTTAAACATAAATATAATAAAAAAATCACTAATTAAAAAAGCCGGCTGATTTTTAACCTCAAAAATCGATAGATTTGTAAACAAGACAGTATAATATTCCACTTGTTCCAAACGTTGTCATGCACGGCGCGCTGTCTGCTGTGAGTACGGCGCTGACGTGCAAATTACGTTTTCGGAAAAGGATTATATCTCTTAAAATTGTTAACAAAATGGCTTGAAAATTTCCAGAAAACTTCTTCAGATATTAATTAACAAATTTGTCACTGGAAGTTCTCTCAACTCGAAAGTTCCCCACAGACTTTATTTCACTGAAGTTGAGAAATCGCACTTACCGACAGGTCCACATTTGCATTAACAAATAACTCAACAATAACATTTTTTTCAAATTTTAATCAACTTATCGTCGTTGGTAGATCCAAATGCGTAAGTATTCCAAATTTGAATTGATTTCATACAGATTTGTATGAGATACGACGATTTATGTTCCAAAATTCAATGAAATTACGGAATAAAAAATATTCAGTTTTTGGCCATTATTATTAAAAATAAAAATCCTACAAAAAAATTTCAAAGAAAAAAAAGTTGCGCATTTTTATTCTCTATATGGTAGTATGTTTTAAAATTAAAATTACCGACTTTTACTTTTTTAGTTATTTTGACGGTCTTGACTACCAATAGGGAAATCGTTCGAGCGTCGGGCGAGTTATTGGATCCAAGGCCTCAATTTTAATTGAATTCCACGGATGAATTTAAATATTTTTTTAAATATTTCCATAAATTTCCATTATTTCCTAAAATTTTAATAAATTCTTCGAAACAATTTAACTATTTTTATAATTATACAAAAATTCTTTTCAGGAATTCAATTATTTTTAATCAAATTTAAATAAAATTACGCGAAAGAATTTAATTATTTTCAAAAATTTCCATAAAATTCAATTTCAACAAGAATTTTAAATTCTCTAAAAATAATTCTATTATTCTCAAGATATTTTAAAAAAATATATAAATATTAAAATTTTTCGGAAAAATTCAATTATTTTCATAAATAATAAAATTCTTCTTAGAAATTCAATTATTTAAAAAAAAATTGATTAATTCTTTCTTTAATTCAATTATTTAAAAAATATTAAATAAAATTCTTTCCAAAAATTCAAGTATTTTTATAAATAATAAAATTTTTCACAAGAATTGAATTGTTTAAAAAGAATTAAATAAAATTCTTCGCAATAATTCAATTATTTTTATAAATAGTAAAATTCTTTGCAGGAATTCAATTATTTTCAATTCAATTGTAATAAAATTCTTCTTCATAAAATTCAATTGCTTTCAAAATTTTCAATTAAAATTATTAAAGAAACTCCATTAGTTTAAAAAAATTCAAAGAAATTCTTTAAAAAAATTTAATTAGGTTTCTTTGTAACAATTCGTTGATTTTCAATAGGTACATTAATTTAAAAATTGAAAATATTTGAAAAAGAAAATTATAAAAAAGTTAAGAAACGAAAAAGCAAACAACAAGTAATTTCAAACTGCGAACATATTACCGGAATATGTACTTTATTATTATTAATTAAAAATAATTTATAATAATAGTAAATTAAATACTTAGCTTAAATTGATTCATTGTCGGGCAAGCTTTCTTGGAACAAAAATATGAATATTTAACAATTTTTTTTGACAAAGTAATTTAATTTTCGTAAATCAGAATTATTTAAATAATAAGTATTTTAAATACACTTTATTATTATTTAAATACTTTTTTGATTATCAACTGAGAAATATAAAAAAATTTACCTTAAAAATGAACCATTCTTCATTTTATCGGGATTTTGAATGTTTGTAACTTCGTTGGAGAAAACCCGATTTATGCCAAATTTTTTGAGCATGTTGATTGAAGCAATATCTTCCTGCTACTAAAATTTCGCGATGGGTTTTGCACTAGTTTTCAAAAGAAATTGATTTAAAAAAAGTGTTTATTTTGAAGGTTATTGACAAGTATTATAACTAACTTGAAGTTGGTTTGCTACTTGCAATAAAAGTCAAATTCAAAATAAAACGATTTTTTTAAAGTCAGTTTAAAACAAACCAACTTCAAGTCAGCTATAATACTTGTCAATAACCTTCAAAATAAACACTTTTTTTAAATCAATTTCTTTTGAAAACTAGTGCAAAACCCATCGCGAAATTTTAGTAGCAGGAAGATATTGCTTCAATCAACATGCTCAAAAAATTTGGCATAAATCGGGTTTTCTCCAACGAAGTTACAAACATTCAAAATCCCGATAAAATGAAGAATGGTTCATTTTTAAGGTAAATTTTTTTATATTTCTCAGTTGATAATCAAAAAAGTATTTAAATAATAATAAAGTGTATTTAAAATACTTATTATTTAAATAATTCTGATTTACGAAAATTAAATTACTTTGTCAAAAAAAATTGTTAAATATGATCGATTTTTGACATTTCATACAGAAACTTAAATAACATATTTTACAGTTTATTATAAATTATTTGATACTTTTATCAAGTTCAAATCACAAATTCAGTCTTTAAAAATAAATATCAATCGCTTTTTTTATATTTCTTAAAGAGATTACACCTTTTTTAAATATTTTGTAATGCCTGTCAATGTAACCTTTTTTCATGTACTCTCAATTTATAATATCTTTTTTTATATGAAATGAAATTATTTTTTACAAATCATTGTGCATTTCGTAATCCCAAAACATATAAGAATATTTTCCCGAAACATTGAAATTTTTTATAAAGATCAAAAATACATTAGGCGAAATAAAATGGTTTGACCCACTAACTTTTATTTTAAAAAAATAAGTATCTAATCTTATCAAAACATTAATATCTAATGATAGTACCAAATAGTAATAAAAACCATTTAAGTCCTGTTAGATTAAAACATTTTTTAATTTACAAAAAATTTTATTTTTATTAATTTCTAGAAATTTTCTTGACTTTGAATAAAATTCCCAGACTTTTCCCTGACAAATAATCGAACAACAATAATCTTTTACTTTCATGAAATGTGTCGTTGTTGAATTTATTCGTATTTACATGAGCAATAAACATTATAAAAATTAAATAATAGAAATTAATTTAAAAAATAATTTACAATTATTTTTGTGTTAGTTTAACGTAAAATTAAAACAGAAATTTCTTCTTCTTTCATTGAAACTCGAGTATAAATTAAATGAGTCTTTTTAATTGCTTATTCGTCGTTTTATAATTTCCTCGAAACAATTCATAATTTATACAAGAGTTTGATTTTTTTTATTCTTTATTTTCTCTGAGAAAATATCACAAGAATGAATTTTCTTTCTTCTATGAATATAAATTAAATATGATTTTTCTTTCTGCACTAATTCGATAATTTCTTATAAAAGAATATGAACTCTCTCGTTTCGTGTATAGTATAAATATAATTGTACAAAATGCGACAGTATTTTTAAAAATTACCTTTTCGTAATTAATTCATTAACTATTGTCATCAAATTGATGTACAATTAATTAAAATTACTAATTAATTTAAATATTAATTACCATTTTTTTATTATAATTATAATATAATTTTATAAATTATAATTAATACTTTTTACATAATTAATTTATGGATATTATAAGTATTTCATAAATTAATTAGGAAAAAATTCATTTTCATATTATCCAAAGAATTTAAACACCAACGAAAATTGTAATTAAATGTTTTTAAATTAATTAATAATTCTAATTAATAAAGGTATCGATTTGACAGTAATTATTAATCAGCATAATAGCTGCGTTGTTCATTCACAAAATTCGTCACATCCATAAAACGGCACTAATTCAAGTACATATCTAGTTTCTTTCAAAAATTACATTTAATAAAATATACGTTCAATACACTGGGAGATATTATTCATCATATTATTAAATAACTTTTACTTTTAACCATCTTTTAATATTATAACTTGATTTAAAATGTCCATGAAATGCTCCAAAATATTTTTTTTTTCTTTCTTTTAATAGAAAAATGAAATTTAGGAATGAATTGATTCTCTTGTGTTTTCTTACGAATTATTTAAATTACAGTACCTTTAACACTTTCTTTTACTGACTATAAATTTTTGTCATATAGTTCTTTGTATAAAAAAAACCTCTACGATTTTACAAGTTAAGTACCGGCTACCGTTTATATTTCTTTTTCTCAATTTATTCAAGAACCGAGGATTTAGTATTTAAATATTTAGAAAATTGTAAATAAAAGGAGAAAAGAAGTTTTTAATTCAAAAATTCTAATTAAAAATTAAAACTTTATTATTTAATTAAGTTTTCTATCAATTTTTAAGAAAAAGTTCTTTAAAATAGCAAAGTTTGAATATTATTTATAAAACACTACTATAGTAAAATTCCTAAAAATTGTTTGGAGCTTATAATAAATTACGAAGAATTATTTTGTACTTTTTCTCTTTGTTTTTGTCTCCATTTTTTTTTAATATAGTTTATAAAAACAATCAAAAACCTACCACCGCTTTTTTTTTAAGAAGACTCTAAATATTTTAAGAAGAAAAAAAAATAGAGAAGAAAACAACACCAGTCTTGTGTTAATATTGGATTATTTCCAATTTTTGACCATAATTGGCCATTATGAAGAAAAATCTATTGCACTCATTTCATAAATCTCACGGATCTCACGTTATTTCGATATTACGCGAATTTACTGTATTCGTTTTTCTTATTTCGTTAAAATAAAATTTTCAAACGGAATACAAATAAGCATCCGTCTTCTTTTTATTTGGCGGCGATGTAAATGGCGAGAACCATGCTATCGAAAATCTTCCAAAAACTGCTTGTATCGATTTCCATCGACTATTTCGTACCCATCGAGCTTCCTCTTTTTTTAATTGTTCAATACCCTGTAAATATAAATTTAATTTCAGAAATTTAATTAAAATAGAAAAAGGGTTTTTTTGGTTGAAATGTTATAACTACCGTCTCGTCATTCCAAATAGCTTGTAATTGTGTTCCCAACATAATAGCAGTAAAAATGGCGAACAGCAGAGCTTCAATTGACAAAAATAAAAGTAACACCACTGTCGCTGGAGGACTGAATGTCGTGCACTCTCTCCACTCTTGTCTCACGCAAGTTGTAAATTGATGAATGCAGAGAAGCAACGATTGCAACGAGATTCCCGCAATATAAAACTAAATTTATTTACAGTTAAAAATTGGAAAAATTTTCATTACAAAATCAGCTCATAGGAAAAAAGTAAATAAATTACTTAACTCGTAAAAAAAGAAAATTATGTTCTTGAATTATGAATATGTTCTTTTATACTATTATAATTTTTTCTATTTTTTGTAAATCTAATCAAGGGTATAACCCGTTAAACTTATAATAAATAAATAGATAAATAAAAAATTAACTTTTAAAAAGAAGATTAATTTAAAAAAAAATTGGGTTTTCCAAATAGAGAAATTTAAATTAAAGGAAAAAAATAGAAAATTATTGCTCATTTACCGTAAAAAGTACAAAATATTTTTGGTTGTTTTCTCCCACACAATTGTTGACCCATGGACAATGATGATCCATTTTTTTAATACATCTTTGGCAAACAGAACAATGATGCGCCCTATCGGGCTTAATGGAACAGCATTTTGGACACTTAAAAATTACTTGTCCTTCCCTGAAGCCCATTTGCTGAATCATCTCCTTGGTCGCGTTTCCTTTTGGCACTGCTCCCTACATTTTAATACATACAATTAATTTTAAATTTAAAAAAATAAATTAATATTCAGATCATTTAATTAATTTTAGAAAAAAAAATATTTTTACAGTATCAGGGTTGCTACAAAAATTTAATTTTGTTTTTTCCTGATTTCCAAACAAAATTTTGTCTTTTTCCTTGACCCTAAATAATATTCTGATTCACTCTAAAAATTACTAGATATTCAAAAAAATTTTCTAGGTTACAATTTATTTACGAATTTCTCTAATTGTAAAATTATTCGAAAACAACAATAACTTCTTTTTCAGGGTTGCCACAAATATTTAATTTTACTTTTCCCTGACTTTTCCCTGATTTCCAGACAAAATTCTCACTTTTTCCCTGACCCTAAAAAATATTCTGATTCACTCTAAAAATTATTCGAAAACATCAATAATTTTTTTTTTAAATAAATATTTAATCATTATTCTTTTTCCGTAGGAATTAAAATTCTTCAATACATTCAAATTCAAATTTTTTGAAATTCAACAATTTATAAGAATATTATTACAAAACATAAAGAAGGCGATCAGTCCGAGTCTTCGACTCGGAGTGATCACCTTCTTCATGTTTTGTTATTATTTAAATTACCATGAAATTTTTCAAAAAAAATTCTATTATTTACAAAAATTCTAATAAAATCCTTCGCAAGGATTCAATTGATTTTAAAAAGTAGTAAATTTTCTCAAAAAAATTCAATTATTTGAAAAAATTGTAATAAAATTCGTTGCAATAATTAAATTATTTTCATAAATAATAAATCGATTATTCGGTAATTCATTTTTTAATCAATTTTTATTAGAAAATTCTAGAAGAATTCAATTATTTAAATTAGAAAATAAATAATTTATTGAATAATTGAATGTTTGTTAAAATTGAATTCTCATAAAGAATTTTATCAACAAATTTTTAAATAATACAATTATTTTGACAAATTTTAATGAAATTTTTAAGAATAATTACATTTATCGAGGAATTTGATTAAAATATTGTATCAAAAATTAATTAAAATCCTGCGATAAGTTTTATTATTTATGAAAATAATTAAAACTTTTCCCAAAAATTTTATTAACATTTTTCTAAAATAATTGAATTTCAGTGAAGAATTTTATTATTTATAAAAATAATTGAATCCTTGAAAAGAACTATAGTTGTTAAATTTTTTTTAAATAATTGAATTCATGCGACGAATTTTATAAAAATCTTTTTAAATAATTGATATTTTTCGAAAAATTTTATGAAATTTTGTATATTAAATAATTGAATTTTGAAGAAGAATTTTATTAGATATAACAATAATTGAAATTTTGACGAGAATTTAAAAAAATTTTTTTTAAATAATTGAATATTAAAGAATTTTATTATTTATGAAGATAATTGAAATTTTGACAAGAATTTTTTTTTAATTTTTGAACATAATTGAATTTCTGCGAAGAATTTTATTCCTTTTGAAAATAATTTAATTCTTCCAACGAATTTTATTCAAGTTTATAAAAATAATTGAATTTCGATGAAGAATTTTACTATTTCTAAAAATAATTGAATTCTTGAAAAGAACTTTGTTAAATTTTTTTTAAATAATTGAATTCCTGCGACGAATTTTATAAAATTCTTTTTAAATAATTGATATTTTTCGAAAAATTTTTCGAAAAATTTTTTATATTAAATAATTGAATTCCTGTGAAAATTTTATTATTTATGAAAATAATTGATTTATTTCGAAGAAATTTATTAAAAATCTTGTAAATTATTGAATTCCTGTGAAATTTTGCCAAGAATTTTATTAAAGTTTTTAAAAATAATTGAATTACGTAGAAGAATTGTATTATTTATAAAGATAATTGAAATTTTGACAAGAATTTAAAAAAAATTTTTGAACATAATTGAATTTTGGAGAAGAATTTTATTATTTTTCAAAATATAATTGAAATGAACAGAATTTTTTATTGAATATAATTGAATTTCTGCGAAAAATTTTATTACTTTTGAAAATAATTGGATTTCTGGAATTATTTGTATAACTTTTCTAAAATTCAATTTTTTTTAGTATTTTTAACTAAAATTCCTTTATCAATCTAGTATTTATGAAAATTGTAAAAATGATTCTTTAAATAATTTATAAGTCATAATTTTATGATAGTTCTTGTAAAATTAAGTTATTTAAAAAGAAATTATTGTCAGAAATACAAAAAAATTCAAGGTTTTGTACTAAAATTCGTGGTAATTTAATAGTTTACGAGGCAAACAAAAAAAACATCAAAATTCAGAGTTTTTTCATGAATTTTTAAAATTCAATTTTTTCCAGTACGTTTACTAAAAATCCCTGACTTTTCCCTGACTTCCCTAACCTGTGGCAACCCTGTTTTTTAAATAAATATTTAATCATTCCTATTATTTTTATATAGGAATTAAGATTTTCAAAAATTTTAAATTTAAACCTATTAAAATTCAATAACTTTTAAGAATATTATTATAAAATATGAAGAAACATTATAAGAACCTATAATATAAAATAATAAAAATACAATGACAATATAAATTTCGAAAAAATGATTATAAATAAAAATTTTCTTACGGGATCTGTAAACATTGTTCTAAGGTGAGCAGTGAATGCTAAAAATGCCAAGCCTTGAAAAATTGCCATATTGATACTCGAATAAAATGTGTTTATCGTAGGAATGAGAATAACGGCCACAACTACAAATTCTGCGTAAATTATTAAAAGCCATGTAAGTACAGCACAAATAATTCCACATATATCCTGAAAAATAATAAAAACACTTTCATTTAGGAAAATAATTGTTAATTTTTAGTGTTTTAAAATTTGATTTAATACAACTAAATCTCATTTAAATATTTTTATTCATCTATTTGAGTTTCGATTCATTTTTTTAAAAAGAAAAATTCGACAATTCTTAAATTGGAACATAAATGAATAATTTCAAAATATCAAACCTTAATGCACCAAAATTTTCCACCACAGCATCGATTATGGATATCCTTCTCCCTAAAGGGCATATATTCGTAATCCATGGTCCTTTAACATTTACGAACATCTAATTTCTTCTTATTACTGAAACTCCTTAAATTGTAAATTAAAAATAATTAATTTCATATTGTCGTCACTTATTATGATAATCTGTAAACAGAAAAATAAAATATGAAAATGTATAATTTTCTTATACTTATTTCCATTTAAATAATATTGCTGCATTTATCTACTAAAAGTGTAGTAATAACTAAAAGAAACAACTAAAATATTCAATATTTCTTTAGTAAATCAAAAGAAGCCTAAATAATTAATTCAATTACATTCTGACGATTCTGACGTGCTAAAAGGTCAATTTCGTCAATTTAAAGATTTAAATGAATTTTAAATTAGAAAAATAATATTTCAAGTAAATAGACAATATTTTAGTTGTTAAGATATTGAAGTATTTATTTTTTTACAAATCAATTTAAAATTGCAAAATATTATTTATGTAAATAATGAATAAAATGTATAATATGTTTATTGGAATACCTAACCTCAAAAAGTGATGAACTGTCAAACTGTCGGAATTATCACCTCTAGGCGAATGTTTACTTTTATTTCACAACACATATTCCCTGAGAATAAATATTTTACTACGATTTCATAGAGATTAACTTTATTATCTCGGTCTTTATCAAAAAAATCTTCTTTCACATGTCAAATTCAATAAAAAAACGGGATTGGCCGGATTGGCTTTCACGCCCCTTTACGCCAGCAACCCCACATACTTTCGAACTATAATTTTAGTATTTTAGCAATTTGAAAAGTAATTTATTTTAATAATTAATAGAAATAATTATTTTAAATACAATTTTAATTTTAAACGAACAAAATAAATATTAATAATTTAAAAAAAATTTCTATATTTACAAATAAAGAAATTAGTATTTAAATGTATAAATAGTATTTATAATATAAATTTTTTGTAACAAATATTTTTTAAATAAATTAAATTAAAAAATAAATTACAAGACAAAAATTCAAAAGGAGAAATAATTAAGTACAAAAAGGACAATTCTGTAGTACTTGACATTTATTTTGTGCCTCTTCCTCTGTTTCTTTACAGAATAAATTTTAAAAAATTATATGTGGAATGCACTGTATAAATACAAAACTTTCTGGAATTATATTAAGAATAATTTTATACAATAAAGTTTTAAATGTTCAATTATTTAAAACCTTGATTAAACTCGTGAAACTATTGTCAAAATTGTATATATCGAGTTACATATGGAGTATTTTGAATTAAATTCTTAATGATAATAATACAGAAATAAAAAAATCTGCATGAATGAAACGAATATTCGCTAATGTCAAAAATTTCTCATTTTTTTTTGTTTGTTTACGAATTAATTTGTTTCTAATAGAAAACAGTCACTCACACATTTTTTATCTACTTACATCTATATAATATTTACGAATTAAATTTATACTAATGCACTACACCATTCTTTACTTCTCTATCTAATTTAAATTTTAATACTTCATTATCAAGCATTACTTATAAATCATTCAATATTTATAATATATATATATTTATTTGTCTTCTTTTAATTTCAACTGCAATAAAATGTAGTTGATATAATATTTAAATATTCCGTTAGTAATTTAAAAAAACAAACAATACATCGAATATATAATAATAAAATTTCCTAACGAAATTTTTGCTAAAAACATAAAATTTCCCAAAAAAAAAGAGTGAAAAAATTAAGGGAAATTATTATCGATTATAAAATATTTGTCACTTTAAAATTCCAACATTAAAGATATTTTCACATCTAACAACATCAAATATTAACGTCAGCCTTTACTTCTTTTTTGTTTTTGTTTTTTTTTTCTTTAAACATTTAGTTAGAGATTTCATTTGAAAATTAAATCATTTACAATCGATGTCGAGCAATATTTTTATGTACATTTTTCTTTCTTCTCTATAATACGATATAAATGCAAATTGTTTCACTTGCAAGTTTTATTCTCTTTCTCTTTCATTGATATATTGAAGCACAAAGAGGCATGAAGAGTGGAAATTAATTTTTCACTATGAGGACTAATCCTTCAATATTTCCCAAGCGTCGTCTTCTAATTTTGAATTATATCCAGTTGTTGGAGTTTCTTTATCAAAACTCATCAATGAATCTTGCTTTGTTTGCTTTTCTTTGATTCGTTTTGAAGTTGTTGTTGTTGTTGTTGCTGTTGTTGTTAATGACGATCGACTTTCCACTGATGCTTCCGACATTGATCGTGGTTTTGATTCCCAATTCCAGTCGTGCGATGATGTATTTGTCGTTGAAGAACTCGATCTTTAGAATTATGAAACGTTTTTAATTTTTAATTTATATATTTTTTCATAATTGCATTATTGTTATTTGATTTAATTATTAGTAGTTTAATTATTATTTAATTGAATTATTAGTTAAATTATTATCCAATTTAATTATTATTAATTTAAAAATTTAATTATTATTACGTTATTTAAAATACTGTCGTCATTAAAGGATAATCAAGTTAGTAATTTGACAGACTTACTTGAGATTAGAATCAGAAACCAAAGATGATTTTTCGTTGGAGTAATCATTTCTGTTAAAATTGTCCTCATAGCTATTTGAATTTTGATAATTTCCTTGAGAATTGTAGCGACTCTGTTCGGAGGAATTGGTTCCGCCAATATCGCCCCATCCTCTTCTACCCAGATCTCCAACCTGTGCAAATTTAAAAAGAAAATTAGTTAAAGTACAGTTTGAAAATAATAATCAATTAAAAAAAATCAACGATCGAGCGTAACTACCTTAGCAGCTAAAGTATTAACTTGAGAACCAACATCATTCAATAGTGTACCTTCTCGTACCTGATGAAATCAAAAATAAGGAACCAAAAATAAAATAAAACTTAAAGAACTAAAATTATTAAATAACTTAATTAATAAACAACTAAAATTAATTACTAAACAAAAGGAAACGAAACACTTTTAAAATACAGGAAAACAAATACGATTTTCAGATTTTAAATTAAAGGAAATTTCCAACAAGAAATAAATAATTTACTAATTTTAAATAATATTTAATTAAAGAAAAAAAAATATAAGCAAGAAACAATTATTGCAAATTATAAAAAATTGTGAAAGGAAAAGAAAATAAAAACATACCTTATCCCCTACAGTTTCTGAAATCTCTGATACCTTTTGAGTGGCGTATCCTCCAATTTTAATAGCATTTTCCGTGGCTCTCGTTGCAATTTTCGATGCAGACGAAGAGAAAACGGACCAGCCCTAAAAACAATTTAAAATTAAATCAATTTTTACTCTAACTACTTAAAAATTATTTTCATATTCTATTATTATCTCAAATTAAACTAAAATTCACTTTCAAATCAATTTTTATTAGAAAATTCTACGAGAATTCAATAATTATTTAAATACAAAAGTAAATTATTTATTGAATATATGAATGTTTCTTAAAATTTAATTCTTATAAAGAATTTTAAACAAATTTTTAAATAATTGCATTCTTCTGACGAATTTTAATAAAATTTTTTAGAATTTTTACATTTTTCAAAGAATTTGATTAAATAAAATTGTATAAAAAATAGTTGAAATTCTGCGATGAGTTTTATTATTTCTGAAAATAATTGAATTATTGAGAAGAAACTTATAAAAAATTTGTAAATATTTTAATTCATGTGAAAATTAATTATTTATGAAAATAATTAAATGTTTACGTACAATTTTACTAAGATTGTTTTTAAATAATTGAAATTTTTACAAGAATTTTATTACAATTTTTGAAAATAATTGAATTTTGAAGAAAATTTTTTTAATTTTTAAAGATAATAATTGAATTTTGTAATAAGAATTTTATTACTTTTGAAAATAATTGAATTTCTGCAGTCATTTGTAACTTCTTCAAAATTCGAGTTTTTTTAGTGTTCTTAACTAAAATTCTTCTATAAATCTATTATTTTTAATAATTAATTAAATATACATATTGACAAATTTAACTAATTTTAAAAGATTTTGAATTATTAAAATTTTTCAAAAATCTAAGTTCATTAAAATTTCTAATTAAATTCATTCAACTTTGAAATTTTATAAAATTTCAAATTGAAACCATTTGAAGTTCATTTATTTATGAAAATTGTAAACGCAACTCTTTTAAAATTGAATTCATTTTGAAATATTTAAGTAAAATTATTCATTAAATAATTTGTTTATTTTATGATAATAGTTAAAGATTTAAGTTATTTAAAAAAAAAATGTTGTCAGAAATTGAAAAAATTGAAGGTTTTATATTAGAATTCGTGGTAATTTTATAGTTTGAGTCAAACAAAAAATACATAAAAATTCAGAATTTTCTTATGAATTCTAAAAATTTAATTTATTTCAGTACCTTTAATAAAAATTCCTGACTTTGCCCTGAATTCTCTATGTTAGAATATATGACATATTTTATTTTTATAAAAAAAAATTTTTAAATTTACAAATTTTTACGTTCTATTATTTTTAAAGTTGCTAATTTTATTTAAAAAAAGTGAGTGAGTAGTTGCCAGTTAGTAATTATTCAAGGAATTCATTTAGTGAATAAGTAATTCTTACGCTTGCTAGGGAAGAAACTGCAGTGTCGAAAAATTCTTGAGAAGAACTTTTTGGCGGTGCTTCCATTTGATAACCGAAACCTCCATATCTTCCTCCTTGATTTGGTGGAAGATTTCTGTAAATTAGAAATTTTTTTTTAGTCCTTAGAAAATAATTTCATTTTAATTTTTTTGGAGTTAATTAATAAAAACATTTTTTTTGTAATAAATAAAATAAATAATTTACTCCGGACGAGTGGAATTTTCATTTTGTTTTCTTGCGAAAAAAGATTCTGTTTGTGATTTAAAGGCTGGCGTATTGAAATTCTCATAGGAATCTCCTCCTTGATCATTTTGGTAAGAATTATATTCTTTACTCTCGTAAACAGCACTGCTGACGAAATTCTTTGCACTCGATGTGGAAGGACTCCAATCTTCACCTTTGGCAGTTGTTGCAATCTAATTATTAATAAAATTTCAATTTAATTCTATCGTACTAAAAAATTAAAATCAATAAAAGAATTGAAATAAAGAAGATAATAAAAATAAAATAAAATATATAATTCTAAAAATAAAATTTTCTAGTTCTCAAAAACTATAATTACCTTGTCTCTATAAAGAGCAGCAGCTTTTGTATTATATTTCTGTGAAATAGTCATCGAATCATCCCAATCTGATTGAGCTTCAAAAAATTCCCGTGCTTTTCTATTACCTCCGACTTTCATTTTTTCTAATTCAATGTCTTTCCATCTATCCATCGAAATGGAACGAACAAAGGATAAATGAACTCCAAGTCCTCGATGCTTTCCTGAGCACTCAAGACAAATCCATATTCCATATGTGACAGAAACCCATTGAGGATTATGTGCTCCACACTCGAAGCACCTCTATTAAAAAAATAATTACTCTTTAAAAAAAAAAGCACACTATTTTTTCTAAGAAATAAAGCAGAAAAATGTAAAAGCAAAAAACATTAATTGAATTATTTAGGTCATTTTAATTATTTAAGACGTTTTCCAATTGGAGACTATAATAAGGCTTCTGGGAAATTTTTGTTATTTAAAAAGGATATTTAAAAACTTACATTATTTTCATCACTTGGTTTTAATTCAGCTAAAACACGACGAGTTCGTGGACTAGCCATTATTAATTATTATTACCAATTTTCACTTTAATTTAGAACACACAAGAAATAATTTTTTCACAGCTGTTTCAACTCAACGCCATTAAATATTTGTTAACCTATAAAGTGTCACACGTGGATTCAATAGAACCGACCAATAGTGTTGCGTATTTCTCATGGAACTTTAAATACTGATGATGTGTATCGTGCATGTGTCAAAAAAGTGTTATAAAGCTTCGTCCACAATGGTTTCAATGGTTTCAATTTATGTTGGAACGTAACATAAGAATACAATCAGAAAAATTCTCTTTTCTTATGTTCTATTTTGCTATTCAACATAAAAACATATTTTGTTCGAAAAGATCGAATTTTCGATCAACATATTACTAAATTTGATTGGCTCGCAAAAATTTTCCGTTTTCAGAAAAAAAATAAAATGGACAAGTTTCCAGAGCCAATCAAATTTGACTATAATTGTTCCCTGGGTTTTGTAAAGAGCGCTGGCGCGCAAACGTTTGGCAGCCATATTTTCTCTCGTGGCCTCGTTTTAAGTCGCGCGGTGGTGTAGCAGTGACAATTTGGAATGAAATTATTACGTCTAAATCAATTACCGCGTGTTAATTAGTAGCGAGTGAGGGGTGCGATCATGGCCAAGGGTAGTAACAACGTATCTGGAAGACGGTCACATGGAGGAAAGCCCTACGATCCAAACAACGTGAGTAATTTTGCATGGCTTTCGTTTTCTTTTCCCTCATTCCTTAGCCCCCCCCCCCTTACAACCTGGACCGAACTTGATTTTTCCGCAAAAACGATCATTTTATATGTTGAGAATTAATTTTGTCCCTTAATTCAAAGAGGGATCAAATTATTTATCATAGATCAATATTGTATTTATTTCGAACATGTTTGAAAAAAAAATGTATTTAATGAAAATCCACGCGTAATAAACGTTGCGCTTCAAGATTCAATAACCTCAATCTTAAAGCAGAGCGTGGCGATAATTTCTCATATTTCAGGCATGTTAACCTTGACTTACTGTTCATATATAGTACTTGCAATTTGTTCTGTTGTTCTTTTGTAAATTTATTCGGCAATCAAGTGGGGTTCGCTTTAAAATTATACGGAAAAAAATTTTTGTCACAGTTCAATGAAATGTCTCGGTGAGGGGGAGGGGCGTTTACAATGATTTTGACATTTTTTCTCTATTATAAAATGTATAAAATGAACAAATGGATGATTTATAACAAAATATAGTTGTTACATAAATTATTAAAAATTTGTCGTTGATACTTGGAATTTTTACATTTTTTTCAATATTAAGGATATTTTAATTTAAGTTTTGAATCATTTTTCTAGAATAGTTTTGATTTTTATAATTTAAAAACAAATTGAATAATTTTTTGCTATCTTGGCACATTCAGGTTAGGTACAAAAAATTATAGTTTCTTAAAATTGAATTTAATTAATTTTAGATGAATTCGTAAATGTTTTAATATTTCCACACGACTTTATCGATTTATTGCGTAATTATCGTTGACCTTTAATGATAATTAAAAAAGGGAATAAGAACTTACAATCACAGTTTTTCTTCGAGATTAATGAATTTCGTAGCGAGAAATTAATATTTTTCAAATTGAAAATAATCTAATTATGAGGGGAAAAATGAATGAATATTAAATTATTTATTATTTTATTTAGTCGTTCGTCAAGAAAGTTGCCACAAAGGTAACGGATTTAATACCTCAGCGATCTTGGATCAGTAAATGGTTCAACAGTTCTGAAGATAATGGCGAAGTGTTAAATAATTCAGTAAACACCGAATGCGAAGAATCTACAGAGGAAGTACAACAAGCACCACCTGCAAAACGTCCACGTATACGTATGGATGTAATTCATCCTCCTGGAACATTTAATATTCAATTGAGAAACAAATCTTCTCTTAATAAAGTCGATGAATCCAAGGATTTTCCCAATCACGACGAAACAGTAAGTATTTGTCATTTATAAATAAAAAGTTAATTTTATTTTTCGTATATGCTACTAATATTGAATGTCGTTGGAAAAAATAGAATGAGGATTTCCTCGAACCATTGGCAGCTGGACCGAGTGGTTTACGACGCTTGGTATCATCAACGCCAGCTGTTCAAAATGACGTTAGAAATACAGTAGCGCAAAGATCGAATTTAAATTCATTGAATCCAACTCAGGACAATGGAGTTATTAACGAAGCGGACGATAATTCCGAATCAAGTGAAAGTACCAGCGGGTGTAGTTCTCTAATTCCACAAAATAATAGGCAAGAGGCTCCTTCAAATACGAGCTTTGCTGCCTCATTCACCAACAAGAAGAGGTTTATGGACGATAATAAAATGAATTACAGTAAGAATTGTTTGACATTTGCTTTTGACATATTTTTGCACTTGCTCTTTTTAAAACATATATTATATAGCAATAATTTCCTCTTTTTTTCAGCGAATCATTTGCAGTCGCCTAGATCACTTTTCTTAGACACAAGCAATCGTGACTCGCTCAGCAGTCGCAGACCTAGTTTTAATTCATCAATTATGAGCAACAATCTTGATCGTTCATCATCTCTCGCGTCTCCCTTTTATTCGGGAAATGTCACTTTTGGCGGGGCAAATGCTGCTGGTCTTTACAAACGTACTCGAAGTCTTTTTAATTCCAATAATGAGGTATTTTCTTTACATTTTTCTTCTCTTTATATGAATTTTTCTTTTTTTTTTGTCGGAATTGCCACAGGTCAGGCAAAAACAAAATTAAATTTTTGTCGCCCAGGACTTGAACTAGGTCCGTAAATTTGCTTCAAGTCCGTAAAAGTCAGTTTTTTTGAAAAAAGGTCCGTAAAGTCCGTAATTTGATTGAGAAAAGACGAAAAGTTCGTAAATTGTGCTATATTATTGGGAAAATTTTAGAGAAATTACAAATGATTTCAGAAATCCAATTATTTTCAAAAGTAATTATTATGTTAAAAAATTTTCGAAAATTCTCGTCAAAATTTCAATTATCTTTAGAAATAATTAAATTCTTCACCAAAATTCAACTATTTTCAAAAATTTTAATAAAATTCTTTGCAAAATTTTTAAAGTTTTTTGTAAATGTATACAAACATTTAAGAAAATATATAGTTCACACAACGAACTAAAGAAACACTTTTAATAATTTTTCGAAATTTAAAATTTTTATACCTTCTTTTTACAATAACAAATTTTTGCATCATTTTAAAAAATAATTAATAACTCAAAACAATTTAGAGACTTAAAAATATATTTTATATTTTATGAATAATAATACTTCTACAATATAAAAATTCATTAAGAAAACATAAGTAAGTAAATGTCTAATTTTGTTATTGTTTGCAATAAAATTAAAATTTGACGCACAATTAACAAATACTTTTTCAATATCTTAATTAAAGGTATCATAAAATATTCGTTTGTTTTAAATAAACATATATTAAATAAAAAATTAATTTCAAAATTCAATTATTTCTAAAGATTCACGTTTTAATAGCTAATTATGATATAAAATTTTAATCGAAATTTATTTTTAAATCAATTTTTATTAAAAAATTCTACTAGAATTTAATTATTTAAATACAAAAATAAATAATTTATTGAATAATTGAATGTTTCTTAAAATTCAATTCCCATAAAGAATTTTATCAACAAATTTTTAAATAATTGATTGACTTGGAGGATTGATAACTTCTTGTATATATTAATATTGAATAATTTTTTTTATGTAAATAATTGAATTAAAAATAAATTTCACTTCAAATTTTAGATAAAAATTGATTATTAAAAGCATTATAGTGTGAATTTTTTAAAAAAATTGAATTTTGAAAAGGTTTCATATTAAAATCTTTAAAAATTTTAATTTCTCATACTTTTAACTAACAATTCTGTTAAAGAATTAATTTTTTTGAAAAAGTTTGTTTCAATTTTACTTGAAATTTTTTTTTTGAAAGTTTTATTTTCTAATATATTTAATTGAAGAATTTCCGAATAATAGAAAGTAAAATTGAATTGTAAACAAATGAATTTGAAAATTCTCAAAGAACTTTTTCAAAAATTATTAAAAAATAATGGATTTATAGAAGAATTTTAGTTAAAAACACTTTTAAAAAATTTAATTTTGGAGAAATTACAAATTATTTACAAAAATATTTTTAAATTCTCGTCAAAATTCCAATTATCTTTAGAAATATTAAAATTTTTCTCCAAAAATTCAATTATTTTCCAAAATTTTAATAAAATTTTTGGCAAAATTTCAATTATTTTTAAAAACTTACCTCAATTCAATGATTTTCAATATTTAACATTTTTAAAAAAATTGTCGAAAAGAATTCAATTATATAAAAAAAAATTTAATTAAATTCTATGCAAACCTTTAATTATTTTTATAAAAAGTATTAAAAATTTCACAGGAATTCAATTATTTACAAATTTTTTTATAAATTTCTTCGCAATCATTCAATTATTTTCATAAATAATAAAAATTTTACACGGATTCAATTATTTTCGTAAATAATAAAATTCTTTTTGGGAATTCAATTATTTTCATAAATAATAAAACTTATTGCAGAATTTCAATTATTTTTAATACAATTTTAATCGTATTCGTCGAAAAATGTAATTATTCTTAAAAATTATATTAAAATTCGTCGAAAGAAATCAATTATTTAAAAATTTGTTAATAAAATTCTTAATGGGAATTGAATTTTAAGAAACATTCAAATAATTCAATAAATTATTTATTTTTGTACTTAAATAATTGAATTCTAGTAGAATTTTTTAATAAAAATTGATTTAAAAATGAATTTCAATTAAAATTTTATATCATAATTAAATATTAAAACGTGAATTTTTAGAAATAATTGAATTTTGAAATTAATGTTTTTGAAAAAGTGTAAGTGAATTTTTTTTATATTTTCGACGGTTTAGAGTGCAAACCTGCTAACTCACAATTATGAAATTTTTCAGAAGAGTCAAAAAAGCTTTTCAAAAGAATTTTTAGGTTATATTCTTATAGAACAAAACTTTCAGTATATTTGTTTTATTAATAGAATAACACAATGCTACTTAATAATAATAAGTACTTCCTTTTGAAATATATTTTAATTGATATCTCTTACACTCAAAATATAGACACATTTCAATACAATACAATATATTATGTGGAGTTATAGCAGTGCAATTTGACAGGTGTGGAGTCAGCTGTTTTACTCACAACACTTTTTTAGCAATTTAGAGACATAATTTCGTCAAACTGTTTTACTTGGCTGATGTATCACCTCTTTATCTATCAAATACAAAAAGAATCTCAAATTTGATAAAAAGTGGAGTTAGCTGGTTTGCACTCTAAACCGTCGTTATTTGAAGTATTTTCTAATATTTAAAGAATTTACGAATAATTGAAATTTTGTAAAATTGAATTGAAAACAAATAACAGGGTGGCCACATGTCAGTAAAGTCAGTAAAGTCAGGGAAATGTCAGGGAAAAAAATATTTTGTCAGTAAAGTCAGGGAAATGTCAGGAAACAAATTTTTTGTCAGTAAAGTCAGGGAAATGTCAGGAAAAATTTTTTTGTCAGGGCAATTAAAGAAGAAGGGAAATGTCAGGAAAAAAATTTTTGTCAGTAAAGTCAGGGAAATGTCAGGAAAAATTTTTTTGTCAGGACAATTAAAGAAATTAAGACGGTCATGCAATACATTTTTTGCTCTAAACAAAAAAATTTTTGTCAGGGAAATTCGTTGTTATGTCAGTAAAATGTCAGAGAAATGTCAGGGAAATTGATAAAGTCAATCTTGCGGCCACCCTGAATAAATTTGAAAATTCTTAAAGAACTTTTTCAAAAATTATTAAACATAATGCATTTATAGAAGAATTTTAGTTAAAAACACGAAAATAAAATTCAATTTTGTAAAAGTTACAAATTATTGCAAAAATTCAATTATTTTCAAGAGTAATAATATTCTTCGCAAAAATTAAATATTGTTTAAAAGTAATAAAATTCTTCTCAATTATTTTCACAAATAATAATAAAATAATTAATATAAAACATGAAGAAATTGATCACTCCGAGTCGAGGACTCGGAGTGATCGATATCTTCATGTTTTATAGTTATGAAAAAATTTAATTTATAGTTTTAAGTAAAATGTTCTTTTATTTGACTCGGAGCCGTTATATTTTTGTCAGTAATTGGTCCATAATTTTTCATTTTTGGTCCGTAAATACTTTCACTGGTCGAGCCCTGCAAATGGAATAAATTAATTGAAACAAAATTGTTAATACAACTAACTTTATTTCAGTACAAGCTTAAAGTTCCCCGAAGAACAAACGTCCAGGTGAAACCTTTCAATAATGGAAATATCGATTCTTCTGGAATGAGTCAAACTGCAAAGAGAATATTAGACGCTCTTGAACATTTTTCATCGCCAGTTTTGGATGCGAAGAAAATTCCAATTAAAAATACGACAAATTTGACAAATTCAGGAGGTACGAAAAGACCAAGGGAAGAGGTGGTCACATCGCCACGGGTCGGTCTTCGTCATAGAACTCAACAACTCATGGTTCCGACGGTGCCGGATTTATTGAAAATTAGAAGACGACAGAGATTACAAGACACGACGCTCGCTGCCAGAAATATCGTTTCTGCTCACAGCGCACCTCCAATCACCACACCTTCTGAATATCGTATTCGGTAAGTTACTTTTCAGTACTAAATATATACCTAATCAGATATTAGTTTTTATTGCTATAATTTCCATTTCTCTCTAGAATAATATTTTTAATTTAATTCAATTTTCTTTCTTCTTAGAACGGACGCTGATGATGATCTAAAGTTCCGAGGAAAGCTTCGAGTAAAATCAAAGACAAATCCAATGGATGAAGAGATTGTGGAACCTGTTAATCTTCCAACAATTGCATTACCAATTTCAACTCTTCCACGATTCGACATTGCCCTACCTCAATATACAAAACCAGCCGACAGAAATACTGATAAAGATGATTCGTTTAAATTTGCCAGTCCTATTAAAGTGACAAGTACCACGAAATCTTTATCATCCATCACTGATTTCACCTTCAGTAATCCAATAAATCCCAACGCAAAACAAATTGTCGCCAGTGAATTGAACAGCTCCTCGAGAACATTAAGCATTGAATCGAACGATTCATTTTTGGGTTCAGGTTCAGCGACGAATTTCATGTGGTCCGGTTCGACAGCGCCAAGACCAAAGGAGAAGGCATCATTTAAAGAATCAATTCCCACCGCAACCGTTGAATTAAAGTCGGGAAGTGTCGTTGATTTCCTGAAGGAACTTAACAATAAAAAAGAGGAGACAAAAAAACCATCAAATACAGAAATGGAAATTGAAAATGATGTCGAAATTATAAATGCAGAGAAGACGGAAAGTTGGGAATGTTCCGAATGTTTAATCAGAAACGACAGTACAACACATTGCACTGCTTGTAAATCATCCAAACCGGGCATTAAGGTTAAGGAACCACCGCGTGTTTCGACAACCAACGCCTCACAACTCAAACCAATTGAGAACGATTGTTTCGGTTCGCAATTCAAATTATCATCCGATCAATGGGAATGCAGTAGTTGTTTAGTGAGAAATAAACAGTCGGCGGAGAAATGTGTCTCTTGCATGAGTGCAAAACCAGGAGCAAAAATTACCAAAACCGGAGTTGAATCAGATCTTCTGAAGAAATTCAAACCCGCCAGTGATTCTTGGGAATGTTCCGGTTGTATGGTACGAAACAATGGAAATGTGACCACTTGTCCATGTTGCTCGACCGCAAAACCAGGACAAAAAGAGAAACAAGAAACTTTAAAATCTTTTGATGCTTTCAAACAATCGAGCAGTACGTGGGAATGTCCCTGTTGTATGGTACGAAATGCAGACAACGTAACCACATGTCCTTGTTGTAAGGCCGTGAAACCCGGCAGTGCAAAGAAACCCGAGGAAACCACCAAGGCACCAGTTCTCGGATTTGGTGACAAATTCAAAACACCCACTGGCTCATGGAGTTGTGACGCATGTTTAGTCTCAAACAAAGCCGACGCAACCGAGTGTATAGCTTGTACGAGTGCAAAACCAGGAACGGAAAAAATAACCACAAGCTCAAGTGGTTCAACACTTCAGTTTAGTTTCGGCGCACCGGCGAAGGAATCTTCTTTTAAGTTTGGCCTCGATAAAACAGATGTTAAAACAGATGTTAAAACCACAGAATCATCGAATTCTACCGGTTTCACTTTTGGAATGAAACCAGCAACCACAAGTACAGAGAAATTTACATTTGGCATTCCGAGTAATGATAAGAGTACAACTGAAACGACAGGTTTCACTTTCGGTAATAATAATAAAAAAACTACCGATGATTCGGTAGCGATCACAAAAGATGATAAACCAACGTTTACGTTCGGTATTCAAAAAACAGAGGAGAAGAAAAAAGAGCAAAAAGTGGAACAAACCATTGAGAGTACGGAGAAAAAAGTTGAGAATACTTTCAGTTTCGGAGGTTCTACCAAGGAGACAACAACTGTTATCAGTGGGTTTAAATTCGGTTCACCGAGTGCAAAACGACCGGCCGACAATGATGATGATACTAAAGTGAAAAAGACCGTTTTTGGAGAAACAAATTCTCCATTCACAGCGGTAACGAGTACAAGTAGTCAACCAGTTAGTTCAACTCCTAGTTTTTCGTTCACATCGACTAGTTCACCGGCAATTTCGACACCTTCAGTGACTGCAACAACAACAGCAGCAGCGACGACGACGACGACGAGTCTTCCACAATTTGGTAACGCGACATTGACCTTCGCCGATCAGAGTAAATCAACAAACTTTGGAATTCAACCATCGACGACACTCAATACTTTCTCCTTCGGTGGTAGCAAGACAGAGCCAACAGCCCCTGCGGAAAAGAAACCCCTACTTTCCTTCCCCAGCAACACTGGCTTTGGATCACCATTTCCGCCTCCTTTAGCAAAAACCGAACAACAACTCCCGGTATTTGGAAATATAGAAAAGAAACCACTTTTCACAGCTCCGGAGAAGGTTCTCGCTTTTGGTGACAAAGAAACATTTGGAACTCCAGATAAGACGATTTCTTCCGGTTTTGGTGGAAGTAGTGCGGTGGCTCCACTCTTTCCATCGACGGCACCACCTTCCTTTGGCGCATCAACAACGCCATCGCCTTTTGGATCATCGGCGGCAATATTTGCGAATACAACAACAAACAATTCGTTTAGTTCGCCATCAACAACGAGTGTATTTTCATCAACAAAACCAAATGAAAGTGAAAATTCAGCAGCAACGGCGGCTACTGTTCCACCACCGGCTTCGAATCTCTTCACTTTTGGCTCTTCGACACCAGCGAGTGGATTTAATTTCTGCGCAGGAGGGAATTCCACGACACCGGCAGCGGCCCCAAAACCACAACCTCTCTTTGGCTTTGGAACTGCGGCAAATACAACACAGGCTGGCAATAGTTTCGGTGGAAGTACATTTAGTACGTCGTCAACTGCTCCAGCGCAAGCCGGTGGTTTCTCGTTCAATGCACCAAAACCCGAAGCACCACCTGCATTTGGACAAACAGTACCGCCGCCAGCTTTTGGCGCAACGCAACAGCAACAACAACAACAACCACCACAGACTTCTTTCTCCGGAGCGGGAACGTCAAACGCTGGATTCAATTTTGGAAGCGCTGCACCGCCCTCCGCATCTACTGGGGGCTTTAATTTCGGTGGAATGGTATGTTGATCGTGATTTCTTAAAATCGTTGCTTTCTTTGCTCCTTTATAGTCATAAAGGAAAAATCGTTTCTTATTTTTCTTATTTAGTTCCAAAGGAAATCATCATTTTTTTTCTTTAGTCTCAAAGGAAATCATTATTTTTTTCTCCTTTTGTCTCAAAGGAAATCATCATTTTTCTCTCCTTTAGTCTCAAAGGAAATCATTATTTTTCTCTCCTTTAGTCTCAAAGGAAAAATCGTTCGAAAAAAATTTAAACTCGATATTTTCGTATTTTTTTTATAGTTAAAGAAAAATTAACACCAAAAAGTGTAAATTTTGAACATGTTTGGAAGAAAAAATAAACATTTTTTACAGTAGAAGGAATAAAAATTTTTTTTTTTAAATTAGTAAAAAGTATTAAACAATTACAGTAAAAGAAATTAAAATTCTATCCATACTCTCTACACGGAGAAAAATATAAAGTAACTTTTACTACTTTTATAGTAAAAAATTTCCGGTAAAGCATTTCTGGTAATTTTGACTATTTTTGGAGTAAATTTTGCTACGTTCGAAGTAAATTTTACTAATTTTTACAAATATGTACTTCGAACGTAGCAAAATTTACTCCAAAAGTAGTAAAAATTACCAGAAATGCTTTACCAGAAATTTTTTACTATAAAAGTAGTAAAAGTTACTTCATATTTTTCTCCATGTAAATCTGCATCAGTTAAAATGTTAATTTGTTTCTTGCTTTTGACTCGATTAGAATTTACTGATTCATTAGTAAAAAAAAACAATTGCTATACTGATAAGTAAATAAAATTTTGGCAGATTTAAAAGCAAAAAGTCTATTACATATTGAATTCATTTAATTCATTTGAAATTTTAACTGATTTGAAAACTAAAAATCGGTCACTAAATTAGTTCGGTTAAGATTGTAACTGATTCAGATTTAGAGAGTAAAGAAAATTACGTTGGTGAAGTTCCCGACGTTTATAATCAACGATTTAGAAGAAAAAATATTTTTTTCATTTTCGTATAAAAAAAAATGTTTTACATAATTTTTTCAATTAATTTCATCAATAATTTGAAGAAAAAACATTTATGAACAAAACATTTCATTGGTTTCATCAAGAAAAATGTTTTTTTTCTTTCAATTGTTGATCATAAACGTTGTTAATTAACTTTACCGACGTAGAGAATTGTCAAAAAATAATTGTAACAAGTGTTTAATCTTCATTCAAATTAATAATTAAATTATTTAAAAAATTATTTAAAATTATTTACAAAATTCATCATTTATTTTAGAATTATGTGTGAGTTGTGAATTTTTTTTGAAAAAGTTGTGAACACATTATATAAAATTTAATTTTATTAATTAATAACAACTTTCGATTATTTAAAATGTTTAAAATGAAATTCACCACAAATTTATTAAAAAAACTATGAGTTAAAATTTTTTTTTTAAAATACGAAAATATCAAGTTTGTGGAATTTTTCATTAAAATCAAACTTATGTTAATGCGTTTTCATTTTTTGTTTTTGTTTCATAATTTATGTAATTTTGTTAGTGAAAAATTTTTTTCTGTAAAGAATTTCTTTCAGAATTTTTTGATAATTCTTTAGTATAATTATTTAGTAATTAACAATGTTTAATTATGTTATTAAAAATTGTTATTCATATTTATGAATATTTTTTGTTTTCCATGAAGAATTTCTTTCACAGATTTCAAAAATATATTAATTATTTGATAATTATCAATGTCTAATTATTTTGATATTTATAAATTTTGGTTTTCTATGAAAAATTCCTTTTCTAAATTTTAATAATTATTGAATAATTAATATTTTTCAAAGTTTAATGTGTTTGAAAATAATTTTTATCGCGAGTGGAAATATTTACGCTTAATACGATTTTGGAAACAGTTGTTAATAACTTCATAAAGTGTTGAAAAAAAGATAATTAGATTTATCTGTTACTTTTTGTTTCGTTTTTTTTTAGTCGTTCGTAAATTATTTTTAATAGGAAATTTAAAAAACAAAAATAAACTTCAGTGCGTTTTAACTAATGATTAAAAAACTGAAGAGAATTAATAGAAATACACTTGAAAAAGTGATGAAAAAAATATTTGCAAATATTCGTTTATTATGTATTTCAAAATGTTCGATTTTTTGTACAATAAACAGTAAAAGTATTAAATGCTAATATTTATGTTTTTTTTACCTTGTTTTATTTTTTTATTTTTGATATTAATTTAAAGAAGAAAATAATTGATATTTTTTTAATTTTTGAGATAAAAATAAACGCAACTGAATTTTTATTCAATTGCGTTGTTTTTTTTTTTATATTTTAGTACTTGGAATAAATTATATTTTTGTTTTCAATTTTAATTGAATATGTTAGTGTATTTTTTTTAATTTAAACAAATGTTTCTTATTTAGAAATAGAATAGAATTTAATCTAGTTTTTAAATGTAATGATTTATTTTTCATTCCTGTTTTTAAAAAAGACTAAAAGAAGCAAATTTAAAAATTTCTTTTACATCTTTTTTGAAAATTTTATTTCTATAATTTCATTTATATTTTTAGAATCAAACGTCAAGTCCAGCACCGCCAAGTGGTGGATTCAATTTTAATGCTCCAAATTCAGTGTCATTTAATTTCACTGGAGGAAATCAACCAACAACATTCAAGTGAGTAAATTCTTCAATTATTATTTTAAAGAAAATTTATTATTAAATTAAATTAAACTTTTAAATTTTTAATTTTAAATGTTGAAAATTTTATCAGGGTTGCCACAGGTCAGGGAAAGTAAAATTGGTCAGGGAAGTCAGGGAAAAGTCAGGGATTTTTAGTAAAAGTACTGGAAAAAATTGAATTTTAAAAATTCAAGGAAAAAACTCTAAATTTTGATGTTTTTTTTTGTTTGTCTCGTAAACTATGAAATTATCACGAATTTTAATACAAAACCTTGAATTTTTTCTATTTCTGACAATAATTTCTTTTTAAATAACTAAATTTTACAAGAACTAGGGTAAATGCACTAGTAGTCGGACACTTAAGGATACAATCTTAAATTATGCTTTTTTTCTTGAAATAGCAAATATCTACTGTGTTTATAAGCACATTATTAATTAAAGGAGTTCTTCAGGATTAAAAATCATATAAATTTGTTACAAATAGTTGAGTATTTAATAAAATATAAACATTTTAATAAAAAATTACGAATGCTTTAGTAGTCGGACACTTTTTCCCCTTGTTTCTATAGTCGGACATCTGTCAGATATTTTGGATTTATAAAGTAAAACAGATAATTTTTTAATTGCTATCTGCTGGAAAATGGAATTAAAGCAAATTAGAAGTTATTAATATAATATTTAAACCCTATAAGTTTTAATATTTATGATTAATTATCAACAAAACTTTGTGCCACTCATCGCGCTACTCGAAAATGGTTGTATCTATAGTCGGACACCATGATTTTTAAAACATTAAATAAAATATTTCTTGTTTAATTATTTTCGAAAATAACACTATTTTAATAAAATATAAACTTCACACATTCGTCTAGTATACTTTTTAAAGTAATTATCACAATGCATTATTATTTATTTGACAAAAAACACGAAAGTGTCCGACTACTAGTACTGTCCGACTATACCCGCACTTACCCTATCATAAAATTATGAGAAATAAATTATTTAATGAATCATTTTTACAATTTTCATAAATACTAGATTGATAAAAAAATTTTAGTTGAAAATACTAAAAAAAAAATGGAATTTTGGAAAAGTTACAAATAATTCCAGAAATTCAATTATTTTCAAAAGTAATAAAATTTTTCGCAGAAATTCAATTATATTCAAAATTTTCTAAAAATTCTGGTCTTTTAAATTATATTTTTAAAAATAATAAAATTCTTCTCCAAAATTCAATTATGTTCAAAATTTTTTTAAAAATTCTTGTCAAAATTTCAATTATCTTTATAAATAATACAATTCTTTTACGAAATTCAATCATTTTTAAAAACTTTAATAAAATTCTTGACAAAATTTCACAGGAATTCAATAATTTACAAGATTTTAAATAAATAAATTTCTTCGAAATAAATCGATTATTTTCATAAATAATAAAATTTTCACAGGAATTGAATTATTTAATACAAAAAATTTCAGAAAATTTTTCGAAAAATATCAATTATTTAAACAGAATTTTATAAAATTCGTTACAGGAATTCAATTATTTAAAAAAAATTTAACAAAGTTCTTTTCAAGAATTCAATTATTTTTAGAAATAGTAAAATTCTTCACCGAAATTCAATTATTTTTGTAAACTTGAATAAAATTCGTTGGAAGAAATTCGATTATTTTAGAAAAATTTTAATAAAATTTTTGGAAAAAGTTTTAATTATTTTCATAAATAATAAAACTTTTCGCAGGATTTTAATTAATTTTTGATACAATATTTTAATCAAATTCCTTGATAATTGTAATTATTCTTAAAAATTTCATTAAAATTTGTCAAAATAATTGAATTATTTAAAAATTTGTTGATAAAATTCTTTATGAGAATTCAATTTTAACAAACATTCAATTATTCAATAAATTATTTATTTCTTAATTTAAATAATTGAATTCTTTTTACCGAATAATCGATTTATTATTTATGAAAATAATTTAATTATTGCAACGAATTTTATTACAATTTTTTGAAATAATTGAATTTTTTTGAGGAAATTTACTACTTTTTAAAAATAATTGAATTCTTGCGAAGGATTTTATTAGGATTTAAAAAAAAATAAATAAAAATAATAGTAATAATAATAATAATATAATAATATATAATAATAATAATAATAATAATAATAATAATAATAATAATAATAATAATAATAATATAATAATAATTTTTTTTTTAATAAAATTTTTTTTGAAAAATTTCATGGTAATTTAAATTATAACAAAACATGAAGAAGGCGATCACTCCGAGTCTTCGATTCGGAGTGATCGCCTTCTTTATGTTTTGTAATAATATTCTTATAAATTGTTGAATTTCAAAAAGGTTTGAATTTGAATGTATTGAAGAATTTTAATTCCTACGGAAAAATAATAATGATGAAATATTTATTTAAAAAAGAAATTATTGATGTTTTTGAATAATTTTACAATTAATGAAATTTGTAATAAATGTAATAGAACATTTTTTTGAGTTTGTAATAATTTTTAGAGTGAATCAGAATATTTTTTAGAATCAGGGAAAAAGTGAGAATTTTGTCTGGAAATCGGGGAAAAGTCAGGGAAAAATAAAATGAAATATTTGTGGCAACCCTGTTTATATTAAAATTGTTTTGTATACAATATTTATTTAAATTTAAAAAGTACCTAGGTTGAAAATAATTAAATAAAAAACATTAAATTAATTGATTATTAAATTAAAAATTAAAACATAATTCTTAAGACTTAAAATTCAGAAATATGTGAAGATAGATTCATTATTATTTATGTAAAGATTCTAGAATATTTGAAATACCTAGTTTTTGAACATGTTTTTTATTTTATGGAAAAATTCGTTTTTTAATTCAATTTAATGTAAATAAAAATTCAACGAAACTTTTATTCTATTGCTTTTAATTTACTTTCGCTAAATATAATCACCAGTGTTATTGATTTTCAAAATTCTCTTTAAAGTAAATTTATGTACTAAAATATTTTAATGCTTGTTCACAGCGCTACACCAAAATTACCAATACCACAAAATCAACGAAAAATCAAAACAGCGAGAAGAAGAATGACACCACGGTAGACAAGAAAGTTCATTGGTTGAGGTGTGAACAAAAAAGACAGGTGCGTGTATTGTGTCCGCATTTAAATACAAAGCAAAACAAACAAACAAAAAACAGTAGACTATCTTTGGCGGATCAACTTTTCTTGCGATAGAATTAAAAAAAATTCATAACTTTTAAAAAATCAATCGCTTCGAGTTGGTGGTACTTCAAGCAGCTTTTGTATTATATTTGTGTTGATGACTCGTGCTTCAGTACAACCGCTTGTGTGTTCCCAAAAAAAGAGAAAGAAAAGACGACAGCGAAAGCTAGATCTAGCGATTTAAAGAAAGCAAATGAAAAAAAAAAGAAAAAAAAATGAAAGGAAACGAAAAAGAATACGAACGAAAGTGCGATAAAAGAACGAGCAAGAGAGAATTTTGTAAATTATAAATTATTTAATTATATTCTAGTAACAAGACGATGTTTTTGAGATTGAACATTCGTAGTCAGTTTTTAGCCAGGAAAAAAAATTACACCGGAAAGAAAAAGAGACTTTGCGATAGAAACAAAAAGAGGATGTTAATTTTGCTTTTCAATGAAGGAGGACCGCTTCGAGATTCGTGTGCAATCAATGTTAGCGGGGGATAAAAAAAATAAATCTCAACCTGCTCAGGTAAGTATAAGTCCTTCATACTGCTCGCAAAACGTGAGTTTCCACTTTTCGGGGAAAAATGCTTTGAAAAAGAATAGTCCCTTTCTTCTACTCTCTCCGTCTCGTTAAATACTTATTGTTATCGGACCTTTCGTTCAATATTTTTTTTATGTTTTTTTTTAACTGATCTGTGATTACTCTGTTCTTTACCTCTCGTACACGAGACAATTTTTGTCTGTACAGTTTAGGAATGTTGAGCGAAAAATTCTCGACATTTTTTTTTTTAAATAATTAAAAGAACACGAATTTTCTCAATTCTCGAAATATTAAAAAAAAAAAAGCAAATACTTCTTCTTGGGAGGAAAAATAAATCGATGTATCTAAAAAAAAAATACCCGTAAAGTTGTGAGTAACGTGAAGCGACTGTATATCACAGTGGAATTCCACTAAACGTGTAGGAACATAAACTCAGAAAAAAAAATTTACTATATTATATATTTTAGCTAGGATCTCGGGAATGGCCCTATATCAATAGCGCCATTCCACGAACGTTGTAAGATATACGTTAATTTAATTACAAAAAAAATAAAAATGGCATTCGGATAGTACAAAAAAAAAACACGATTACGGAAAAATGTTTCCGCTTGTTTACTTGAAATTGTATATTTTTTTTATATCCTTAGGAACTAATCCTATAAGAGAATAATTACTGAATGCCATTTTACTAGGCTTGTATCTTTATTAATAATTAAGTATGCTGTGTATTTTATCATAGTATGAGTGAAATTAAAACAAACGGAACTGAGAAAAAAAAACCGTGGCTAAAATTACAATCAATTATTTAAATGAAAAAAAACGGGGCTTCTAAAAATGAACTTTTTTTTACTCTTGTTTAAAAAAAATACGTTCTCTTATTTAATGGATTTTTTTTTTAACAAATTTTATCAAGGTCGCGTCATCTTGATTATTATTTAACAGAGCGTATGACGAAATTTTTTTTTATATTCTGATGGGAATAGTTACTTTATTGGATCAACTTTTTTCTCATGGTGTCCAGATATTTATGAATTTAAGTTATGATTTAGCGCTATAAAATTCTTCAGTTTTTTATAGTAAATTCTTCATTTTCTTTAGGGGAAAAAATAATTTCAGTTATATTTTTTTATCTGCGAAAAGAGAAATGTTATATATTTAAGATCTTTATCGATATGATATACATACAATAACAAATAAAGTGTTAATTATCTATAAAATAATTTTTTTCATATTTTTTATTTGTCTGAGAAGCAAAAAAAAAAACCTTTGAATTCCAAAAGATGAAAATTGATTTCCATTTTTTATCATTTATGTAGACAAAATTTATTCTTTTTTGTTAAATTATAATTTAATCAGAAATTGTACTTGAAAATTGGAAAATTTCTTTTATTATCGTTTCATATAAATTTTTTTTTATTATCGTTTTTTATAAACAACAATTTTCAATTTTAATATTTTCATAAAAATGTATTTCTTGCTATTTGTTAAACACAAAAAGAGAGAGACGGTTTTTAAATGACAATTTTTAGCTAAAATAGTTTGATCAGAAAATATTTACTGCTATTGATTTTACATATTTTCGAGTTTTTATCTAACATGGAAAGTTTTTAATTCAGAAAAATATTATTTTAATGTTCTTAAACATTCGAACGTTCAAATCAACGACATTTTTTATTCCATTGCAAAAGAAAATTGTTTTTCATATTAAAGAAATTCTTAACTATAAGAAAATGTTCCATTTCAGTGTAATAATTTTCGAAAGTATTTGAAAATTTGAATAGAAAAAATTTTTTATTTATTTGAACGTTCAAAACTGAAAATTGTTTTATGAAATAAAAATTTATCTACCTATAGAGGAATAAATTCAAAATTACAATAGAAAGAAAAATTAATTAATATTTATGAAAAGTTTTTACAATCAGAAAAATATTCTTCTATGAAAGTTTATTATTAAAATTATCGATCGAAGAAGGAAAGAATTGAAAATTAAAATAGAAAGCAATTAATATAATTACTGTAATAAATAATTAATTAATTAATTAATTAATTACCGAATATTAATGAAGTAGAAAAATATTTGGAAGAAGTAAAAAATTAATCCATATTTCAAACTGATTTCGAATACATTGCGAAATGTAAATCTGGACACCATGTTTTGAAGCATTTTGTCCGGAAATTAAAAACACTTTCATTTTGATCGGTGAAAATAATAGAAAAGAAAAATTCTCTAAACTATTTTTTTAATGACAAAATAAGTCGTATTTTTATACACAAGTTTCAATTTTATATCCACTTTTTTTATTTGTATGAAAAGTTATTTATAAACTTTATAAATTAATTAAAAAGTGAAAAATTATTAATTATAATTAAAACGTGAAAAATTATTAATATTAAAAAATGAAAAATTATTAATTAATTAAAAAAACGAGAATGAAAATTTAATTTCCATGTAAATTGAATTAATAGTAATTTGTAATTTTACATTTTTATGTTGACACTTCTTTTTTTTGACAGGGTTTGTAAAGCTGTGAAACAATGGGAAATTTTTCTTTACAATAGAAAAAAAAAAGTTGCAGATGTTGAGTTTTTACGTGCAAAGAGCAATCCATTGAGTGATAATGTTAAATATTTATATAAATATAAAAAAAAAGAAAAGAAAAGACTTAGAAGTTAAGAAAGAGAAATTGGAAGATGATGACGATGATGAGAGTCGCACACACACACAATATTCTTTTTAGAAGTCCCAAAGGCAGAGTAGTTAGGCAATGAAAGAGTTTTTCGCCTTTCACTTCTTATTTAAGATTAAGCTATAGTTGTATAATGTTATGTCTCTAGTGTTGGCTTAATTCATAAATGACAGTGGCCAAAAATAACTCGGCACATGATCCACAACTTCGCCATAATCTAGATGTTTAAGTACAAAAGAAAAAAAAAATTGTTTAAATTTTTTCAAACGAGAAAAAGTTTTCAATTTTGTAACACCACATTTTTTTCAATTTTACTGTATGATTTTTATTTTTATTAAAAAGATATAATACGTTTTTAAAATATTTAAAATAATTTTTATTCACTATTTATTTTTGATATTGTGATGACTATTTTGTATAAAATATATATTATTTTTATGAGAAATAATATTTGATGAATTGTTCAAGAATTGAAAACTTTTTTTTTACGAAAATACTATCGTGTAGGGGTTTTTTTTATTTACATTTATTCTTACATTACTTCGAGAAAGAACTTTCAATTTATTTTTTTTAATTAAAAAATCAAAGAAATCAAATTTGTTGAATATTTAGAGTTTTGGTTGAAATTTCTTTGTTGAAGTGATGATGATTTTTTTGTGAAGATGAATTATTTTATGGTCTGTGAATCCAATACTCTTGATAGTCAAATCGAATTTATAGTAAATTTCCGAAACATTAAGTTACCAAATGTTAAATATTCTCAATAATCGTACAAAATATTTTTAAATGGAAGTGCATTTTTTTCGCTTTTATTTATTATATACTTACAACAAAGACAAAAATTTGTCTTGTTTTTGCTTTTTTTTAATTACGTTTTTTCAAATTTTGATTGAAACTGTTTCAAAAAAAAATTTCTAGTTTTTAATTTTAATTTCAGAAATAAAATTTAAGTTTTGATTTTTTTCTTGAAATTATAGTTTTATAAAAGAAGAATGGAAAAAAAATGTTTGTACTTCCATTTTCGTCCATTTTGACATGCAATAATTTTTTGAGTTTTATTGTAATATAAATAAAGAAAAAAGAAAATGAAAAAATGAAAATGAGTAAATGTTAATAGTAATATACATATATTAAAATGTAAAGTAAAATTGCGCTGAGTTTTTTTTGAATGTCTTACTGTCTTACACCGTGAACATTCTCTGGTAAGGCTGTGGAAAAGAATCCTATTATCTCCTTTTGACAAAAGGAAAAGAATTTCCAAATTTATCGATATGTGCGGACTACGTATCGATTTGCCTCGCAAAGCGATGCATTTTTTTTTTTTGCTAAAATAAAAAAAAATATGTATTTTATGGCCTTAAAACAAAGCATCATAATCGACTATTCGAGAAAGCGTATTGGAATTGTTTTGTAGCATTTTATACTCTCCATTGTAATACGTTTTTAAATATAGACATTTAAAGAAGAAAAAAATCACTCAGAATTTAAAAAAAAAATGATCAAAATGATGCTTTACAAATTTATAAATACACGAGAATTTTCAATTCTGGAAAATTCGAAAAAAATTAAATTGAAACAAATATTTGGTCTTTGATTTACAATTTCGAAAAATAAATTTTCTCATGAATGTATTTAGGTATCGATAAATCAGAGGCCTTATTAATGGATCATAGAGTCGATCGAAAAGAAAGAAGAAAAAAAAACCCGAATCAATACGAATTTTCACAAAATGTGCAACGATAGCACTTAAATCATATTTAAATGAAAAAAAAGAGAGTTTGTTATGAAATAAATCCAATGACTGATTGTAACTAATTAAATAATTGAGAGAATGTTCACTGTATGCTTCCGGTGCTGTGGAAAAGGCAAATTTTTCAAAATGTCTCCACAAGGTGTAATGGTACATAATGTCTAAAAAAATAATTAAAAACTGATGTTTCTCTACGAGATAGCAATATTTTTTGTTTAGACTTAATTTGTTGATTTTGTATTTTAATTTATAGACACAATATTACTAATATTGTAGAATATTATTATAGTTTTTAAATAGAAAAAAAATTCTATTAAAAAATTCGACTCTTTATGAAGAGTCAGTATAGTTTGATTTTTTAGTGTTTAGATAAGAAAAAAATCGGCGGGAAGATAAGTTTGACAATTAAGAAACAAAACAAAATTCTTCTGTCAAAACAAAAGAATTATTCTTATTGCAAGTTATATTTTTTTCCTTGCTTGTAAATCTGGAGTAAAAAGAAAAATTGTCTTCTTGAATAAAAAGAAAATTTTTCCTTCATTGGAAAAAAAAGGGGGGTGACTAGGCAAATTATCGTCGAGAAACATCACGTTAGTATTAGAATTATTCTCCTCTGTACAAGAATACCATGGAAGTTGAATATATATATATATATATTTTTTTTTTGTAATTTTATTAATTTAGACAGTAAATTGATTTTTAGGAAAAAAAAAATTATCACCTAAATGTTCGGAGGTTTGGACCAAAGAATTTTTGCACATTAAAGTAATATAGACATTTTTCGTGGGTCCTTTTTCTATTTTTCTTTTTCCTTTTTTATATTGTACAAATTGAATATTAATAGGAATATTGAATAAAAAAAAAATTCTTTGGATCATACCGAAAATGAGAAAGAGAGAGAATGAGAGAATGTACGAGAGAAAAAAAGTGTGTGAGAGAGTGAGAAAGATAAAAAAAAAGAGAGAGTGTGTGTGAGAGAAAATAATGTATGAAATTTAATAAATTGATCTAAAGTAGATAGATATTATTTTCTTTGGGGTTCTTAATGTTTTTTATTAACGAATTTTTCTCTCTTTTTACTTCGCTCAGAATTTCTGTAATATCTGACTCACTCTTTGACAGTTCCTCAATGAAATATAAAGAAAAAAAGAGAAATATTTTTCCATTGAATTTAATTCTCCAAATCCCAATTTTTTTTTATCTCTAAATATTCTTTTTGTTATGTTTAAAAATTAAGTAATAAAAAAAATTCTTTTTCGTAAATAAAATTTTTAAAAAATTTGTTTAAAATGTTGATCCTACATAAAAAAAAAGAAGTCGAGGAAATAAAGACTCAATAGGCATTTTTATTTCATTTTAACCATTATATTCGGAAATAAAAGTTCAATAAATACTGAATACAGTGACCAATTTTTATTAAATGTTTTAATGTTATTTTTCATACGTTTTTTTTTTTGCCACAAGGCCTAATAACAGTGTTCTTTTGCGTTCTTGGTTTGAAAAAGAAAAGATTACTTCAAAAAGGAAAAGTTCATTAAAAAATAAGGACGCACGTCAATATTTGCAAAAGGCATAAAATCATCGTGTAAAAGCATTTCGTATAAAAAAGGCGTTTCTTTTTTTTACTCTATTTCTAGTTTTTATTTTAATAAGAAAAATGCGCTTCAAATCCAAGGAACGTAGCTCGCGATTTGGTCCCTCTCTCGTAAAACAGTATTTCCTGTTATTTAGGATGAATTAATTAATTAAACTTTTAATCAATTAATTATTATTAACTACTAATTAATCTATTTTCTTTTTTTTTTGTATTTTCCAAAGTCATAATAATGTATTATTATAATATTATAAATGTATTATACGCGAGAGGTCAAAAGAGAACATTGAATGCGAGTGAAAAAACAAAAAAATTGATGAAAAGCACGCACAACAGCAGAAATTATAATATTTTTCTTTTTTTTATGATGAAGAAACTCTGTATTAAAACTTGTGGCACGATGTTTCTTTATTCCGAAAAATTTACAACAAAAAAAGAAAAAAACCAATTATCATTGAACTATAGTTTAAAATGCCACTTAATCAATGGGATATGAAACATTGACACGTATATAACATAGGTAATACAGTGGACAAGATCAGATATACAATTTGGTACAATTCTATTTTTTTTTGTGTCGTGACTGAATGTATCTTGGATAGGCCGCACAATCCCGAAGAGGTACGCATTAATTTCTTGGCTGTCACGTCGCTGACAGCCCAAGCCTCTTCGGGGAGCCCAGTCATTTTTTATTTTATTTTTTTTTGTTTTTTTTCACTATTTATATCACTTCTATCAATGATATTATAATTTAGGTAAAATCTTAATGAGAATATTAATAAGTATGTTTTTATTATTTTTTTTTCATGAATTAATTATAGGTTGTAATAATTATTTTATAAAGTCCCTTACACTAAGAATCATCAGACATGAAGGAATTTTGGGATTTCAGCTCCTCTAGAGTCCGAATTTGTTGACGGAGAAACAATATCCTGTAAATAATTACAATTTTTAAGTTAATGAACAAAAAATGTGAATACATATATTAAAATTTGAATTTCAGGCCTCGGATCGACTTTAAGGTGCAAAAAAAATTGCTTTAGTCGATTTAAAATAGAAAAAAGTCGTTTATTTAATTCAGTGTCATCACAAAAATTTTATTTTTTATTCTTCTGATCTTTCACTGATTTCTAAATTTAATTATTTAAAACTTGAATAATTTCGTTAAATAAATATTTAAATACTTCTTGTTTGTTTTTATACGGGAATAAAATTTTGAAAATTTCTATTTAAAACCTTCTGAAATTTAATAACTTCTAAAAATTACAACTTTAATCAGTTCTTTATAATGATTTTAACTGTCCCATGTTTTTTAAGTTATTAATTAATTTTCAAAAAATTATAATAAAGAAATTCTTAAAATTAATTTTTCAAAAATATTTTAAAAATAATTTATGAAAGATAATAGTTTTTCAATTATATAGAATTGAAAAATTTCCAAACAATTGAAATTTGGTAAATTCTATTAAAAAAATAATTGAATTTTTAAAGAATTTTAATTATTAATATAAACGCGATTTCTCCAAGATTTTAATAAATCTAAAGAAGTCATATGTTGTTAAAATGTTAAAAATAATTGTAAAAATTTGAATGTCATTATTTTTTGTATGTATTTGAATTTTTGGAAATTTGTATTTAAAAATATTGAAAATAATTGAAATTTAAAAAATTAGAATGCAAAAATTCTAAGAATTATTTTTATCCAAAATATTTTTATATAATTTTTTTGTAGCTAATTTTCATTAATTACTATTTTTAAATTTAGACTTTAAGATTTTTCATTAAAACTTTTGAGAAATCAATCATTTTCAAAATTAGCAATTAAAATTCTTTTAAAGTTTATTTTCAAAAATTTTTATCAAACACTTTGAAAAAAATCAATTATTTTCAATTAAATTTTACAAAATTTCAATTATTGAAACTCTTTTTTTATTGTAAATTTTGAAAATTTATTTAGTAATTTATAAAAATAGTTGAATTGTTTCGAAGAAATTATTAAAAATTTTAGGAAATAATTGAATTTTATGGAAATATTTGAAAATATTTTAATTCTTACGAGAAATTCAATTAAATATGTTTTGAAAATAATTGAATTCCTGCAAAGAATTTTAATATTTATAAAAATAATTGAATTCTTGCGAATTTATAAAAATAATTGAATTGTTTCGAAGGATTTATTAAGATTTTAGAAAATAATTGAATTTATTCGAAATATATTAAAAATTGTTTTAAAAATTAAATTCTTCCGAGGAATTTAATTTCAATTATTTTCAAAATTTGCAATTAAAATTCTTCAAATGTTGATTTTCAACAAATTTTTAAAAAACACTTTAAAAAAAATCAATTATTTTTAATTAAATTTTACAAAATTTCAATATTTGTTGAAACTCTTTTCAATTGTAAATTTCGAAAATAAGTTGCATTTTAAACTAAAAATTATTGCAATATTCAGAAGAAAAGTCGAAAAAGTCGTAATTTTTGAAAATAAGTCGAAAAAAGTCGCATTTTTTGAAAATAGTCGAAAAAAGTCGAAAATGTTATAATATCTGAGGCCTGGAATTTTGATACATTTTTTATATTAATAAATATTGATTTTTTTAGTTTTATCATTGTTTATAAAAATTACATGTTTTGGAAAATTAATAATTTTTATATAATTTAATAAAAGTAGCCTTCAAATTAAAAAAAAATGGGAAATTCAGGCTGGCCACATTTGATTTTGTTTTCCTCTGATTTCAAGTCAGAATTTTGGCTTCTTTCTGACTTTCACTCTAAAAATAATTAGACTCACAAGAAAATGTTTCTGATTTTTTAATTTTTAAATACAATTCTTCAATAAATAATTATAAAATTCAATTATTTTTTTCATTTAAGTAAAATTATGCGATTTAAATTTGATAAATAAATGATTATGAAATTCAATTTTTTTTTTGAAGTTTTAAGTAAAATTCTTCGATAAATAATTAAAAAATAAATAATTTTATGAAAATTCTTCGAAAAATTAAATTGTTTGTGGTGACCCTGGTTTATTGAGTGAACAAAAACAATTCAAGAAAAATTAAATATTTTTAATATTCCCTGATCAATTTTACTTTCTCTGAGTTTTCTCTAAATTTCCTGATTTCGCAAATTTGTGGCAAGCTTAAATATATTTTTCTAAGTGCTAGATAAAAACCAATTTCTCTTTTAGAAATTTTTTGCAAAAACCAAAAATTATCATTATCGTTAAAAAAATCAAACATAATTCATATTTAAATGTTGTATACAATTTCTAAACTATTAAATTAATTATAGAAAGTAAATTTTCTAATTTTTTAAGTAAGAAATATAATATTTTATTAATATTTTTTTTTTATTTCTACTTATCAAAATATTTAATTTACTGAAAAATGAACTCTGAGGCCTAAATTGAAATTGGACTAATTTATCAGTTATAAGAAATGCTCCAGTTGTTTAATATTTAATGGCACCGAATTTTCTTTTCACCAGTGTAATTGACTCAAATTTTTTTCTGCGTTTATTTTGAATCTCGAAAGAAAAAAATGGTTAATAAAAATGATTTTTGATTAAAACTCACCTTTGTTCCTGCAACGTCGCTTGAATTTCTGTCAACCTGACTATAGATCGCGCAGTTTTTAATTCTGCGGATACACGTGTGCATTGTAAACTGCCCATTGTATGTGCTTCTTCACTAAGCTTTTGCGCCTAAATTTACCAAAAATCGAAAGAAACAAACATTACAATAAATAAATAAATTTCAAAATGTATTCAAAGTATTATTACTTATTTTCATGAAAATATTAGAAATAGAACAAATAAGAATTGAAATGTAATTTTACCTGTTTTTCTAGAATGTCCGCGGGAAAAGCACGTACATGTTGAGTTAAATCTTCTCGATAATGATTTGCGAGTGAAGGCGTGAGGGAAGGCGTCAGAGGCGGTTGAACTCTAGATAATGCTTGTAAACCACCTCCATTACCTAAACTTCCTAGTGAACCTAATGTACTTAATCCTTGTAACGAACTGAGACCTTGGACACTAGAATTCGTAGCTCCTGGACTCGCTACTGTAAATAATTAGCAAAAAATGATTTAAAAACAATTTAAACTTTAAATTTTCCATTTTATTCTCTTTATTTTTTAGTTTAATTACTTTAAATTAATAATTCTCTTACTTTTTCGAACGTCAACACAGTCCTGAGTCTCCGAATGTGTAGGAGTTGGTGGACCTTCACTAGTGACATTACCACTAGTGTCAACTTTTAAAGGAGCCATAACGTCATTCGACATATTGGCTCGTTCTCCACTTCCCGATTGCTGAAAAATATTAAAATTCTTCTTATATCATTGATTAATAATTAGATTTCTAATTTTCTGTGACTTTTCAACGTTAAATGGTATTTATCAAAAAATTTTTTAAATTATTTATTTTCTTTAGAAGGATTTTATCAAAATTTTTGAAAATAATTGAATTCTAGAAATTTTATTAAAATTGTATTGAAAATAATTAAATTTTCGGAAAAATAATTTTATTATTTTTGAAAATAATCGAATTTTTTCAAAGAATATTTAAAAAAATTTTGAAAATAATTTAATTCTTGTCAAGAATTTTATTCAACTTTTTGTGTTTATTAATGATTGTAATTAATAAGTTTATTATTAAATTACAGTAAATTTTATGAAAAATTATTGATATAAAATTAAATTCTTTTAAACATTTTTATTATGTAATAATAAAAATAATTGAATTCCTGTGAAGATTTTTATTATTTATGAAAATAATTGAATTCTTGCAAAGAATTTTATTATTTATAAAAATAATTTAATTCTTGCGAAAAATTTTACAATTTACAAAAATAATTAAATCGTTTCGAAGAATGTTATTAAAATGTTTGGAAAATTATTGAATTCCTGGGAATTCCTTTACGGACCAATTACTGACAAAAATATAACGGATCCGAGTCAAATAAGAAAACATTTCACTTAAAACTAGAAATTAAATTTTTGTATAACTATAAAACATGAAGATATCGATCACTCCGAGTCGAAGACTCGGAGTGATCAATTTCTTCCTGTTTTATAATAATTATTTTATTATTATTTGTGAAAACAATTGAGAAGAATTTTATTACTTTTGAAGAATATTTAATTTTTGCGACGAATATTATTACTCTTGAAAATAATTGAATTTTTGCAATAATTTGTAACTTTTACAATATCGAATTTTTTTGTGTTTTTAACTAAAATTCTTCTATAAATGCATTATTTTTAATAATTTTTAAAAAAGTTCTCTAAGAATTTTCAAATTCATTTGTTTTTAATTCAATTTTACAAAATTTCAATTAATTATTCGTAAATTCTTCAATTAAATATATATTAGAAAATAAAAACTTCAAATAATATAAAAAAAATTCACTTACAATTTTTCGAAATAATTAATTTCAAAATTCTATTATTTCTGAAAATTTACGTTTTAACATTCAATTATGATATAAAATTTTAATTGAAATTCATTTTTAAATCAATTTTTATTAGAAAATTCTACTAGAATTCAATTATTTAAGTAGAAAAATAAATAATTTATTCAAAGAAGCTTTTACGTCCGAGTTGTTTTTTCAATTAGTAGGTAAAAATAATAAATTTTTTACACGAATACATTCGGACAAATGGTTATTTAATATAAAATTCACTCCAACGTTTCAAAATCAAAACGATTTCCTCTTCAGGGAGTCAATAAATAAAATGTTTTACATTACATGTCGAAGAAATTAAAATTTTTTTGCCAAAAATTGGAATGTGTCATTTGGTCATTTCAGTTCTAATCTTGACTTCACAATTTACACTTGTCGTCACTGTGAATTGTTGAAAAAAGTTTTGTTTTTTATTGTTTTGTTATTGTTTATTTATTTATTATTTTTTGTGTTGTTTTTATTATTTATAAATTGTTTTTGACCATGGATTAAGTTTCCGGGTTGTTATTAACTCCAAATGACACATTCCAATTTTTGGCAAAAAAATTTTAATTTCTTCGACATGTAATGTAAAACATTTTATTTATTGACTCCCTGAAGAGGAAATCGTTTTGATTTTGAAACGTTGGAGTGAATTTTATATTAAATAACCATTTGTCCGAATGTATTCGTGTGAAAAATTTATTATTTTTACCTACTAATTGAAATAATTTATTGAATAATTGAATGTTCCTTAAAATTCAATTCCCATACAGAATTTTATCAACAAATTTTTAAATAATTGAATTCTTTCGACGAATTTTAATATAATTTTTAAGAATAATTTCATTTTTCGACGAATACGATTAAAATTGTATTAAAAATAATTGAAATTCTGCAATGTGTTTTATTATTTCTGAAAATAATTGAATTCCAAAAAAGAATTTTATTATTTACGAAAATAATTGAATCCGTGTAAAAATTTTATTATTTATGAAAATAATTGAATGATTGCGAAGAAATTTATAAAAAATTTGTAGATAATTGAATTCCTGTGAAATTTTTATTATTTTATGAAAATAATTAAAGGTTTGCATATATAGAATTTTATTAAAATTTTTTTTATATAATTGAATTCTTTTCGACAATTTTTTTAAAATAATAAATATTAAAAATCATTGAATTGAGGTAAGTTTTTAAAAAGAATTGAAAATTTGCGAAAACTTTTATTAAAATTTTGGAAAATAATTGAATTTTTGGAGAAGAATTTTAATATTTCTAAAGATAATTGGAATTTTGACAAGAATTTAAAAAAAATTTTGTAAATAATTGAATTTCTGCGAAGAATTTTATTACTTTTGAAAATAATTGAATTTCTGCAATATTTTGTAATTTCTCCAAACTTAAATTTTTTTTAAGTGTTTTTAAGGGGCCATTCAAGTATTACGTAAGCATATTTTTCAGGTTTTTAGACCCCCCCTCCCCCATGTAAGATTTTTTATATGCATTAGCGCCATTTTTTCTAATGGAAATAAGCAATAGCTAGACCCCCCATCTCCCCCTTAAATGCTTACGTAATACTTGAATGGTCCCTAACCAAAATTCTTCTATAAATTCATTATTTTTAATAATTTTTGAAAAAGTTCTGTGAGAATTTTTAAATTCATTTGTTTACAATTCAATTTTACTTTCTATTATTCGGAAATTCTTCAATTAAATATGTTAGAAAATAAAACATTTAATAAAATAATTTCAAGTAAAATTGAAACAAACTTTTTAAAAAAAAATCCATTCTTCTACAGAATTTATTTATTTAATTATTAATTCAATTATTTAAATAAAAAAAATAATTTATGGAATAATTGAATTCTCATAAAGAATTTTATCAACAAATTTTTAAATAATTGAATTCTTCGCGACGAATTTTAATAAAAGTTTTATTACATTTTTCTAGGAATTCCATTAAAATTGTATTAAAATTCAGCATTGAGTTTTATTATTTATAAAAATAATTGAATTCTTAAAAAGAATTTTATTTATGAAAATAATTGAATCCTTGTGAAAACATTATTATTTATGAAAATAATTGAATAATTTAGAAGAAATTTGTAAAAAATTTGTAAATAATTGAATTCCTGTAAAATAATATTATTTTATGGAAATAACTAAATGTTTGAGTTGAATTTTATAAAAAAAAATTTTAAATAATTGAATTCTTTTGGAAAATTTCATTAAAATAGCAAATATTAAAAATCATTGAATTGAGGAAAATTTTTGAAAATAATTGAAATTTTGTCCAAGAATTTTATTAAAATTTGTAAAAATAATTGAATTTCGAAGAAGAATTTTATTATTTTTGAAAATAATTGAAATTTTTACTAGAATTTTTAAAAAAATTTTGAACATAATTGAATTTCTGCGAAGAATTTTATGAATTTTGAAAATGATTGAATTTCTATAATCATTTGTAATTTCTCTAAAATTCTCCAAATTATATCTTACAATTCACGAACTTTTTGTCCTTTTTCTTTCAAATTACGGACCTTTTTTTTTAAAAAAACGGACTTTTACAGACTTGATGCAAATTTACGGACCTTTACGGAATTTACGGACTTAGTTCGAGCCGTGGAAATTATTCAAAAATTGATAATTTTATTTGAAAATATAAAACTTTGTAATTTGCAAAATAATAAAAAGTGGGATATCGCCAGTATATTATATACTTTGAATGTGGAGCGTGAAATATTTGTAAAAGAAAATAATAATAATTACCTGTCTGGACAACATAATTGCAGTTTGAAGGGTTTGCAGAGCTTTTTGAGGGGTGATGTCAGGTTGTTCTTTGCTGCCAGTAATTTGTGACAGAAGTCTAGGTAAATTTGCGAGTGACACCGGTGGACCTGGAGCATTGCTATTACCATGTTGTTGCGTTGGTGATGCTAATTTTCCAGGGGCTTGAGGTATCGTTGAAGGGTGTGACGTTAATCGAGGTAACGCTGTAAATTGAAAAAATTGAATTTATAAATCTATTGGAATTATTAAAATAAAAAATAATGTAGAGAAAATAAAAACGCACCTGTAGCTAGCAATACCGGCCCTTGGGGAATTTGATCGTGAACATTGGATGTCAGTGGTTCTGAGGTGGGTGTAGAATCACCGGGAGAGATGTCCATGTCTTGTGTTTGACGTTCAACTCCCAAATCTTCTCTGCAGGAATCTCGCTCTTTCTCACGCTCTCTCTCACGTTCTTTCTCTCTTTCGCGTTCTCGTTCACGAGACGAGACATCCTCTCGACTGCTATTCCCACTGTTACTACTACATGAGACCCAATATTCGCGTTTGTCAGTTTGCCGTGATGATTTACCATCTCGCGCACTACTGGCACTGCTGTTTGATCGCGAGTTGGAATGTTTATCGTGACCTGCAATCAAAGAAGAAATCATTAATTCCACTAGAAATCAGAAACTTTACAATTTTTGAGAATAGTTCTTATTTTTCATTTTCACTTACTTGACCTACTGGAGTAGTCATTGGATTGACGCTGACGACTATCGGTTCGAACAATCCATTCTCTCGGCTTTTCCCATTGTGAAACTTCAGTTTTGCAATTATAATAATACTTCTTCCCTGATGAACTCATATGCTCCGACCAGTCGCCAAACCTGGCCGTGCGTTCCATAGTTCCCCGTTCATCGCCCCGTTTGTCCTTTAAATTCAAATTATTAATAATGATTCTCTATATTAAAAGAAGAAAGGGACTTAAAAAGCAAACAATAAATAAATAAAGCTAATACAATAACTTGTATTAGTAACTGATTATCTTTCTGTATTTTTACTCCAAACACTATGAACATAAACATTTTTTGCCTCTACCTTTTTTTTTGGTAGCACATAATTATTTTAAAACAAAAAATACAAACCTGACACGAATTATGCGTTGGCTTCCGTTGTGAAGACGATTCTCTAGATGAGTTTGAAGATATTTTTATAGGATGCAAAATCTATCAAAGAAAAACAATGCAGTATTCTTATTAAAGAAGCACGGTAAAAAAAATCGAATACTACAAAATTCCATAGAAATAATACAGGGTTGCAGACTTCGCACTCGATAATTAATTTTAAAAAAGTAGCTTTCAAACTAAAAAAAGTAGCTATCGAAAAATTAAACTCGACAACCAAAATAAAAACTGGTTTTATACACTTTACAAAACTGACAAAAATTCCCATCCTATATTTTATTTTTCTGACTTTTTCCTAATTTTCATCAAAAATATTTACTTCTTTCTTATCCTAATGCTAATAAATTGAATTCCTACAACGAATTTTATTATTCATGAAAATAATTGAATTCTTAAGAAGATTTTTACAAAAAATATTTTCAATAATTGAATTCTGTTTAGAAATTTTATGAAAATAGTAGATATTGAAAATCATTGAATTGCGAAATTTTTTTTAAAAATAATTCAATTTCACAAAAGAATTCTATTAATATTTTTAACAATAATTTAATGTCTGTGTGATTATTAAATTTTTTTAAAAATAATTAAATTCCTAAAAAACATTTTATTATTTATGAAAATAATTGAATTCTTGCGAACGATTTTATTAAAATTTTTAAAAATAACTGAATTTCCAAGAAGAAATTTATTACTTTTAAAACTAATTGAATTCTTGCATTGATGAATATTGTTATTTATGAAAATAATTTTAATTTTGCAAAGAATTTTATTAAAATGCGTCAAAATAATTGAATTTTCGAGAATAATTTTGTTATTTATCTTTAATAATTGAATTCTTAGGAAGAATTTTATTAAAAATTTTCAAAAATAATTAAATTCCTGAGAAGAAGTTTATTATTTCTGAAAGTTTATTAAAATGTTTAAAAAGAATTTGTAAATATTTGTGTAAAATTTTCTTATTTTTGAAAATAATTGAATTCTTGCTTAGAATTTAATCAAAAATTTTGTTAAAAAATTGAATTTTAATGAAAAATATTATTATTAGTGAAAGTAATTGAATTATTGTAAAGAATTGTATAAAATTTTTGTTAAACAATTGATTTTTTAAAACTTTTTTAAAAGTTTATTTAAATTTTAAAAATTTAGAAATTTTATTATGTATGAAAATAATTGAAATTTAGATGAATTTTATCAGTTTTCCTTTTAAATAATTGAATTTTTTTGCGAAATTTTATAAAAATTCTAGATATTGAAAATAATTGAATTTCGAATATTTTTTTGAAAATAATTGAATCGTTTTGAAGAATTTGATTATAATTTTTGAGAATAGTTTTTTGATTTCTAGTATTAGCTATTTTAATTAAAGTAGTGGAAATTCTCAAAACAACAGAAATAGTAGCTTTTAGCGTCTGAAATCTAAAAAAAGTATTCAAATAGTAGCATAACGTAAAAAAAGTAGTAAATGGTAGGTTTTTGTAGATGAGTGCGAAGCCTGGGGTTGCCACAAAAATTTAATCCTGTTTTTCCCTGATTTCCAGACAAAATTTTTACTTTTTCCTTTAAGCTAAAGTATACTCTGAATCACTCTAAAAATGGTTAGATACTCAAAAAAATGTTCTATTACATTTATTTACAAATTTCTTTAATTGTCAAATTATTCAAAAACATCAATAATTTCTTTTTTAAATAAATATTTAATTATTATTAGTTTTTCATAGAAATAAAGATTTTCAAAAAATCAAAATTTAAACCTTTTTGAAATTCAACAACTTATAAGAATATTATTGTAAAACATGAAGATATTGTTACTGGAACTTATTCAAAATTATTTTCATAATTTCAATCCAATTACTATTTTCTAGAATTTTTAACTGAAATTCTTCTTTAAATCAATAATTTTTAATAATTTTCATAAAAGTTCTTTGATAATTTTCAAATTCACTTGTATACAATTCAATTTTACAAAATTTCATCGATTATTTGAAAATTATTCAATTGTGTATTAAAAAGTAAAAAACTTGAAATAATTTTGAAAAAAATTCAATTAAACTTTTTGAAAAAAATTAATTCTACAAAATTGTTAGTTAAAAGTATGAAAAATTCAAATATTCAAAGATTTTAATTTAAAAATCTCTTCAAAATTCCATTATTTTTAAAAATTCATGTCACAATGCTTTTAATATTAAATAATTCTCTAAAATTTTAAATGAAATTCATTTTTAAATCAATTTTTATTAGAAAATAATACGAGAATTTAATTATTTGAATTTTAAATACAAAAATAAATAAATTATTGAATAATTGAATATTTTTTAATATTAAATTCTCATCAAGAATTTTATCAACAAATTTTTAAATAATTGAATTCTTTTGACGAATTTTTAATAAAATTTTTAAGAATAATGATATTTTTCGAGAAATTCGATTAAAATTGCATTAAAAATAATTGAAATTCCGCGATAAGTTCTATTATTAATGAAGATAATTGAATTTCTAAATAGAATTTTATTATTTATGAAAATAATTGAATCTCTGTACCTATAAAATTTTATTATGTATAAAAATAATTGAATTTCAGAGAAAAAATTTATTATTTATAAAAATAATTGAAATTTTGACGAGAATTTAAAAAAATTTTTGCACATGATTGAATTTCTGTAAAAAATGTTATTATTTATATAAAAATAATAGAATCTCTGTAAAAATTTTATTATTTATGAAAATAATTGAATCTCTGTAGAAAATTTTATTATTTTTTATTTATGAAAATAGTGGAAGAATTATTGCGAAGGAATTTATAAAACATTTGTAAATAATTTAATTCCTGTGAAATGTTTATTATTTATGAAAATAATTAAATGTTTACGTAGAATTTTATTAATTTTTTTTAAAATTGTATTCTTTTGGAAATAAAATAGAAGATATTAAAAATCATTGAATTCAGGAAATTTTTTGAAAATAATTGAAATTTTACCAAGAATTTTTGACAATTTTGATGAAATTCTTTTTAAAAAAATCATTATTTTCAAAATTTTTAATAAAATTCCTTTAAAAGATTTATTTATTTTCAACAATTCAGATAAAATTCTTCGAAACAATTCAATTATTATTAATTTTTAAAATTCTCCTCAAGAATTCAATTTTTGGAAATAATAAAATTCTTCTGAGAAATTCAATAATTTTCAATACAATTTTATTAAAATTTCTCTAGCAGGTTCAATTATTTTTAAGAATTGTAATAAAATTTTTCTAAACAATTCAATTGTTCTCAAAAGTTTTTAAAAAAATTCTTTGTAAATTTCAATTATTTTTATTAATGAAATTTTTCAAAAAAAATGTTATTATGTACAAAAACTCTAATTAAATTGTTTAAAAGAATTTAATTTTCTATGAATAATTTCAATAAAATTTAATAGGAAAATTATTAATTACAATTAATAATAAACACGATTATTTTAAAAACTTAAAAGAAAATCTTCCTAATATTCAATTACTTTCAAAATTTTCAGTAAAAATTATTAAATAAACTCCATTATTTTCAAGATAATTGAAATAAATTCTTTAAAGCAATTAAATTATTTTAAAGAATTTTAATAAAAATCTTAATTTATGCGATTTTGTTGTTTATCAAGTTAATTGAATTCTTTTGCAAAATTACTTAAAAATTTTTTTAAATAATTTATTTTCTGCAACGAATCAAATGTTATTTGTGAAAATATTTGAATTATTGCAACGAATTTTATTGTTTTATTAAATAATTGAATGTTTCTTAAAATTGAATTCTTTCCACAAGTTTTAATAAAATTTTTAATAACAATTGTATTTTCCAAGGAATTTATTTAAAATTGTATTAAAAATATTTGAAATTCTGCGATAAAAATAATTGAATTCGTAAATGAAATTTTATTATTTATGAAAATAATTGAATCTTTTCGTAGAATTTTATCAACAAGTTTCTTCTATAATATTAAATTTGTTGATAGATTTTATGAAAATAGTAAATATTTAAAAACATTGAATTGCGAAAAACTTTTGAAAATAAATGAAATTTTGCAAAGAATTTTATTTAAATTTCTGAAAATAATTGAATTTTTGGCGAAAGTTTTTGCTATTTATAAAGATAATTGAATTCTTGACGAGATATTCATTAAAATTTATAAAAATAATTGAATTCGTGCAAAGTATTTTATTAAATTTTGTTTAAATAATTGAAATTTTGCCAAGAATTTAATTAAAATTTTTGACAATAATTGAATTCTTGAGAAGAATTTTGATATTTATCAAAATAATTGAATTTTGGAAAGGAATTTAATTAAAAATCCTTGAAATAATTGATTTTATGGGGAATTAATAAAAAATATTTATGAAAATAATTTTCAAAACAAAAGTTTCCAATTGAAAGTTTTAACGACAGTTTGCTAAATTTGGTGTGAATTCATCATTAAAAAAAAAGAAAAAATTGGGGAAATTTAGGGAAAAATAAGGTACGTTTAGGGGCCAAAATTATAAAAAGGGGACTTTTAGGGAAATAGGGGACAGACTGTGAAGCCTGAATACAAAATCGAAAATTACAAATTTAATTTTAAATCCACAAATTACAATTCCAAATCTTTGATTAGAAACAAATTGAAGAATGAAAACAACTCGATGATTCCAAATAGAGAACATCGGGTATGTAAACAGAAATTAGTTAATTATATCAAACTTTAAGGACCAGGACCACCGTTTCACTTATCCTGGTGCCTTAATAGATGACTTTTCTCTTCGAGAAGGGGAAAAAATTGACAAATCTTACCTCTCCACTGCTCCTATCATGATTGGTCCTGTGTTCTGAATCCCTGCTTTCGCGGCTCCTCTTATCTTTCGGAGATCGTGCACAATCTGCAAAAGAAATCACGTATTTCGTAAAACTTGAACATTTAATTAATAAATAAAGCTAATTATTGTATAATTAAAGGAGAATCTCACCGGAATACTTGTCCCTAGAGGAGGATAACTTATAGTCTCTGTTTTCTCTCTCCTTCTTGTAAAGAGGTTTACTGGCATAATTACGGGGGCTGTCACGATCTGCTCCCATACCCATTCCCAAACCTCCGGCTGGACTGTACGAGTTACCATTTGGGGAATCTCGCATTCGCCCCTCGTAACGACTATCCGACGTGGTCGACGAGGAGTAGCCACCCTTTGAACTACTGTATTTTGTGTTCTGCAAAAACAATTCAAAACATTTTAAACATTAATCTTTACATCTCAAGATATATTAAAGTATATCAGTAAAGTATATCTGTAAAGTGTTTACGAAATTAAAACAAAATATTTCAATATTGCTGCATATAAAAACAATGAACATTAAAATATAAATTAAGAAACAATATTTAAATCACGAAAAAAGCAAATGTTAACTTTTTCCGCAATTGCGTCCTCACGAAACAAATATGTCAATTTCATACTAAAAATTCATTGTTTTTTAAATACCAAATAAACATAAATGTCATAAGCAATGTGAATATTTGTTTCTTAACAATTTTTTCAAGAGTTTACCTGCAACAATAAAAGGTCAACAGAAGTATCTGGGTTATTGATTTTTACAAAAAGTGAGGTTATGTTTACAAGAAAAGATCTAAGAAATGGAAAATTTAATGACAAATACAAAATAAGAAGTAAACTAATCGAAAAATGTATAAGGAATACAAAAAAATGAGCACAAAGACAAAATTTGTTGTTTAAAACTTTGTTAAGATAAAAAAAAAAATAAAAACAAAGTAAATGAAAATTTGTCACTAAGGAAACAGAAAAAAATATTTCAATCTTAGAAAAGAATTAAAAACATTTTTTTTACTCTCCTTTTCTGAAAAATTTCAAAAGCTAACCAAATAATTATAGTTACAATTAGAATTTACACTTAGAGTTTTTTCTTGATAAAACTAAACATCAAATATTATGCTCCATTAAATACAAACATAAAAACGAATTGAATAAAAATACATCAAAAAGAATAGAAAAATAATGTTAATCCTGACAAAATAAAATTACAAATGAAAAAAAGAATTTAACAAGACAAATCATTAACATAATGGATATTACAAAAAAAAGAAAGTTTCACAACAAATTTTGCCTGAATTGATGTTTTAAATGGTAAAAATGACAAGAAGTAGGTATGTAATGAAAAAAAAAAAAAATTGTACATCGAATTGGTTAGTGGTGGGGTAATTATGAAAATGAGAATTGAAGATGAAAAAAATGTGAAAATTAGCTGAAAATATGAATTACGTTAATGGAAATATGAAAATGATGAATAAAATACGTGTGACAAATGATTCGTGTTGTGAGATGAAGCCCCCCTCCCGATCCCGTGGCACCCAGAAAACACCTTTGATATTTACCTGATAGGGATGGGCCTGGTGTTTGTCGAAGTACCTGTAATCATAGAGAAAAATTGTCAGTTAAAGAGAAACAAATAATTGGGCTTTCCTCGATGGACATTTATGAAAATCCATCACGGAAAATAAACCCCGGGAATGGCGGTGGTGATGATAGCTGGTCGGACAGACGGACGTCGTGATCGGTGAGGTTGGTTGTGTCAGGATCAAAGTATTTGGACGAAGAGCCCTACCCATCGCTGATCCTTTGTGGTTTCCTCGCATGCATTACCATCAATGCCGGTGTCTAGGGAAAATTCGCGGCCTCGGAGGTTCCCTTTTTGTTCGGTCAATGTCATAAAAACAACATTAACGTTTATTTAACAGTCAACTTTCTTTCTACCCGGACGCCATGTCACATACGTGATTCGTTCTCTACCCCGGCCGCAACGAAGCCGTGTCAATAGAAGAATGCACTTCCCTAACGTCATTAATCGTGTCACTAGACACGTCACATATATATATTTCCCATTAATCCAGGGACGACGATAGAAAAAGAAAATTTCAACTTATTTTTGCAATATTTTTTTCTATTTAAATTCGACATTATTATCACTTTAATAAGTTTTACTCGTTTTACTATATTTATTCCAACTAAATTAAGAATAAACTTTTTAATAATATTAAGGTTAGAAAAATTCTAATATTAACCCTGGTGACCCGGGTTTTTTTAATTAACACTACGTTACATATATTTCTGACAATAAGAAAATGCTCCTCCGTTAAAATAGTCACTTGAAAAAAACTTAGTTTTTTCAAAATCAAATCAAACTAAACACATTTTCCCGTAAGTAATCATTGCAAACGTATGGAGAAAATATAAATTATTCTAAAATATCTTTCTTTGATTTTTATCTAGTGATTATAATGTAATTTCGAAGTATAATCAAATTTTGAGGTTTTTGGCCATTAAGTTTTCTAACCTCAAAATTAGAGAAGGCGTTCAAAGCCTTATTATTGATATTATATTTCATATTTTTCTCAATTATTTAGACTAAACGTATACTTTAACTGTTTGTGAATTGTAAGAGATCTTAGTGAAATTATAATTTAATTAGTTAATTGAAATTATTTTTCACGTCACTTAATTCACTTTTTTCAGGTTTTATGTTCTCGAGGCACGATTGAAAAAATAATGTAACACTATGAATAATTCAGATGAAGATGAATATTTTACATGGCTTGATAAATTCGCCTCTCTTTTAAAAGGAGTTACTGAAAATATAAATAATGATGCTTCATTTGGTCATCTTCTCAATGTTTATGAAGAGTAAATATCTTTAAGTAAACTGATTTAATATTGAATTTAAATGAAATGTTTGAAAATGTTTTACTAATATTATTATTATTTATGCCAGGATCATTTCTAGAGAATATTCCACGTGCTTTCATGATAAAGTTAAAGCAGTTATGTTGAAAAATCATATCAAGAAGACTTTAAATTTCTTCCATTTTTATTGGCGAAACTATAAAGAGGTATAGAATCATTTAACTTTTTAAAATTGTGATATTTTGACAAAAATTATATTCTAATATTTGTGTTTAAATTTGTATTTTATAATTCAAGTCTCTTTCTTCTTTTATATTTTAGACAGTCAGCGATCGTTATTTGTATTTAAATAAAATGACTGATATACTTAAAGTATACTTAGATCTACAAGTTGAAATAAATTGCAAACTTGTTAATTCTTCTGATATCATCACCGCTCTATGTCTCTATTTAGGTAATATTAACTTTTTACAAGAATTTTTTACTTCATTGAAATAAATTTTAATCGATGGAAATTATTTTCAATAACTTTAGATAACTCAGAGGAGCATATTTTCAAAATTCTACTAAAGGGCAAATATGAGACGGAAGAATTAAAGAAACTTTATTGTCCTATATTCGCGTAAGTTATTTCAATTATATATTTATTTAATTATTTAAATTATCTTCTATCTTCTTCTATATTAATAATTTATATTAAATAATCGTTGTTATTCCTGTAATTTGTTCGCAGTTTGAAGTTAGTTGCAGTTTACTTTTTTGCTTCCTAACTTTTTAAAAAATTTAAAAATTTTTTAAATTAATGTACTGAAAATCATTGAATTCTTGTGAAGTATTTATAAAAAAAATTTGAAAATAATTGAATTCATTTCAAGAATTTTATCAATCAGGATTGCCACAAGTCAAGGAATTCAGGGAAAAGTCAGGGATTTTTATTAAAAGTACTGGAAAAAATTTAATTTTTAGAATTTATAAGAAAATTTTGAATTTTGGTGCCTTTTTTGTTTGCCTCAAAAACTATTAAATTGACAAGAATTCTAATACAAACCCTTCAATTTTTTCTATTTTTGACAATAATTTCTTTTTAAATAACTTCATTCTTGAAGAACTATCAGAAAATTATTATTTAGAAATTATTTAATCAATAATTTTACTTAAAAATTTCAAAATTAATTGGATTTCAAAAGAGTTGCGTTTACAATCTTCATAAATAGATGAACTTCAAAGGTTTAAATTTTAAATTTTAGAAAATATCAATTTTTAATAAATTTAAATAGAAATTTTAAGAACAACTGATTACAGAAATTCAATTACTTTTGAAAGTGATAAACTTTTTTTTGTTTTAATTTTTGTTTCTTCGAAACAATTCAATTATTTTCGTAAAAAATAAAATTCTTCGAAGCAAATCAATTATTTAAATAATTATAATAAAATTCTTCCCAAAAATTCAATTCTTCTCAAAAAATAATCATTTTCACAGGAATTCAATTATTTAAAAAAAAATTTTTGTTCTTTGTCAAATTTCAATTATATTCAATTTTTTAATGAAATTTCTAGATAAAATTTTATTATTTTTAAAAGCTTTTAAAAATTCTGAAAAATTCAATTATTTAAAATAATTTGAATAAAATTCTTCACAAAAAATTAATTAATTTCATTTTTTTTCCGGAATTCAATTATTTTCACAAATAAAATTCTTCACAGGAATTCAATTCTTTAAAAAATTTGTTAATAAAATTCTTTGAAAGAATTCAATTATTTTCATACAATTTTAAATAAAATGATAGAAAATTGCATTTATTCTTATACAATTTTTTTTAAATTCGCCGAAAGAATTTAATTATTATTAAAAATTTTGATAAACTTCTTCAATAAAAATTCAATTTTAAGAAATATGCAATGATTGAATAAATTATTTATTTTTGCATTTAAATAATTGAGTTCTCGGGAAATTTTCTAATAAAAATTAATTAAAAAATGAATTTCATTAAAATTTTTAAATTATAATTCAATATTAAAAGCATTATAGCGTGAACTTTTGAAAATAATTGATTTTTGAAAAGGGCTAAAATTAAAATCTTTTGAAAATTTGAATTTATAGTTACAATATTTTTATGATATAAAATAATAATTTTATCACTCTGTTATCTTAAATTTATTATAAAACATGAGGAAATCGATTACTCCGAATCGAAGACTCGGAATGGTCGATTTAATAATTAAATATTTATTTAAAAAAGAAGTTTTTATGTTCTTCAGGTTCAGGGAAAAAGTGAAAATTTTATCTGGAAATCAGGGAAAAGTCAGGGAAAAACAAAATTAAAATTTTGTAGCAACCCTGATAAATATTTTTTCAATAATTGAATAATTCTTTCGAGAAAATGTAATTAAAATTGTATTGAAAATAATTTAATTCTTGGAAAGATTTTTATTAAAATTCTTTACAAAAAGTCAATTTATAAACAGTAAAAATCTTCGTAAAAAATTCAATTACTTTTATATAAATAATAAAATTCTTATCAGGATTTCACTTATTTGCAATACAATTTTAATTGCTTTTTTTTCGAAAATTTTAATTATTTTTAAAAATCTTGTGAAAATTCTCCGAGAAAATTCAATTATTTTTTAAAATAATTGAATTTTTTATAGGAGTTCAATTATTTAAAAAACTTTTAATAAAATTCAATTCAAGAATTGAATTATTTTCATAAATAATGAAATTTTCGCTGGAATTCAATTATTTTAAAAATACAATTTTAATTGAATTCCTAGGAAAATTAAGTTATTATTAAACATTTTTTTTTAAATTCTTCGAAAGAGTTCAAAAACATTAATAAATAGTAAACTTTTCACAGGAATTCAATTATTTTATATACAATTTTAATAAAATTCTTCTAAAAAAAATCCACTTATTTTTTTAAATTTCGCAAAAATTCAATTATTTGTAGAAATAATAAATTTTTTCGCAGGGATTCAATTATTTAAAAATGTTTTAATAAAATCCTATTCAAGAATTCAATTATTTTCAGAAATAATTAAATTGTCGATGTATCTACTGAAAAGCATCGAATTCTTGTAATATAAAAAAAAATTGAAAATAATTGAAATTTACAAAGAATTTTATTAAAAACTTTTAAAACAATTGAATTGTATAGAAAAATTTTATAACAATTTATAAAAATAATTCAACCTGTTAGAGAAATTTGATTAAAATTATCTTGAATATAATTGAATTTTTTCCTAGAAATTTTATTAAAATTGTATTGAAAATAATTGAATTTCTCAAAAGAATTTTACAATTTACAAAAATAATTGAATTTTTAGTAAAACTCTTTAAAATAATTGATTTTAAATAATATTTTTATTTGTATTCTTTCGAGAAATTTTATTAAAATTGTATTGAAAATAATTAAATTTTTCCGAAACATTTTATTATTTATGAAAATAAATTTAATTCCTTTGTAGAATTTTATTATTTATGAAAAAAATTTAATTCCTTTGTAGAATTTTATTATTAATGGAAATATTTTAATTCTTGCAAAGAATTTTATTATTTATGAAAATAATTAAATTCTTACGGAGGATTTTACAATTTATTAAAAGAATTGAATTGTTTCGATGAATTTTATCTAAATTTTTGAAAATAATTGAATTTTTTGAAAGAATTTTATTAAAAATTTTGAAAATAAAGATTTTTTTAAAAGAATTTCATCAAAATTGTTGAAAATAATTTAATTTATATTAAAATTCTTGTAATTTATCGAATTTAATTAATATTTTTAAAAATAATTGTATTCTTTCGAGAAATTTTATTAAAATTGCATTGAAAATAATTGAATTGCTCTAAAGAATTTTATTATTTATGAGAAATATGAAATTCTTGCGAAAAATTTTATTAAAATTTTTGAATAATAATAAACAAGAATATTTAATATTATTTAATGTACTTAATGAGTTAATTCTTTAAATTTTAAATCTGTAATCATTCAAAAATTAATGTTTATTCTTGAAAATATAAAATTTATTAATTTACAAAATAATAATAATAAATGGAACACCGCGTTCCGCGCGCTGGCGCGCATATCATTTGCTAGTGTATTTATAATTATTAGTATTAATTAAATAATAAATTACGAAATATATTTTGATTTTAGAAAATTCCTGTCGAATTTCGAAAATACCGAAGAGTCAATAAAAGATTTTACCTACATCCGATATTTACTGGCATTTAAATTATGGGAAAGAATTGTTGACAATTCAGATGAGCAGTTAAAAATTAAAAACATGGCCCAACAAAAGTTGGGCTTTCTAATGCCACAAATGGATTTGGAATTATTGAACATTATTTCAAAATCTCCAAATGGACACATGAATGCCACATGGTGGCTAATGAAGTACAGTTTGGTTGGTTTGCAAAAGATATGCAATGACTTTTTGGAACTCGAGGAGAAAATTCATTCATTTTGTGATGTCGAAAAGGTATGTATTTCACTTTTTGTTTCTATTTTCAATTGAAAATTTATAATAGAAAAAAAAACATTCAAAATTTACAGTTTGACGTGAAAAATTCCCTCGAAGAAAAATTATCACCAGTGAAGAAAAAAATGAAACGTACAGTGCCAAAATTAAAAAAGAATCAATTACTATTAATTGATTTAACAAATGATAATGATGAAATAAAAGAAATTATCACCAATAAAGAAAAGCCAATAAAAAGATCAATATGCATTGATTTAACAAGTGATAATGTCGATTTAAAGGAAATTACAAAGAAGCAAAGGCTAATAAAGAGACCGCAGTGGTTGAATGAAATCAAAATACAAAAGACAAATTTAAAGAATAAATCCAAAAAATCACAATCAATCACAAAGCGGATAAAGATATCAGAGAAAGATACAAGTAGTAATGAAAATTGCGAAATGATTGACGATAATAATAGTGAGAATATTCACCAAAAATCTGATGTTACCTTCAATAATTCTAATGAAATTAATTCAGATCTTGTTAATGCGAGCACGATCTTAATTAACGATAGTTATAATGAAAAATCTAGTGATTCCCATCATGATGTTGTTGACAGTAGTACAACATTTGTAAATTCAGTCTGTGATCATTTTAATTCTAGTGTACTTGTTCCTGAACTTGAAAAGAATGATTTTAACGATTTTTGGAGATCAACAACATTCGAAGATTATCTCTCAGAATCTACATCGTGCATTGAAACTGATTCATATAAAACATTCCAAGAAGAAATTTCCAATGAACAATTTTTCGGCGAACCATCAAATCTAATAAATGAAAATCAATTATTTGAAAAAAATTTATTATTGAGAGAAATTTTAAATTATTCCTCAAGTAAATTTTTTCCTTCCGACGTGAATTTTTTAAAGAAAACTGAAAAAATTACTGATAAAACAGAAAATGATAAAAATAATATGAATCAAGTTTCAAGTTCACTCAAATTCTTTTATTCCACAGAGCAGGAAATAAATCCCAATCTTCTAAAGAACACAAAAGAGAGTGCAGAATTTGTAGAAATCGGTGACAAAAATGATATGAATGAAGTTTCAAGTTCGTTGAATAAATTCTTTTCTTCCAATGATCAAGGAATATGTTCAAATCTTAATCTAAAGAAAGCAGAAGAATGTAAAGAATTTGAGGAAAATAAAATTGACATCGATAATAAAAATGATTTGAACGAAGTTTCAAGTTCGCCGGATAAATTTTTTTATTCCACCGATCAAGGAATAAATCCAAATCTTCTTTTTTTGAAAAAAATCGAAGAATTAAATGACAGTGAGAGAGAATTTATGGAAAATAAAATTGACATCAGTGAAGATTTTGAAGAAAATGAAGAATTTTTTGACAGTAACGATATGAATGAGCAAAATGAAGTTTCTAGTACATCGTCATCACATTATAAAAAGTCATATATTCGGAGTTATTTAAAAGAAGTAAAATCAAATATTTCATTTGATTTGGAACAATTTGTTCAGCAGTTACTACCGTTTAAGAAAAGATATCTTCAAGGAGGAATTCATGAAAATGGTTTGAGTTTATTCAACAAAGGTAAATCAGCAATTTACTTAGAGGATATTTTTTTCGTTAAATTTTTTCTTTGCTAAAATTTTTCTTTTCTTCGAATTTTTTAATTACTATTTTAATTTAAATAAAATATATTTAAATTAACTACTTACATCTATAAATACACATAAAGAGTATCGAAAATTTTATAAGCAATTTCAAGATTTAAAAGGAGCCAACCTATCGTGTTGGTGTCGATACAACAATGAAGATCAACAACCGAAGATATTTTTCAAATCAAATTGAATATTTTTGATAAAAAAAATGGTTGGGATACAGTTTTTCCAATTATTTATAATTTCTAAAACTTTTTTTCTAATAATGGTAATTTTCTAAAAATCTTTTTTCTAATGAAGGTGATTTTCTAATTTTCTATCTTCTAATAAAAGTCATTTTCTAAAAATTTCTTTTTCTAATAAAGGTAATTTTCAAATTTTTTTTCTAACAATATCAGGATTGCCACGCTTTTGCTCTTTTCAAATTCCCTGACTTTTCCAGGTTTTCCAGGTTAAAAAATGGATTTTTTCCAGGTTTTTAATACGAAAATTATTCCAAAATATCAATAACTTTATTTTTAAATAAATATTAAATCATTATTACTTTTTTATAGAAATTAAAATTTTCAAAAATTATTTTCATCATTACGATTATTCATTTCTAGAATTTTCAACTAAAATTCTTCTTTAGGTCAATTTTTGTTTTAATAATTTTTGAAAAAATTCTTTGACAATTTTCAAATTCTTTTGTTTACAATTTAATTTTATGAAATTTCGATTATTCTGACATTCCTCAATAAAATATATTAGAAATTAAAAACTTTAAATAATTAAAAAGAATTAATTCTACATAATTCTTAATTAAAACATATTTATTAGAAAATTCTACAAGTATTCAATTATTTGACTACAAAAATAAATAATTAAATGTTTCTTAAAATTGAATTTTCACACAGAATTTCTTCAACAAAATTTTTAAGTTATTTAATTCTGTTGAAAAATTTTAATAAAATTTTTAAGGATAATTATCATTTTTCGAGAAATTTGATGAAAATTGTATTAAAAATAATTGAAATTCTGCCAAAAATTTTATTATAATTTTTGAAAATAATTGAATTTTGAATAGGAATTATTTTTTTTATAAAGATAATTGAAATTTTGACAAGAATTTTTGTAAATTTTTTAACATAATTGAATTTTTGCAAAGAATTATAATACTTTTGGAAATAATTAAATTCTTGAAACGAATTTTATTAAAAATTTTTTTTTTATAATTGAATTTTTTTGTGAAATTTTATTAAAATAGTAGACATTGAAAATAATTGAATTTTTCCAAATTTATGAAATTAATTAAATTTCTACGAAGAATTTTATGAAATATTATTTTGAAAAAAATTTTATTGTTACAAAGAATTTCATTATTTATGAAACTAATTCAATTTTTTGAAGAAATTTAATTCAAAATCTATTGAAAATAATACTTAAATTGTAATATAAATAAATTATAGCAAAATTTTTTATAGTAATTGAATTTCTTTGCCGAATTTTAATAAAATTTTTAAGAATAATTACATTTTTCGAGGAATTTCATTAAAATTGTATTAAAAATTAAAAATAATTGAAAGTCTGCGATGAGTTTTATTATGTATTTATGAAAATAATTGAATACCTGTAAAAAATGTTATTATTTATGAAAATCATTGAATAATAATTTATGAAATAATTTGTAAATATTATTAAAAAATAAAATTTATGAAAATTTTTTAATTCTTAAAAAAAAATACTTGAGATTTTGTTAAAAAATTGTAAAAAAGAAAATAGAAATTATGGAAATTTTTAAATAATCTAGTTAAAAATCGTAATTAACAAATATAAATTAAAGGGATTTTTTCCTAATGATATTTAAATTTTTTTAAAATAATGTTTTATAAATATATTGATTTTGAAAGTTTCGGTATAAAAATGATGCAAATTATTATTTCTTTTTTTTTCAAAGAAGAACAGAATTTTGTTAAAAAAATTGTGATAAGAAATAGGAATTTATAAAAATTTTTCTTCTTTTTCAAAAAGAAACTCATAATTTTGTGAACAGAATATTGTGATTGAGAAGCAGGAAATATGTAAAATAATTTCTATTTCCTAATCTCAACTTTTTAACAATTTTCTAACTTTTATCAAAATTGTAGAATTTCACAAATTTCAGGAAAATGAATATTAGAAATCATAACTTTTTAGAAAAACTTTTTTTAGAAATCAAAACTTATTAGAAAAACTTTTTTTTAGAAAACAGATTTTTCCTTAGAAATCACTTTTTTTAGACAAGAAAAAGTTTCAATACATAGTAATTGTGTTAAAAATTAAATATTTGTATTTAAACAACTAATTTTCAAAGAGAGAAAGAAAGGGATTTGCATTTAGGAAAATATATTAAATTTTCACCAAGTTCAAAGCCGAAAAGCACGAACTGTAAATAATATTGACTATTTTTGAAACTATTATTAAAATCAAAGAATCTGTGATAGATTATTAAATATAATTAAATAAGTACTTCACTGAATTTATATTCCGCGAGTAATTAATTTATGATCACTATTTATTGCTTCTGATTTCAATTTTAATTTTTTAGAAATAATTCAGTGTTTTGTTTTAATAGCGGATCTCTGACATCGATTCAAAAGAAATATGAAGAAACAGTCACCTGTGTGGAAGATCAAGTTTCAAAATCAACATCTCTTCTAAATTTTACATGATTTTACTCATTCACTTGAAAATTGTAGATGAGCAACAAAATTCTCCACACTATGATCAACATTCGTGAAGAAGGTATATTTTATTTTCTAATTCTCTGAATGTACTTAATAAGAACCAAAATTTTTTTTTTTAAAGCTAATTTATTACGATATCGAAATGTTAAACAATCGATAAAATTCAGGATTTGTAAATTTCATTTACAAATCAATATTTTAAGCATGTATACGAGTCTTCATCTTACAGGGATTTTGTCAGAATTTATTTTACCATTATTGACAAATAATTTTTAAGACTGTTATAAACTTTAAATACTATTTTATCCAAGATTTTTTTTTTTAAGCTCGAATCTAACTTTGTCATTCCAATATTGTTTAGTTTGGAAAAATTAGAATTTATTCTATTTTTAATAATTTTACGAATGAAAATAATTTTTTTTTTACTTTCCTGAGAAAAGTTATTGATAGATTATTTTATATGTGCCAATTCATAATTTAAGATAGCAGTATTAAATCTACAGGAAAAAAATAGAATCTAGAATTTGTTGTTAGAAAACAATGTCTTGTGTCATATTTTATTATTTAATCGTGTGTTTGAATCAAACAATTTGAAATCCAAGTAATTTGCAAATTTAATTTATAAATTTAATTTAAGAAATTTAAATTTAACAATCAAAATTTTAATTGAGTAGAAATTCGGGTTTATTTATTTATTTAGCCTCATTATAGGATAAATATAGGAGTTTTCGTGTTAAGCGTTCAAACAAGTGTGACCTGTAAAATATATTATACTCAAGCTCATAAAGAGATTAATTAGTGATAGACATATAGCCTATTATACTTATATTTTGAAAAATGTACCGAAAGCTAATTGCTACTTCCAAATATATTTAAAAATAATATTCTAGTTATTGAGAAAGAAAAATTCCAATTTTACCATTTTTAATGTAGACTTTCACTCATAAGTAAATTCCGCGAGAAATATTAAATTCAACACCAATTAAATAGTATTCAAGTAATTTTACACTTTTTAACGATATTTAATTATAAATTGTTATACACAGTTTTCCAATTTTTTTTCTACTAATTATAAAAATTATCCGTAAATATTTAAGAAAAAAAAATATATGTAATGTAATCGATATTAAAATAGAAACTTCGATTTACTATTTACAAAGCTTTATAATTTGTATACGAATTTGTTTCAGTATTAATTATTAATTATTAATTATTTTTCTACGATTGACGAAATGTTAATTTTTTTTAAAAATTTAATTTAACTTTTTTTTAAACTAGTTTTTTTTCTACTGATTTTAAGGAAATTTTTTGCATAAAAATAATTTTTGTTTGTTTTGAATTATTATTCTAATTTTAACTAGAATTAAGTCAAGTATTTTGAAACGCATTAGTACAAAATATATTAAAAAGTAAAATAAGATAACGTGATATAAAAGGAAATATATCCAGAAAATCCGTACAATTAAATTTTTCAAAAAAAAAGGAAATACAAAATATGGTTAAATACAATATATTAAAAAATTTAATAAAATTGCAAATGGAATATTTCCAATTTATATTACAAAAATACCAGATAGCTTTAGATTTAAGAATAAGCTTTTTTTTTGGTAATTAATATTATTTACGAGTGTTTTTAATGTATAACGGTTTATTACTTATTGTTGTAAAATTACTATATTGTCAAACTTTTATATTTGCATACGAAATGAGTACACATATATATCATTAGATCAGAAATATTATAAAGAAAAAGAAAGTAATTTAGAAAATGAAAAAAAAAAAAAATTTGTAGCGAGCAACATTTAATCGATATGTATAAGTCCCGATTGTTTTATTTAATTAATTATAATAAAAATTAATTCGATTATTTTTTACAATTTTTTTTTATACTCTGGAAAATTAATTACTGTGAAAAATATTATTTTTTTACGTCAATATTGGTATTTGATAAGTTAAGAAAAAATGTTTTGTAATTTTTATTTACATTCTAGTGCAGAGGTAGAAACTGAATTCTAACAATTATAGATTGTGTACTATAATTTTATTTCACTTTGCTGTACAACATTACTGAGACTGAAAAAATAAACAGTTTTCAATTAATGATTTTGTTGTTATATACCTACAGAAAAAAAATTAACGATCAAATATTTTTATTTCGGTATAAAAAAAGGGAGGAATAAATAAATAAAAGTTACACATCACTGGAAGATTTAAAACAAAAAAATTCCTAATTAACTCACTTAGTTTGATAGAAAAATTTCATTAATTGGAATTTTCTAATTCTTCTTCTTTTTTTTCGTAATATAATATTTTATTTCCCAAATTTCAATTTTCATATTTCAATTTTCTTTAAAGAGAATGAAAAATAAAATTTTAAAGATTTTAAAGAGAATAATAAAGGAAATAAAATTCGAATATAAAATAATTTATTCGAATAAATTGTTATTATTTCGTTAGACCTATTTTATTTCCCAAATTATTTCAATTTTTTCGAAGAGAAGAATAAAATTCGAATTAATTTCATTTATATTTCATAATGCTTAATATTTTATTTTCCAAAATTATTTTCAATTTTTTTTTTTTAAGAGAATGAAAATAAATTTTTTTAAAGAGGAAATAAAAATTGAAAATTTTATTTATATTTCGTAATTTCTTAATATTTTACTATTCAACTTATTTCAATTTTCTTAAAGAGAAAAATAAAATGCAATGAAGAAAATAAAATTGGAATAAATTTCGTAAATTCCTGATATTTTATTCCCCGAATTATTTCAATTTTTTCGAAGAGAAAAATAAAATATAATATAAAGAAAATAAAATTCGAATTTTTATTTTCTTTGATCTGTTCTAATTCTATATTCAATAACGAAACAATTTTCTAATATTGATGTGTCTATTAAAATATTAATAAATTAATATAAAAAATTTTAATTTCATTTAATCAGGGTTGCAACAAATATTTAATTTTATTTTTCCCTGACTTTTCCCTGATTTCCAAACAAAATTTTCACTTTTTCCCTGACCCTAAAGAATATTTTAATTCACTCCAAAAATTATTAGATACTCAAAAAATACATTTATTTGCAAATTTCTTTAATTGTAAAATTATTCGAAAACATCAATAACTTCTTTTTTAAATAAACATTTAATCATTATTATTTTTCTGTAGGAATTAAAACTCTTCAAAACATTCAAAATTCAAACCTTTTTGAAATTCAACAACTTATAAGAATATTATTACAAAACATCGAAGACTCGGCGTGATCGCCTTCTTTATGTTTTGTAATAATTTAAATTACCATAAAACTTTTCAAAAAAAGTTAATTATTTATAAAAATTCTAATAAAATCCTTTGCAAGAATTCAATTATTTTTCCAAGTCATAAAATTTCTCACAAAAATTCAGTTATTTAAAAAAATAAATAATTTATTGAATAATTTAATGTTTGTTAAAATTGAATTCTCATAAAGAATTTTATCAACAATTTTTTAAATAATTGAATTCATTTGACAAATTTTAATACAATTTTTAAGAATAATTACATTTTTCAAGGAATTCCATTAAAATTGTATCAAAAATAATTTAAATCCTGCGATGAGTTTTATTATTTATAAAAATAATTAAAATTTTCCTAAGAATTTTATTAAAATTTTTCTAAAATAATTGAATTTCGGAGAAGAATTTTATTATTTATAAAGATACTTAAAATTTTGACAATAATTTTTGTTAACATAATTGAATTTTTGTGAAGAATTTTATTATTTATATAAATAATTGAATTCTTGCAACAAATTTTATTCAAGTTTATAAAAATAATTGAATTTCGGTGAAGAATTTTATTACTTATAAAAATAATTTAATTCTTGAAAAGAGCATTGTTAAATTTTTTTCTTAAATAATTGAATTCTTGCGACGAATTTTATAAAAATCTTTTTAAATAATTGATATTTTTCGAAAATTTTTATGAAATTTTGTATTTTAAATAATTGAATTCCTGTGAAAATTTTATTACTTATGAAAATAATTTAATTATTTCGAAAAAATTAATTACAAATTTTGTAAATAATTTAATTCTTGTGAAATTTTCCAAGAATTTTATTAAAAATATTAAAACTAATTGAATTTCAGAGAAGAATTTGAAACTTTGACGAGAATTTTTAAAAAATTTTGAAAATAATTGAATTTCTGGAATCATTTTTAACTTTTCTAAATTCAATTTTTTTATTATTTTTAATTACATTTCTTCTATAAATCTAGTATTTATAAAAATTGTAAAAATTATTCTCTTAATAATTTCTAAATAATAATTTTTTGATAGTTCTTCAAGAATTAAGTTATTTAAAAAGAAATTATTGTCAAAATTAGAAAAAATTGAAGGGTTTGTATTAGAATTCTTGTCAATTTCATAGTTTATGAGGCAAACAAAAAAACATCAAAATTCAGAGTTTTCTAATGAATTTTAAAAATTCAATTTTTTCCAGTACTTTTACTAAAAATCCCTGACTTTTCCCTGATTTCCTTAACCAATTTTACTTTCCCTGACTTTTTCCTGAATTCCCTGACTTGTGGCAACCCTGTTAATTTAATAATTTCGATTTTTGAAAATCAAATTTTATGAAATAATTTATTTTTATCAAATTTCCATTAGAATTTAACAATCTTAAATGAAAAATAAGTAAAAAAAAAAGAAAAAAACGTCTAAGAGCATCTAAAGGAAACTTTAAATTTGAGTAATAAATTTATTTCACTTTCCATTTGTAACTTCGCAACTCTGATCGAACAGCAGTTACAGTGCTGGAATTCTACAGAGTACAATGTAATAATTAATAATAATAATAATAATAATAATAATAATAATAATAATAATAATAATTAATAATAATAATAATAATGAAGCTACAAATATTCCGTTTATCGGTCGTACGATGGACCATTGTTTAGTAAATCCTACAGTGAAAGTAAATAATTTTTTAGCGTATTATAGGACAGACGTTTATTCATCAATATTCTGTTCTTGCTGCACGAGAAACATGGAGTCTTATAACACAGTAACAAATAGTCGATCTCGAAGCGAACAGTCACCCGTTAAAAATTCAAGATACTCGTAAATTTGAAGTAAAATCTTCATTATTATATTGTGGCTCTTCGCAACAGGAATCGAAGTAAAATATTGGTTTGTTGTTGAGAAAGATAAAAACAAAAATTACATTATTGAATTTGTTTTTTTCTTACTCTTTTTTTTTAACCAATTTCTCTAGACCAAAACCAAGCAACATTGTCCTAATTAGAATTAGCAATGAAAAACACTTAGTTTCTTTTTTTTTTCGTTTGCTTTTTTTTCACGGATGTTTTATTTTTATTTTTAAATTGAGAGCATAAACTCTTTAATATCTTAATTGTTAAAAGCTCATCTCCGGTACTCTGGTGTACAATCTTGGATGCCAAGTTTGCATCTAAACACAATATCAAAAACACTAGGTGGGTTTGTATTTTTTTTTTTTTTGCCTTTTTAATATTATTACACAATTAAACGGTCCACTGATTGTAAAGACGATACTGGTAACGATGTTCGCACTTTCGAATACAATATTATACTTTCTACAAGTCGAGGACGTAAGTGTTTTTTTTCTTTTATATATCACGTTATTGCACCCGGTTTTCGATTCTATTAACGCACGCACAAAGGGACGATGAAGAAAAAAAAATAATATAAAGAGTTTCGTACAAAAAGAAAAAAAAATATTGACAATAAAAAATAAAAGCTGGTCGGAAAATTACTGTTGCCTCTTAAAGTCTAAGGCACGAATATAAATAAGTTGGTAATTTCTTTGTTTTCCCTCTCTTTTTAAATTATAAATTATCTTCGGTGTTTAAATCCCAAAGAGGCATGCGATTTGACATTGTTTTTTTTCATTTTGTCACTCGAGAAATGCTTTTTATTTGGAAACGTTCTTTATAAGACACTAAAAGATAAATAAATAATTAAAAAAAAAGTACACCGAAGCGTCAAATTCATTTGCCGGAGGCGGACTTCGCTCGCCAAATTTACGTGCACACACCACTACTGTTATAATTGTAGTTTCCCTTCCCCCTTTTGTATATTAGTGAAAATTAAACAATCTAATTTAGGTTTAAAAAGCTTGGCTTGATCCATTTTTTTTATAATAGTTGATTTCGTTCAGTCGTTAAAAACTGTTTTCTTTTTTTTTTTTGGTTTTAAATATCTATTTACAGTAACGCGTGAATAATTCCAATGTCTGATTTTCTTTTTTAAAGTCCATCATCAAAATTCTTCTATCAAAACATTTAATAAGAATCCTAAATTAAAATCCTTAATTAAGACTTTGCCATTGGCGCAATCCTTTTATAAGAGGCCGTGACAAATAATTAAACGTGTGCTAATCAGAAATTTAAGACTTTGCAATATTGTGACAATAATTGTTAATTAAAAACAAGTGTTCCTTTTTTTCTAACATCTGTATAGGTTTTTTTTACGGTCCTTAGAAAAGGATTCGTCCCTTCGCTTCTATGCACCATTATGCGCTAATCTAGTGAATGATCTTTTTTTTGTTTAAAATTATGTAGACTGTTCTACAATTAGACGTTTAATGGAAATATTTATTTATGAACATTTTGAATAACGAGTTTAAATTGTTTAGCGGTTTCACAGTGATGGCGCCATGTGGCAAGGAGATTTCTGGTTTTTTTTTTTTTTTTGGTTTTTTTTATGTTTTTTTAGGCTAAGAAAAAAATGGGGGAAGGGCGTGCTGTTGTGTAAGGCAAAGACTGTTCAAATCAATTTTCCCAAAAGATAACCAACTATAACCATAGCGACTGCAATAGCTACACTTGTAAACGTTGGAGAAAGCTGAGGATTCATTTGCAATGATCCTCCCGTTGAATGATGATCTGATACAAGACTGTCCTTGTCTTTTGCAGTTTTCCACTTCAATAACTCCTCCTGTTTAAAGAAAGAAGAAAAATTTTAGAAAACTTTTTTTTTAAATCGATAAAATAAGAAATTAAAATATGTACGTTTAAAAAAGATAAAAATTTTAGAAAGTTTTCAGGGCGGTCACAAGTTTTAGTTTATCAATTTCCCTGACAATTTATTGACATTAAAATTATTTTCCCTGACAAAATTTTTTTTGTACAGGAAAATATGAATGTCTACGGAAAATTAGTAAAATTTATGAATTTTAATAATTTCTAAAAATTACAATTATAATCCTTCCTGAATTCAATTATTTTCTACAATTTTCAACGAAACTTCATCTCTGAATCAATTAATTTAAATAATTTTCCAAAAGTTCTCTAGAAGAACTTTTTTTTTCTTAAGTTATTAAGGTATAAAATGTATAATTCTTAAAGAATTCTAATATTAAAAACAGGACCATGATTTCTCAAAAATTTTAATAAGTCCAAAAAGTAAGTAAGTAAGTAAGTAAGTAGATATTGTTTTCTCCAAAATGTGAAAAATAATTTTAAAATGTTATTATTTTTGTATTTATTTGGATTTTTGGAAAATTACTATTACTATTACTATTCAAAAAGATTTTTATTATAAATATATTTGAAAAATTTAGGTAATTATGTTAAAAAATTATTCAAAAACAATTTTTGAAAGATTTTTTTATACCTAGTTATTTTTTGCATTATAAAAATGAAAATAAGTTGCACTTTTTTTTTACTAAAAATTGTGGTATTTTATTGCAATGTTTGGAAGAAAAGTAAAAAAAGTCACAATTTTTAAAATAAGTCGAAAAAAGTCTCAATTTTCCCTGACTTTACTGACAAAAATTTTATTTCCCTGACATTTCCCTGACTTGATTTTTTCATGATTTTCAAAAAAGTTTTTGATTGTTTCTCTTATTTTAATAACTTTAATTCCAAGTTTTTTTTGTAAAATTCAATTATTTTCGAAAATCAAAACATTTTTTCAACAGTTTTCACACATTTCTTCAAAAACATGAATTTTTTTTAAATTGTAGTAAAACTCTCCAAAATACATATTAAAATTAATTTCTACATAATTTGTAGAAAAAATTAAAACCTTCTGCAATTTCTTTACTTTTAAAAATTGCAACTGTAATTCTTCCAATATGTAATTATTATATACAATTTTTAACTCAAATTACTCAAAAGTTTTTTCAAATGAATATTTAAATAAAATTAAAATTCTAAATCAGTGTTGAATTTTTAAAAATTAAGTTTTTGAAATTTAATTACATTTAAATTTCAAATAATAAAATAAAATAAATAAAATTTAAATTCTAAATCAATTGAATTCTCAAAAATTAAGTTTTTGAAATTAATCTTTTGAAATTTACAGAGTGTCTACTATTTTCGTTCAACAAAATTCCCGGCTTTGTCCTAATTTTTTCCGGTTTTCTTTCTCATCAAATTTAAATTTATTTGATTTCGAACATAAATAAATCTACAAATGGCTTCCAAAATTTTTATTAGAATTTTTATGAATAATTAAATTCTTTTGATGAGTTTCAATAAATTTTTTGAAAATAATGTTTTTTTTAATAATTTTAATTAAAATATTTGGAAAATAATTGAATTAAACAAAGAATTTTTTCAATCTTTTAAAATAATCTTGTCTGTTCATAATTATAATTGAAAATTTGATTAATTGAATTTTATTAAAATGTATTGTTACTAATTAAATATCTGCAAAGAATTTTACTATTTATAAAAGTAATTGAATCCTTCAAAAGAATGTTATTATTTATGAAAATAATTAAATGTTTGCGTAGAATTTTATTAAAGTTTTTGAAAATAATTGAATTATTTTTTAGAATTTTATGGAAATTTTTGAAAATAATTGAATTCTTGTGAAGAATTTTTTTCAAAAATAATATTCAAAAGAATTTAGTAAATCTGAAGAATTTTGCTATTTATGGAAATAATTGAATTCTTATGAGAAGAATTTTTTTACAGTTTCTAGAAATAATTGAATTCTATCGACGAATTTTAATAAAATTTTTAAGAATAATTATGTTTTTCGAGGAATTTGATTAAAATAATTGTATTAAAAACAATTGAAATTCTGCAATTGAAAAACTTAACTTAACTTCGCACTAAGAAACATGAATATATTTTCTTAATAAAATTCTTTTCTAATTAAATTATTATTTTTAATAATTTTTCAGAAAGTTCTTTGATAATTAAATTATTCAAAAAAGAAAAAGAAACTTCGTTAAAATTACAATTGTTTTCAATTCATGTTTACAAAATATTGATTGTTTGAAAATGTTTCAATTAAATAAATGTTCAAAAAATCAAAGATTTACCAATAAATAACTAATTTAAAAAAAATTTGAATCAACATTTTTCAAAGAATTGCATTTTCTAAAAATTTAAATCATCCAAAATTCAATTCTTTGAAAATTTAAATTTAAAACCCTTTGAAACTTAATTATTTCTAAAAATTTCGACCGTAATTCTTTGAATATTCAATTATTTTCTAGAATTTTTCTAAATGAATATTATTTTTAATAATTAGCGAATAGTTCTTTAAGAATTGAATATTATTTTGAAAAGAAATCGAAAATTTTATTTTATATTCGAAAAATTCAACTAATTTCAAAACTCACTTTCAATCGAAATATTTTTGAAAATTTGAATTGTTTAGAATTTTGAGATTTGCTTGTTTCCAAAAATTTCCACTATACATCTCTTTCAGAATTTTTTATTATAATTTCTCTCTAAATCAATAATTTCTAGTACTCTAGTTATTTTTCACATTTAGAAAATCAAAATAAATATTATTTTATGCGAAAAAAATTGTTCTTTTTTAATATATGAGGAGAAAAAGTCGAAATAGTTGTATTTTTCGAAAATAAGTCTAAAAAAATTGCATTTTTTGAAAATAATTGAAAAAATCCAAAAAGTTTTTAGTCGAGGCCTGTGTATTGTATTCTTTTTCGTATCAAATAATTTTCCTTCTGAAATATTTCAAGAAAACAAATTTTGTTATCTCAAAAAAATTTTTTATTCTCATCATCATCATCATCATGAAAATGGTGATCGAATTTATTGAACCGTCTTATTGTTTCAATTTGAGAAAGAAAAAAAAATCAGAGACTCAATAATATTGTGAATGAATTCCATAAGAGACATATACGATGCACAAATCGATTCTATCACGAGTGCCCAATGCGAACAATAAGAATAAGGGCACGTGTCAATGATGTGACTATCGAACTTTCCTTAAAGAAAAAATTATTATGCAAAAACACCTTAGGTGATTTTTCTCATATACATATTCCAATATCTAGACAGCAAAATTTCTTTTCTATTTCTCGCTTTTTTCTTGCAAGATTTCAATATTTTTTCATTTTATCCAAACGGAATAATATTTTTGTGTTTATAATTCCTTTCTTTTTCTTACAAAATACAAATATAATAATTAATAACACCAACTTTTTCTTTCCTTTTCTTTCTCAAAAACTTCCCACTATTTTAAAAACGAAAAAATTGAAAATGAACTTTCATTTTTCAGAAATTAAATTTACCTTCAAATAATTTGAATTTACAGTCAAAATAAAATATTGTTGCATTATTTTTGCAAAATGTTTTTTGAACTTGAAATTCATGAATTAATTTATTAAAACTTGAGAAAAAGTAAAAAGAGAATTGCAAAAATTATAAATTTACCCTCATTAGGAGATTCTCTTGGATAAGGTTGCTTTGCTGTACCCTAAGCTGTTGCACTTCTTGCGCTGCTTTCATTAACGTCTCGTCAGCTTCCCCTTCGCTGAGAAGCTGTAAAACAAATTTCTTTTGTTATTTTCCGAGAATATTCGAGAGGAACATTACCAAAAAAAAAGGAGAAAATTGCTCACCTTGGGTGAAGTTTTAGCAGTGTCGCCAGTTCCTTTATTTTTTCCATCGGTCGCAGTTGTATCAGTTTTAGTTGTCGTACCAGTTGGTGTACCTTTAGTCGTTGATGATGAATTTACAGGATTTTCAAATACGCATTTCAATTTTGAGTCCATTAACTGATTTGGATTCATATCCCTCCACTGTGAATTTCAAGAAAGATTTTGTTTATTTTAAATATATTTTTGTTTCCTAATTTATTTTAATTTATTTTCTTCTTTTCTTGTTCAGGGTTTTCAGACAAAATTTTTACTTTTTCCCTGACCCTAAAGAATATTCTGATTCATTCTAAAAATTATTAGATATTCAAAAACAAAAGTTCTATTTACTTATTTACGAATTTCTTTAATTGAAAAATTATTCGGAAACATCAGTAACTTCTTTTTTAAATAAATTTTTAATCAATATTATTTTTCCATAGAAATTAGGATTTTCAAAAGTTTCAAATTCAAACCTTTCTGAAAATCAATAACTTATAGGAATATTATTTCAAAGCATGAAAAAATCGAGTCAATTATTCGAAAATTCATTCTTAAATCAATTTTTATTAGAAAATTCTACGAAAATTCAATTATTTAAATTCAAAAATAAATGATTTATTGAATAATTGAATTCTTTTGATGAATTTTAATAAAATTTTGAAGAATAATTACATTTTCGAGGAATTCGATTAAAATTGTATTAAAAATAATACAATTCGTTGGAAGAATTCAAATATTATCATAAATAATAACATTTTTTCTAGGATTTAAATTATTTTTAATACAATTTTAAATGAATTCCTTGAAAAATTGTAATTAATTTTAAACATTTTTTGCAAGAATTCAATTATATTTCACAAATAATAAAATTCTTCGATGAAATTCAAAAATTTTCAAAATCTACTAAGTTAATAAAATTTCTCAAAAGAATTCAATGGTTTTCATAAATAATAGAATTCTTCACAGGATTTCAATTATTTAAAAGAAATGTAATAAATATCGTTGCAAGAATTCAATTGTTTTCCTAAATAATACAATATTTTTCACATGATTTCAATTATTTTCATAAATAATAAAATTCTTCACAGGATTTCAATTATTTAAAAAAAAATGTAATAAAATTCGTTGCAAGAATTTAATTATTTTCATAAATAATAAAATTCTTCACGGGATTTCAATTATTTAAAAAAATGGAATAAAATTCTTCTCAGGATTTCAATTATTTTTAAAAAATGTAATAAAAGTTGGTTGCAAGACTTCAATTATTTTCCTAAATAATAAAATTCTTCTCAGGATTTCAATTATTTTTAATAAAATTTTAAGAAAATTCTTCGAACAAAATAAATGAACAATTATCAGTTATTTTAAATTTTTTATCTGAAATTAATTTTTAAAACAATTTTTATTAGAAAATTCTATGAGAATTCAATTATTTAAATACAAAAATTAAAAAATTATTGAATAAATGAATTTTTTTCAAAATCGAATTCTCATAAAGAATTTTATCAACAAATTTTTGAAATAATCGAATTTTTTCGACGAATTTTAATAAAATTTTCAAGAAGAATAACATTTTTCGAAAAATTTGGTTAAAATTGTATTAAAAATTATTGAAATTCTATGTTGAGTTTTTTTATTTATGAAAATAATTGAATAGTTTTGAAAATAATGAAAATAATTTAAATAGTTGAATTTCTGTGAAATGTTTATTATTTATAAAAATAATTGAATTTTCGAGAAGAATTTTATTATTTTTAAAGATAATTGAAATCTTGACTAGAATTTTTTTTTAATTTTTGAACAAAATCGAATTTTTGCAAACATTTATAACTTCTCTAAAATACAATTTTTTTAGTGTTTTTAACTAAAATTCTTCTATAAATCCATGATTTTTAATAATTAATTAAATATTTATATATATTAAAAAATAAAATAAAACTAATTATGAATCTTGCAAATTTAATTTTTTCCAGTACTTTAATATAAATCCCTGAATTTTTCCTGAATTCCCTGATTTCCCTGACCTGTGGCAACCCTGACAGTTTTATTATTTTTAAAAATAATTGAATTATTGCGAAAAATTTTTTAAAAAATTTGTAAATAATTGAAATCCTGGGAAATTTTTTATTATGTATGAAAATAATTAAATGTTTGCATAGAATTTTATTAAATTTTTGTTAAATAATTGAATATCAGCGAAGATTTTTGCATTTTATAAAGATAATTGAAATCATGACAAGAATTTTTTTTTAATTTTTGAAAATAATTGAATTTCTGAAAAGAATTTTATTATTCTTGAAAATAATTTTATTCTCGTAATTAATATTGTTATTTATGAAAATAATTGAATTTTGCAAAGAATTTTACTAAAATTCTTGAAAACAATTGAATTTCTGGGAAGAAATTTGATATTTATCAAAATAATTGATTTGTTTCTAAGAATTGAGTTAAAATTTTGGAAATTATATTAAATACTTTACCCGTTAACTTCTTGAATAAATAAATAAAGAAATACATATTAAGAAATTCAACACTAATTTCAACAGTATTGAAATTAAAATATTTAAAAATAATTGAATTTCGGAGAAAAATTTTATTATTTATAAAGATAATTGAAATTTTTTCCATACAAATGAAAAAAAAATGAAATTTTTTTCCACAATTCAATATTTTTAGTATTTTTAACTAAAATTCTTCTATAAATCTATTATTTCTAATAATTAATTAAATATATATATATATTAAAAAATGTAACTAATTTCAGAAGAATTTGAATTATTAAAATTTTTGAAAAATCTAAGTTCATTAAAATTTCTAATTAAATTCATTAAAAATTGAAATTTTGTAAAATTTAGAATTAAAACCTTTTGAAGTTTATCTATTTATGAAAATAATAATGCAACTCCTCCAAAATTTAATTAATTTTGAAATATTTAAGTAAAATTATTCATCAAATAATTTTATGATAGCTCTTCAAGAATTAAGTTATTTAAAAAGAAATTATTGTGAGAAATAGAAAAAACAAAAATAACAAAAATTCAGTTTTTTTTATGAATTTTAAAAATTCAATTTTTTCCAGTACTTTTACTAAAAATCCCTGATTTTCCTGACCTGTGGCAACCCTGTTATTAATAATTGAAAATAAATAATACGTACCACGTCCTGTAGATAGTCATCAGTGTCTCCTTCAGGAGCTATTACAGACTGTACCATAAACTTGTGCTTACTCTTTTCTGTTGGATCAAAGTCGTACGGTTGTAAGCTAACTGCAAAAAAGAAAGGAAGAAAAAAAAGTCAATAAATTTTTGAATTATAAAATAAAAAGACTTATTTTTTTTCTCATAATTAACGCTGTACCTGCTATTTCAATTATTTCTTTTGGTTTCAAAGCTCCAGAATTGGGTCTCACGCAATACCTCTTTGGAGCAGTTGTCTTTATTTTAAAATAAACTTTGTGAGTTGAAGGATTAGTGAGTTTCATATATGATGTAACAGGAGCTCCAGTAAAAGGTCCTAGGGATAAGAAATTATTGAGAAATTAAAATCAAAGAAATAATCAAGAAATAATCAATCAATAAGATATCAATATTTACAATATTTTATACGTATTTATACTTTCCTTGACAAATCATAGCCCATTTAAAAAGCAAAAGGCGACAATTAAAAGAGAGAAAAAAAATCTGATACGTAACCTTGCTAATATTCTTCTTCTTCTTTTTTTTTTTTACAGTAAAGATCGTGACTTATGAAAAAAGAAGGCTCACACAAGATAAATTCATATCGTCATGTTAAGACTATGTATTATGAAAGCGATATTAAATTATCATCTTGTCAGTCTAAAAAACATTTTTCTTGGCAGAATTAATTTAGATATTAAATTAATTTATTTCTGACGAAAATATAATTATTTAATTTCTATTCGTATTGATTAATATTATAACTAGAAAATATGCTTTGTCATTTTAAATGAATAACACAACGGTGCAAAGGGCATATTGAGCACCTGAAAATTGAATATATTTTCAGGTATCTGATAAAAAATATAAACATTTAACTAAAGAGGTTATTTTTTTAGATTAGATATGCAACAATAAGTTCCGTCCTTTATATTGGAAAATATCTAAAGAATACATGGATTAATATTTAATTTCATAAATATAAGTCAACTTCAATTTATTTCATTCGAATAAATATTAATCTCATTTTCTCTCTATTTGTTAGAATCTGTTTTCTCTATATTTGTTAGAATTTTCCTAAAATCCAATCACTTTACGAATTTTGACATATTCTCGAAAGGAATGAAATAAAATGTCTCTATATGAAATAAAAGAACCAATACAGTTACATCACTTGGACTTATTAAGATCAATGTAAATGAAAACCTACAGAAGTCTAGTGAGTAAAAATTTTTCATTTTAAAGTAAAATTGTATGAATTGTATAAATATTTTTCTCTAAAATGGATGCTGGTGTGGCTATCAATAAACGAAACATTTTGGGCGTTCAAAATTGAAGCAATATTTATGAATGAAAAAATTACAATAGTAATTTTCTCATTCGTTTACAAATCAATGTAAACATGTGTAAAGTAAAAAATGAACATTACTCCTGTCTGGAAAATCGTGTAAAAGAGAATCATTAACACACATTGTGAATTATATATAAAAGGAAAAATTACACGATGCAAAGATATATATTCTTTTCGAGAAGAGAAAAAAAATAGAATTAGATAATAAACACGTTGTTAAGTTTTTTGACAGCAACCATTTGACAACGTCATCTCGTGTTCCAGTGAATCGCCCCTCAAAATCGTCGTTGTTCGGGGATGATCCGGTAAGTTAAAATTTTTATCATCACCTTTGGTGGCGAGAGCGCGCGATTCTCATACATACAGAAAGGTGACGACTTTGCGGGTATTTTGTGATGATGATGGAATATAAAACTCGCGGTAAATTAAAGGCGCGATTTCGCCGACAAGGACGCGTGAAAAGAAAAATGAAAGGCGAAAAAATGATGGATAACCGATGGCTGATTATAAATTAATGATAATGAAAGCATGCAAAATACGTTAAAATAAAAATCATACCCCTGAATCGCAGTTCATTCTGCGGTTCGATAATTAAAATCTGTTCTGGCTTCGACATCCTACACCTTGCACCCTTATGACTTCGTTTACACAGAAAGTCGTCACCCTCGAACAGCAATTATTGTCTTCTATTTTCACTTTGGTCTTGACAGGTTATTTGACGCACTAATTTTTTCTTTTCCACTGCCGCTAAACTCACGCAAACTCGCACCACGATTCCAGTTTTCTGGGATTCCGTTGAACTAATTCTGATTTTAACTCTAATTACGCATGCGTCATGACGGATATCACCAGAAGCTCTTTTACAAAAAGTTACGTCAGAACTTCATTTAGCACTGCTCTCATCATATTCACTACTGTTGATGCATTTTCAAATCGCGAAAATATTCACCGCCATCTTGTTTTCCATGACAGTTCCAACCAATCAGAGTTCGGGAATTTTTTTTGGACAAATTTCTACCCGCGAAAATTTGAATGTTATTTAAACAAAAGAATTTAATTCATTTTATTTTTTTTCTTTATTTATTTTACAAAACAAATTCTAATAATTACACGGCACAAGTTTGTTGTTTGTAATTTAACGAAAATCCTTTGCTTTGAACTTTGCCCATAAAATTATCGTTAGTGACAACATAAAGTGCGAAAGGTTTTAGACTACCTGAAAAAGAAATTATTTATTATTTAATTTATTTATTTACTAGCAATAAATTTTAAAATTAATAGAATTTAAAAATTTTCTAATTTAAATTTTTGTTGAAAACACTAAAAAAATTTAATTTTTGAGAAATTACAAATAATTGCAGAAATTCAAATATTTTCAAAAAAAATAAAAAATAAAATTCTTCTCCAAAGATCAATTATTTTCATAAATGTCAAAAAAATTCTTGTCACAAATACAATTATTTTCAAAAATGTTTTTAATTTCAATGATTTTTAATATCTACTATATTAATAAAATTTCCCAAAAAGAATTCAATTATTTAAAAAAATTGTTAATAAAATTTTATGCAAACATTTAATTATTTTCAAAAATAATAAATATTTCACAGGAATTCAATTATTTTCATAAAAAAATTAATTCCTGCGGAAAATCCTGTTCCAAAAATAAAATTAAAAATAGAAATTTTTCTTCTTTTTCTAAAACAAAATAATAATTTTGTTAAAAAAAATTGTGATTCCCAGTAAACGAAAACTAATTGAAATGAATTAAAAAGAATTCACAAAGAGCTTTCGTGAATCCCGCTTTGTGACAAATACGAATTGGAGCCATGATGCAATTTTCCTGAATTCGTGAAACTGTATTGAACTTCCGAACCTTCTATCCGTACCAATTCACTGGACAAATTTTGAGCCTTTAATTTTTTTTCAATTCGTTAGCACGAATTCAATGCATTCCTTGGCCATTTCTTTCGAATGCGAATTCGTTTGGACAAATTGGTACATATTGAATTAAATTCAATTGAATATACAAAGAGCTTGAGTGAATCCCGCTTTGTGATAAATACGAATTGGAGCCTACCAAAAATGTTAATTCATTTCAATTCATTTGAATTAGTTTTTTTTTACTGGGTTCATAAACAAAAATAATGCAAAATAAATAAATTTCTTAATCACAATTGTTTAACAATTTTCTAATTTTGTTTAGAAGTAAAGAAGAAAAATCCGTTAGAAAATTCTCTGCATTCATTTGTTTGTTTTGAAAATTAATTTTGTGGGTTATTGTCATTTTTTTTAATGTCAAAAAAACCAAAAAATCTCGTTTTATTCACTTCACAAAATTGAAAAAAATCCCATTCCATATTTTTTATTTTCCTGACTTTTTTCTAATTTTCATCAAAAATATTTACTTTTTTCTTATCCTGCTAATAAATTGAATTCCTGCTGCGAATTTTATTATTCATGCGAAAGAATTTAAAATATATTTATAAAAAATAATTTAATTCTTGCGAAGAATTTTATAAAAAATTTTAAATAATTCATTTCTTTCGAATAATTTTATGCAAATTCTAATTTAAATAATTGAATTGATGAAAATTTTTATTATTCATGAAAAAAATTCAATTCTTACGAAAATTTTTAGAAACCATTTTTTTAATAATTGAATTCTGTTTGAAAATTTTATGAAAATAGTAGATATTGAAAATCATTGAATTGCGAAAAGTTTTTAAAGATATAATTAAATTTTACAAAGAATTCTATTAAAAATTTTGGCAATAATTGAATGTCTGTGGGAAATTTTATTAAATTTTTTTGAAAATAATTATTCAATTCTTCCAAAAAATATTTAAAAAAAACATTTTTTTAAATAATTGATTTTTTCGAGGAATTGAAATTAAGTTTTTATGAATAATTACATTTTTTGAGCAATCCCTGTAAAATTGTATTACAAATAATTGAAATCCTGCTGTGAATTTTATTATTTATGAAAATAATTGAATAGTTTCGAAGAATTTTATTTTAATTCTCAAAAATAATTGAATTACAGAGAAAAATTTTATTATTTTTGAAAATAATTGAATTATTGCGGAAAAGTTTATTAAAATGTTTAAAAAGAATTGAATTTCTGTGAAAAATTTAATTATTTTTGAAAGTAATTGAATTCTTTATAAGAATTTTATGAACATTGTTTTAAATAATTAATTTTTTTGAAATATAATTATGAAAATTTTATTAGTTTAAATAATTGAATTCTTGTGGAAAACTTTATTTGTGAAAATAACTGAATTTTTCGATTATTAATTTAAAATAGTAGTAAAAATAATTGAAATAATTCTTCGATGAGTTTTATTATTTATGAAAATAATTAAATTCATGCTTAGAATTTAATCAAAAATTTTTTTAGAAAATTGAATTTACATGAAAAATTTTATTATTAGTGAAAGTAATTGAATTATTGTGAAAAATAAATTGCATAAAATTTTGTTAAATAATTGATTTTTTCGAAATTTTTTTGAAAAATAGCGAATTAAAAGTAGTGGAAATTCTCTAAAAAAAATATTATTTATATTCTTTGTTCAGAAAGTTGAATATAAAATAATTTTTTTATCTTTTATCTATTTTTCAGAATAATTAAAATTTTCGTAATGAAGATTATTTTTAATTTAGGAATCAAATAACAATTTTTGCGAAATTTAATTTTCCCAGTACAAGAAAGTTTAATTATTTTCAATTTTGAAAATCGGATGTCAAATTTGAAATTAGTATTAAAATTTGTTAAAGTTTTTTATATACTAAGAGTTTAAAAATATAATATAATTTGAAAATTTAATTCTAATTAGTTTTTCAGTTATTATGTGTCATAATAAGTATTTCTTTAAAAATTACTTAAATTAAAATGACTGGAAATTGTTTACAATAAATAGTGCAATACAACAATAATTTGGCTAGTTAATTAATTAATTGAAAAATTTCTACTTACTGGATTTAGTGACAAATTTAGTTCCACAAAATCTGTCAGCTTTTAAAGCTGTTCCCGTTTCGTCATAAGGATTTGGTACAATAACAAAATCTTTATCACAATCTGAACCAGATTCAGCGCCTACATTTGGATCTGAAATAAATTTATTGGTTAATAAAAAAAATAATTTTTCAACATTAATTTTCTTTTTGAGCAAAAAAAAGAAAAATTGATATATATATATATATATATATATATATATATATATATATATATATATATATATATTTTACCTGGATCATTAACAGGTATTGCTCCAAGATTTCCAGTGACTAAAAATGAATTTGTCTTGGATTCAGACCATTCAATACTGCAATATCCTAAAGCCATTCTTATACAAACACCGTACATTAAATTAGCCATTTGTCGTGATCCAACTGATTGAGCTAAAAAAATTATTATTTTTAATTTTCAATTATTTTCAATTATTAACTTTTTTTTGAAATTAATTAATTTAATTATTAAATTTTGGCAAATTTTTTATAAAATGAGTTAAGAAATTAAAAACCTCTAGTATTTACAAGACTCCCATAATTGAAACTCATTATTGTGTCTGAAATGCCGGTATAATATTGCAAGCATCCTGATGGAGCTGAAAAAGAGGGGAAAAAATTATTTTTTAAAATTATATAATAAATTAATTTAAAAAACAATAAATAAATACCTCTTAATGAAGAATCGCAAGCAATTTGTTGTATTTTAAAATTCCATCGTCGATCATCAAAACTAAAATCTGCATTCGTGTGAATTGAAATCGTTATTGGATTATCGGCATTAAAATCAACATAAACTGCAAGAATTTTCTTTTTAATTATATATTTTATTAAAATTAATTAAATAGTGATATACTTTTATTTTTAATAAATTTTTCCACTTATTATTTTAAAGAAATTAATTTTCTAGTACTTTCTTTTAATTCGATTCAAATGAATTAATTTTACTAAATTTTTTTCTATTTTGATTTTAAATCATTTCAATAAATTAAACAATTAATTAAATAATTAAATATAAATTATTATAAAGAATAAAACTTTAATGAAATCTTTTTCTCTTTCAATTTTTGGATTTTTGCAAATAATTAATTTAAATACACAAATATTTAAATTATGAATAATTACCATGCTGATTAGTATTCTCGCCACAAAGTCTTGGAACTTTGGATGATCCTCCAGAAATTAATACAACATCTTTATCACAAGTTCCATTTGCATTTGGTTGAGCGAGTCGTAAATCAATAAAATCTATACGTAACTGTAAAACAAAAAAAAATATTTTTAATTATTTTTTTTTTATTTCTTTATTTCTGAATTTTTTTTGTCATTTAAATAAATTATTACCTGACAAATATTTGAATTACATCTGGAAACAGAAATCGAACACTGCTCCCCACCCAAATATCTCGTAGGATATTCCGAATTTATAAAATACGTATTATTAATATTTGTCGTCGATCCACAAGTTTTTTCGACTATAAAAATATTTTTTTCAAATTACAGTTTTCTAATCAATTTTTATTTAATTAATTTAAACAATTTTAATAATTATTTTTGTAATATTATTAATGCAAAATTTAATTTATCTGTATAATTTACACATTTTTTATTTTTATACATAATTGTAAATTGTAAAATAAAAAAATATAAAAATTATTATTAAAAAAATTATTACCTACAAATTGTAATTATTATTGTACAATTTATTAATAGTTATATTTTTTTTTCGTTTGGGAAAAATTAGTAAAAATTAAATAATTTAATTAAAAAATAATAAAAGATTTAGTAAAAAAAATTTTTTTCAATTTCAAGTGAGTAAAAAATTTTTAAAATTGTATTAAAATAATACTTACAAACACAACAAACACCCAAACCATTTGCACACGATCCAGAATCGACACCTTTCATATTTACACATTCTCGTTTTGTAAAACATGTTCCACTTAAAGTATGACTTCCGGTACACTCTGAATTTGCAAATCGTACTACACTAAAAAATGGAAAAACTGAAAAAAAAAATTAATTTGCCATTTTTTTCTTTTTTTTTTTGCAAATAAAATTCATCCTCCGAGGGATGTGCACAAAATAATTTCTTCAATATTTTTCTATAAGCAAAATTTTCAAATTTTAATTATTCAACAATTTTATTTAATTAATTTATTAATTTAATCAAAAACTTAATACAAATTCAATCAATTAAAAAAAAAACGTTAGGAAAAATAATATTTTAATTAAAAAGAAATTAAATTGAAAATTAATTCATTCAGAAATATTGTATACTCATTAATTTCTTCTTTTACAGGGTTGCCACAAATATTTAATTTTATTTTTCCCTGAATTTTCCCTGATTTCCAGACAAAATTCTCACTTTTTCCCTGACCCTAAAAAATATTCTGATTCACTCTAAAAATTATTAGAAACTCAAAAAAATGTTCTATTACATTTATTTACAAATTTCATTAATTGTAAAATTATTCAAAAACATCAATAATTTCTTTTTTAAATAAATATTTAATCATTATTATTTTTCCGTAGGAATTAAAATTTTTCAATACATTCAAATTCGAACCTTTTTGCAATTAAACAATAATTTGTTTGTTATAAATTAAATTACCATGAAATTTTTCAAAAAAAAATTTTATTATTTACAAAAATCCTAATAAAATCCTTCGCAAGAATTCAATTATTTTTAAAAAGTAGTAAATTTTCTCAAAAAAATTCAATTATTTGAAAAAATTGTAATAAAATTCAATTCAATTATTTAAATTAAAAAATAAATTATTTCTTAAATAATTGAATGTTTGTTAAAATTGAATTCTCATAAAGAATTTTATCAACAAATTTTTAAATAATTCAATTATTTTGACAAATTTTAATGAAATTTTGAAGAGTAATTACATTTATCGAGGAATTTGATTAAAATATTATATCAAAAATTAATTAAAATCCTGTGATAAGTTTGATTATTTATGAAAATAATTAAAACTTTTCCAAAAAATTTTATTCAAGTTTTTAAAAATAATTGAATTTTGAAGAAGAATTTTATTAATTATAACAATAATTGAAATTTTGACGAGAATTTAAAAAAAATTTTTTTAAATAATTGAATAATAAAGAATTTTATTATTTATAAAGATAATTGAAATTTTGCCAAGAATTTTTTTTAAATTTTTGAACATAATTGAATTTTTGCGAAGAATTTTATTCCTTTTGAAAATAATTTAACTCTTCCAACGAATTTTATTCAAGTTTATAAAAATAACTGGATTTCGGTGAAGAATTTTACTATTTCTAAAAATAATTGAATTCTTGAAAAGAACTTTGTTAAATTTTTTTTAAATAATTGAATTCATGCGACGAATTTTATAAAAATCTTTTTAAATAATTGATATTTTTCGAAAAATTTTTTTAAAATTTTTTATATTAAATAATTGAATTCATGTGAAAATTTTATTATTTATAAAAATAATTGTATTATTTCAAAGAAATTTATTAAAAATTTTATAAATTATTGAATTCCTGTGAAATTTTGCCAAGAATTTTATTAGAGTTTTTAAAAATAATTGAATTTCGTAGAAGAATTGTATTATTTATAAAGATAATTGAAATTTTGACGAGAATTTTTAAAAAAATTTTGAACTTAATTGAATTTTGGAGAAGAATTTTATTATTTTTAAAAATATAATTGAAATGACCAAAATTTTTAAAAATTTTTGAACATAATTGAATTTCTGCGAAAAATTTTATTACTTTTGAAAATAATTGAATTTCTGGAATTATTTGTAACTTTTTCAAAATTCAATTTTTTTTAGTATTTTTAACTAAAATTTTTTTATCAATCTAGTATTTATGAAAATTGTAAATATTATTTATTAAATAATTTATAAGTAATTAGTAATAATTTTATGATAGTTCTTGAAAAATTAACATTAAGTCATTTGAAAAGAAATTATTGTAAGTTATAGAAAAAATTGAAGGTTTTGGTATTAAAATTCGTGGTAATTTCATAGTTTACGAGGCAAACAAAAAAAAACATCAAAATTTAGAGTTTTTTCATGAATTTTTAAAATTCAATTTTTTCCAGTATACTTTTACTAAAAATCCCTGACTTTGCCCTGACTTCCCTGACCTGTGGCAACCCTGTTTTAGAATTTATAAATAAAAAACTCACATTTTCCTTGACGATATGAACGTGAAATTTCATTTGGAAAAAATGCATCATCCCCCGGTGAATTTTCATTTTTAAATATATTCTGACCCGTTGTAATTGCAATTATTGCAATGAAAATTAAAACTAAAAATGCGTCGAACATATCTAGAAATGAATCTGAACATTTGAGTCTTTTTCCGTTAATACACACTTGAAAGATTGACTAACGGAATTTATTTGCACAATAATAATCATGTTTAGCTTCTTCTTGAAAAAATTCGACGTTCGCTAATTAAGTAGTTGTAGTGTTCTTTAAATATTTTACCGCTATATTTTTATTTGTTGATTTTACACAATTAGATGCAGTGATAAAAATGATATTGTTTTTTATTCATAAACGAATAAATATTCATTCATTTTTCCCTGTTGGCATTATAAGAAACATTATCGAAAGAAGTTTTTTTAATTAACAAGACAATTATTAATTCGCAACATGAAAAAAAATTTTGAATTTTCGTACAACTAGAGTCAAGTTGAAAATTGATTATCAGAAACAAATCTGATTGGTCGACGGTGCCATGTTGAATGTAAAGGCGCTCTCACAGCTAGTAGGCAGCATACAAATTTGAATTTACTATCTCTTTCACTCTAATTGATTTTCTCTCTTACTCCAATTACTGCCTGCGCAGGCAGGCAGAGCTGTGAAGAGCTCCATAAAACAGCAGCCAATAGAATTGTCCCTTTTTCGCGCGAAAGTTTAAATTTAAATAACTATTTAAAATTGTCGAAATGTTAATTTTTGTATTATTTATAAAGTTTATAAATTCTTTCCCGAAGTTTTAAAAAATACTATACTATTATTTTAAATTCTAAAAGAAAAATTGATCTAAAAGTAAAGAATATACGGGAAACATGACATTATTCAAAAGTAAGGTTATGTTTGCAACCGAACACAAGGAGAAAAAAACGCTTTTTCTGATTAAAATTACACTCGTTATAATTTTTTCCCCAACTTGTAAAGCTTGTAAATAAAATACTTAAAAGGGAAAATAGTATTTAGAATAAAAAAAAAGTAGACCGGCTTTTCACTGTAATGTGCTGCCTCTATAATGTAATCGTGGAACTAAATAATCGACGTCAAAGCTGTCAAATATGGCGAGCTCAGCGCGATGTGATTGACATGTAAAAATGCAATTTGGGACAATTGTCGCCAGTGAATTTGTGTTAAAAAAAAGCACTGCATTGTGCTCGAGAGAATTGGTAATATGTAAGATTCTAAAGAAGCCGGAAGTTGTCGATATGTGTTAAAAATTCGTCCTCGGCGTAATCGTAGCCGGGGGTGATATACATACAAGGGGAATGATAATTGGGGAATTATGGGTGCTCAACCGACTAAAGACAGAGTGATTCCTGCCGGGTCTGCTATTCGACAAACTCGGAAACAACCCAGGAATCCAAAGGACTCTCGTGTCATCGGATCCAATATTTTCACCGAGCACAGTGGTATTTGAATTTTTCAATTTTCTCTCTTTCCTTTTTTCTCGCGCCCCCTCGCCACCCTCCTATTGTATTCTGCTCCATTTTATTCTCAAAATTAATATATCATTTCTTTTCCTATCCAATTAATTATCCACTATTATCCCCCCATCAACTCGTTTATTTTTTGATTAAATTCACAAAAATCACGAGACTGAAAATGCTCCAATTTTGTTTTGTAATTTTTAACGAAAAAAATTACTTTGTCAAAATTTTTTTCCCTTGTGACTCATTTCTCACTTTTTTTTTTTTTGTTAGAGTGATTTTATTTTCTTACTTGTGTAATAATTATTATTACACATCTGTATATCTAATCAAATTTGGTTAACTTCCGTCTTTGTTCTATTTCATTTTATCAGCTCCAGATGTGAGACTTCCAGTTTCATGATCTGCTGTTTATATGAAGCAATTCGTTAAGAAATATGAAAAGTAAAAAATTGTCGAATTCGATAATTAATCAACTACGTCGAATATTTAAGTATCCTTCACCTTTCATGTTAATTGATATCCATGAAAAATGATTCTCTAATGCAATCGACGACAGGAAACTACTAATCTTGATATCAACGAGATTATGCAATAAAAAAAAAATTGCACCAAGACTACAACAAAATTACCTTGTAATCAATTTTTATAAATAACTAGTTTTATTTTCATGATGATTTCTCAAATTTTCAAGACAATTTATTGTTTCTTTTTGATTCAATTGAAATTAAAATTCAATATTTTAGGAAATATTACGAAATTACCTTTTGTTCAGATTTGTCCATTGCAATTCTATACATTTTGTTAGTAATAAAAATTATTATTATTACTATTACTTTTATTATTATGACTACCTACTATTATTTTTATTATTATTATTATTATTATTATTATTATTATTATTATTATCATTATTTTTATTTGGTAAAGTGAATTATAAGACGGTATAAAAATATTAACAGTTTTGAATCAATTTTACGTTTATAAATTGTTGATGTAAAATAATTCACTAATTTTTTTTAGAAGCCTTACTTCAGAGTAGACCACTTCCTCACATTCCTGCATTACCAGAAGGTGATCCACCAAGTTGCTCTAGTATTCAAACGTATTCTCAACAATCGGGTCTTCAACATGTCAATGTGCCCAGTGGTGGACTTTTGGACGCTGCCAATAGGTTTGTAAATTTCTTTTTCTTTAATTTAAATATCTAAATTATTTTGGAATAACAAAAAGAAAAAAATTGTGAATTTAAAATTTCAGATGGACGAGCAAGGAAAATCTTCTCGCCCAAGAAGAAGACGATCCACAATTATTCCTAGCGCTTTATGACTTTCAAGCTGGTGGGGAAAATCAACTCAGTTTGAAAAAAGGTTTGTTAATTAAATCTTGGATTAATTTTGAATTAATTAATTAATGCATAAGAAAATTTTACTTTCCTTACCCTAAAGATTGATTTTGAATTCAACTACTAAAGATTGATTTACATGATTGCCACAGGTCAGGGAATTCAGGGAAAAGTCAGGGATTTTTACTAAAAGTACTAGAAAAAATTGAATTTTTAAAATTCATGACAACTATCATAAAATTATGACTTATAAATTATTTTATGAATAATTTTTACAATTTTTATAAATACCAGATTGATAGAAGAATTTTAGTTAAAAATACTAAAAGAAATTGGATTTTGGAAAAGTTACAAATAATTACAGAAATTCAATTATTTTCAAAAGTTACAAACATTTTTCGGAGAATTTCAATTATGTTCAAAAATTAAAAAAAAATTCTCGTCAAAATTTCAATTATCTTTATAAATAATAAAATTCTTCATCGAAATTCAATTATTTTAAAAAAATTTAATAAAATTCTTGGGAAAATTCTACAGGAATTCAATTATTCTATTTTTAATAAATTTCTTCGAAATAATTCAATTATTTTCATAAGTAATAAAATTTTTCACAGGAATTCAATTATTTAAAATACAAAATTTCATAAAAATTTTTGAAAAATATCAATTATATAAAAAGATTTTTATAAAATTTTTTCAAGAATTCAATTCTTTTCAAGAATTTTAATAAAGTTCTTCACAAAAATTTAATTACTTTTATAAACTTGAATAAAATTCGTTGCAAGAATTAAATTATTTTCAAAATTAATAAAATTCTTCGCAGAAATTCAATTATGTTCAAAAATTAAAAAACAAATATTTTCAAAATTTCAATTATCTTTATAAATAATAAAATTCTTCATCGAAATTCAATTATATTTAAAAATTTTAATAAAATTCTCGGCAAAATTTCACAGGAATTCAATTATTCCAATTTTTAATAAATTTCTTCGAAATAATTCAATTATTTTCCTAAGTAATAAAATTGTTCACAGGAATTCAATTATTTCAAATACAAAAATTCATAAAATTTTTCAAAAAATATCAATTATTTAAAAAGATTTTTTTAAAATTCGTCACAAAAATTTAATTATTTAAAAAAATGTAACACAGTTCTTTCCAAGAATTCAATTGTTTTTATAAATAATAAAATTCTTCACCGAAATTCAATTACTTTTATAAACTTGAATAAAATTCGTTGTAAGAATTCAATTATTTATATAAATAATAAAATTCTTCACAGGAATACAGTTATTTTTTAAATTTGAATAAAATTCGTTGGAAGAATTAAATTATTTTCAAAATTAATAACATTCTTCGCAGAAATCCAATTATGTTCAAAAATATTTTTAAAAAAATTCTTGTTAAAATTCCAAGTATCTTTATAAATAATAAAATTCTTCACCAAAATTCAATTATTTTAGAAAAATTTTAATAAATTTCTTGGGAAAATTTTAATTATTTTCATAAATAATAAAACTCATCGCAGGATTTTAATTATTTTTTATACAATATTTTAATCAAATTCCTCGATGAATGTAATTATTCTTAAAAATTTTATTAAAATTTGTCAAATGAATTCAATTATTTAAAAATTTATTGATAAAATTCTTTATGAGAATTCAATTTCAACAAACATTCAATTATTCAATAAATTATTTATTTTTCAATTTAAATAATTGAATTTTTCTAGAAATTTCTAAGAAAAATTAATTTAAAAATGAATTAATGAATAATCGATTTATTATTATTTATGAAAGTAATTTATTTATTGCAACGAATTTTATTACATTTTTTTTAATAATTGAATTTTTTTGAGAAATTGTACTGCTTGTAAAAGTAATTGAATTCTTTCGAAGGATTTTAATAGGATTTTTATAAATAATTAACTTATTTTGAAAAATTTTATGGTAATTTAAATTATTACAAAACATGAAGAAGTTTTGTAATGATATTCTTATAAGTTGTTGAATTTCAAAAAGGTTTGAATTTGAATGTTTTGAAGAATTTTAATTCCTACAGAAAAATAATAATGATTAAATATTTATTTAAAAAGAAGTTATTGATGTTTTTGAATAATTTTACAATTAAAGAAATTTGTAAATAAATGTAATAGAACATTTTTTTTTTTGAGTATTTAATAATTTTTAGAGTGAATCAGAATATTATTTAGGGTCAGGGAAAAAGTGAAAATTTTGTCTGGAAATCAGGTAAAAATAAAATTAAATATTTGTGGCAACCCTGATTTAGAAATCAACACCTAAAGATTGATTTAATATTCAACAGCTAAAAAATAAAATTATTTTTTTTTCGTTACTAGGTGAACAAGTACGAATTCTCAGCTACAATAAAAGTGGAGAATGGTGCGAGGCTCATTCAAGTGCCGGTCAAGTTGGCTGGGTTCCTTCTAATTATGTGACGCCCGTGAATTCGTTAGAGAAACACTCCTGGTATCATGGAAGAATATCGAGAAATGCGGCAGAATATTTATTAAGTTCGGGTATCAATGGAAGTTTCCTGGTTCGAGAGTCAGAAAGTAGTCCGGGACAACGCAGTATTTCTTTGCGATATGAGGGTCGCGTTTATCATTATCGAATAAACGAAGACAACGAAGGAAAAGTAAAAAAAATTTCTCTTATTTTTAATTCATATTTGTAGTACAAGAATTTTTTTAAAATTAAATCTTTCATTTAATTTTTCAGATGTTCGTGACAACAGAGAGTAAATTTAACACTTTAGCAGAATTAGTTCATCATCATTCAATGCTGAGCGATGGATTGATAACACAACTTCTTTATCCAGCTCCAAAACAAAATAAACCAACTGTTTTCCCATTAAGTCCCGGTAAGATTTGAATATTTTGTTTTTATTCGAAAAAATTAACACAGAGTGAATTTACTATTTTTTATTCCTTAGAACCTGACGAATGGGAAATAAATCGCACGGACATTGTAATGAGGCATAAACTCGGTGGCGGACAATATGGAGATGTATACGAAGCTGTTTGGAAGAGATACAACATGACAGTTGCTGTGAAAACTCTAAAGGTAAAAAAAACACTCTAAATTATAAATATTTGTTCAATTTTCAATTTTACATTTTACATTTTTGGAAATAATTTTTCTCCCTCAGGAGGATACAATGGCGTTGAAAGACTTTTTAGAAGAAGCTGCAATTATGAAGGAAATGAAGCACAGGAATTTGGTACAATTAATAGGCGTCTGTACTAGAGAACCACCTTTTTATATTATCACTGAATTCATGAGTAAGGGAAATCTATTGGATTATTTGCGCAATGAAAGCAAGCATCAAATTAATGCTGTTGTATTAATGCACATGGCTACGCAAATTGCAAGTGGAATGAGTTACCTCGAGAGTCGAAATTTTATTCACAGGTATTTCAATTGTTTCTAATAATTAATCAGATAAAAATCAATAGAATAGAAAATAGAAATTTTCTCTTTAAAAATAGAAATATTAATATTTTCGTTATTGCATTTTCAGAGATTTGGCTGCGAGAAATTGTCTCGTGGGTGAAAATCATTTAGTGAAAGTGGCAGATTTTGGTCTCGCTCGATTAATGAGAGATGACACCTACACTGCACACGCTGGCGCAAAATTTCCAATTAAATGGACAGCACCCGAAGGATTGGCTTACAATAAATTTTCAACAAAATCCGATGTCTGGGCATTTGGAATTCTGCTTTGGGAAATTGCAACCTATGGAATGTCACCATATCCCGGTGTTGATCTCACGGATGTTTATCACATGCTTGAGAAAGGATATCGCATGGAATGTCCACCAGGTTGTCCGCCAAAAGTTTATGAACTAATGCGTCAATGTTGGCAATGGTCCGCCATGGAGAGACCAACTTTCAAAGAAATTCATCATTCCCTAGAAAATATGTTTCAAGAATCTAGTATTACGGAAGGTGGTGTATTTTTTTTCATTGTCACTTTATTTTTTTCATTTTGAAAATTTTGAAAATATTTTACAGAGGTGGAAAAGCAATTGCAGAGCGGTGGGGAAATTCCTTTGTTGGCTTACAAAAAATCACAGACAGGAAGTACGGGAAATATTCATGGACTTGTTTTAGTTTCTGATCAACTGCCTTCTGGTTTGACTCAAGGTTTGCCTGATTTTTACAATTTTTTGTCAATCAATTTATGTAAAATTAATTTTCTCTGATTGAATGATTTTTGAATAGAAGGAGCCAGTCCAGTTTCAAAGTTAAGCACTTTTATGGGCGGATTGTCAAGTAAGGGGAACAGCAATTCCGTACAAATGCGACGCTCGACGAATAAAAAAGGAAAACAAGCGCCTGCACCACCGAAGCGTACTAGGTAAGTATAGTCGTTGCTTTTTTTGTCTCTAAATTTTTCTTTTATTTTTTAGTATTGTTGGTAATTTAAAATCAATAATTTAAAAATGGCATGAATCGTTGTGTACAGCCTGCTATCGTCGTGCAGCTCTTTTCGCGATTCAGCCTACCAGGATCAAGATCAACAGAATGCCGATATTTGCACTGCGATACTCGACGATGGCACGGACATAAATGGTATAGATAATTTAGTTTTGTTTTAATCGCATTTTCCATGAAATAATTTCGAGTCTATATACATAGTGTAATTGCACGAGCTGGTCTGCCTATTTTCTTTGAAAGCCTGCATCAAACTTTTTTATCGAACAATTGGATCGTGGGTCATTCTCCTGCTGGAAATGTGCACGCATTGTCCTTGATTTCATTATCAGGATATGTCGTGATTTGAATTAATTGTCAGAATATATAAGGTAGGATCCAAAATACTTGTACTTTGATGATTCGACGCAAGCCCCTTATATCGTCTCGCACTTTTTAAATTTAGATCTCTCTTTGACTTTGCCGAGTAAAGACATGCATGTCATGTTATGCGTAGATCAAAATTTAGACTCAGTCGCCTCCTTTCCCTTGTAATCATTAGATCGAGTATATTTCTTTTTCTTTGTAATATTCTCATTTTTGATTCATTTATCATCATTAAAGAAAAGAAAAGAAAAGAAAAGAAAAAATCTTCGAACCTACATTATTCAAGCAGTGTTATGTGATTTCAACGAGAGATTTCAGGGTTTGGACTTGTCAACAGTGAGGATTTAGAAAACAAAATTTAATTGAATACGGGAGAATGGCCCATTGCAAAACTGTTCGAAACGGCTCAAAAATTCCCTTTTTCAAAAATTTATTAATACATTTTTCGGTATCAAAATTCAAAGAAACACTTCATCACATCACTATTTTCATATCACGTCATCAATTATTATTTTGAAAAGAAAAATAATTGCTTTGATGAAAAAATTATTGAATGAACGTATTTAGGTATCACACGAGATATCATAACAATGGCCACACAATCAATTAACGCAGGAATTTGTGATGGGGACGACGATGGCGATGGCTCTCAAGAAACGGCAGAGACCAATTTTCCACCGCAGCCGTCAATTTCACCGGAACCTGCACTCAACTTACAGTGCAACCAAAAACAATTAAAAACGCGTACATATCCGCCTAAGGAAGTACTGCCTCAGAAGGTATTCCGGCAATACTTTACGAAACACCAAAATAATACAAAGTCGAAATCGAAAATATCCACTTTTCTTAGCACTGCTTGAATAGTAAATTGAAAACTGTTTCAAATCAAAATATTACTTTAATCTATTATGTTTGATTATATTTTAAAGATATCCTTCAAAATATTTACAAATTGATTATTTAATTTTCTGAGAATTTTTTAAAATTAATATAAAAAAATAATGAAAGAATTTTTTCTAATCTATCGGATTTCACTGACTGAATTTTTCTTTTCTAGTTGGTACACGTGGGAGCTTTAGAGGTGCAAAATGTTAAGAGGGCAATAAATCGCTATGGAACATTGCCAAAGGGTGCACGAATTGGAGCGTATTTGGAATCACTTCGTCAGAGTGGAATGCCATCGAATCAGGATAGTTCATCGTCATCATTATCAACGGCCGTCGAGCAACATGAATTCACAAATCCTGGCGATATCTCTCAACATCGTTCATTATCGCCCCGGCAAAATAATCTTCGCAATCAACCGCAAATGACAAGAAGCAATTCCTCCAGTGGTGTGGTAAATACCTATCAACCTCCAAATTCTCCCCGCAGTCGTGCCGTTGGAACAAGAAAAAATAACAGTGAAAATGTTGGCTTAAAAACATTCCGCGTTTCCAATACCTCAACATTTCGCACAGCAAGTCCCTCGCGACCACTTCAACCCACATTAGCCGATCTCGAATTTCCACCGCCACCGCCTTTAGATTTATCGCCACTTCATAACGATTCCTTTAATATTAATGAACAATTTGATCTTCCCCCGCCAATAATGCACTCGCCCAGTGGTAACAATTCATTGATTAAAACCCTAAGTTCGCCAATTGGCATCCGAAAAGTAAAAGACTGGAAATTCAAAGAAGAATCAAGCGAAGAGGAGCGTACCAGCGATGTTCAAAATGCAGAACCATCGGTGAAAGAAGCGAGTTCTAGATTTGGTGTCAGCCTGAGGCGACGTGAAGACACTGGCAAATCGGACGAGAAAAATTGTAAATTACCCGAAATATCGAGACAAAAAACTAAAGATTCACCGCACGAGACGAAAATTCAACAAATCTCACCACCAGAAGAATCACCACCGCCTCCACCTCCACCGCCACCACCTCTCAGTTCCACTCTCGACGCATTCAATTCAAAGCCAGGAATGAAAGAAATGCTCGAACTTAAATTAATCAACGAAATCAAACAATCATCCGACAAAAAGCAACACACCAACATTCTCAAAAAAGTCACATCTTCCAATAATATCACTTCCGCCCCACTTGATCCCGCCTCGCAATTACTCTCCGAACTCTGCGCAACATTCAGCATGGACACAAATAAACACCCCATTCAAAGTGAATACGCAATCGCAAATTTAAATCCCGAACCAATTCAAGAAAACGAGAAACTAATCAAGGAACCAATTCAAGTCTCACCGATAGTCGAAGTGAATTTAAACACAGGATTTAAATTAAAGAAAGTTGACAAGAAACCACAAAAGGAAGAGAATTCGGACATTAGTCAAATTATCGATTTTAAGGCCCGTTTAAGAAAGATTGACGCTGACAAAACAGATGACAAAAGTAAGAGAGAAAAGGAAGATAATCACGAATCGCTTGAGTCAATAGTCGACGAACAGGACGATAAGAGACGCAGTACGGGCAGTATAAGTAGTTTGAAAAAACTCTGGGAAAATAAAGAAGCAACTGGCGGTGAGAATCAACCATTGAGTCCAAAATTAGGAGCAAGAGGTACAAATAAAGATGATGAAGAATCGCCCGAGGATCATAGTGGAGCGTCAACAAAAAGTTCCGGTAAAACAGTATGGCCACCAATGCAAACCGAAATGGAGAAGCCAATTGTACCGGCAAAACCAATAAAACCATTAGTGACAACAGTAAAGCCATCGATTTACGCAACTCCAAATTGTAATAAAAATACAACGTCGCAAGATGATGATTTAGGAAAGCAGAGTGACACCAAAGGAGCAAAGAACAATGTTATTGAGATTTCAAACCTAATTGAGAATAGTATTATTCATTTGAAGAGCAGCACAACAATAGTCATTGCAAGTTGGTTGCAGCTCTCGGACAAAGTGGGATTATTGCACGGTATGTGCGTTAATTTAACGGACACTTCAATATCGCCGCATGCCAAATTTCAATTTCGCGATCTTCTCACTCGTCTTGAATTACAAGCGCGACAATTGAGAGCCGCCGGTACTCGCAATATTGCAGAGAATACAAGACTACTAAGTGATGTTCAAAATACGATAAAAGATGTTATCAATATGGTGCAAAGGTAAAAGAAAAAAAAATCCGGAGAAATCAAAAAGAAAAGAACCGAGGTTCCTGTGCATTTTGTTCTTCTTGTTTATACTATTCGACAATTATCGTATTTTATTACTTACAGGTTTTTTTTTTTTTGTATATTTTAATCAAAGATGATGACTTCAATTAGAATCGATTAATGTGATCAATTTTTTTTAAACAATATATTAATCAATTTTAAAGGAATACATTATTTTTTTTCTTGATAGTCATTTAGAATTTATATTATTTTATTTTTTGTTTGTAGAAATATTTAGAGTTTAAAAATATTTGACACAATTTTGGTTACATTTGGTTTTGGAGATCCGTTTCTTTGATAGCTAAAGCACTAAAGGAATTTGAAAAATATCATAATTAGATAAATTATTTTTTCAACTTTCTAATATTTTTTAGTTCTGAAAATATTCCAACTGTATATTTTTTGTAATTTTTGTTTAAGTTTGTAATTATTTTTTTTTTGTCAATTTTAAATTAATATTCGTTAAAATCTAGACTTTTTTATTTTATTTGTCAGGAAATTTTTTTTATTATCGTTATTTGAATATTTGAGAAGAGGAAAAAATCTCCCCAACCAGATGTAACGGAAAAAAAATGTGACGTAATTTAATTGATAGATTTTTAGAATTATTTTTTGAATAATTCAAATCCAATATCTTAAAATGTTGACTTTTAATTTTAAATAAAAAAAAAACAATTTTTTTTGTTTAAATTTAATTTTGATTAATTTTTTTGGATTTGATTAGGGACATTTTTAAATTAATATTCAAAGGAGATTTTAAAATTAAAATTTGATGCTCTCTATTTTTTTCTAGATCAAATTTTCAAATGTCCTGAAAGTTTAAAAAAAAGGATGCATGCTAATGAGTGAAACAAATTTAGACGCGAATTTTTATCTTGATTGCTGATTTAAACAATTTATAATTTATTTTAGAAAAATTAACTTTCGCGAACATTCTTAGAAATTGATTTTTACTTTCAGTAAGACGATTTTACTGGAATAATAATTATGATTGTGATCCAATGTTTTTTAATCGTCAGAGAGATTGGAAAATTGTTAACATTTTTTTATATACGCAAACCAAAAATTATTTTGAAGAAAATTCTGTTATTTTCGTCGAAATTTATTATTTTTATTGATAAAAACCGAAAAGAATTTTTTTTTTAGTTTGAAAAATGAAAGACAAAATCAGAAAGTTTGAACAAAACGAGACCATGCTCATAAAAATTTTTCAACTGTAATCTTTCCTGTAGCTTTCTATTTATGTATAAACACAGCGATGGGATAAGAAAATAAAACCCGAAGTGATATTAGACTTACGTGTGAAATTGAACAATTTTTATTAATCTCAAAAACAATATTTCAATGAAATAGAATTTTTTCAAAGGCTAAACAAAAGCTCGTATAGCAGAAAAAGAAAAGCTCTAAAAATTTTATGCGGAAATTCTAAAAAAAAACTGTTTTTTTCATGAAATGAGAAAACCAAAATTAAAACAAGTCAAGAATTTCTGTGATAAATACTCTGTCCAAAAAAATCAAAAAATTTCAAAAAAAAAAACTTTCCTTAATTCTATAATTCTAGACTAGTTTTTTATGAAAACAAAAAAGAACAGATTTTTAATAAAAACCTACTGACTCTGGGATAATATTATTTTAATTAAAAAATCAAACGTTTTCTCATTTCATGAAAAATTAAATATTCAAAGAAAAGCGAAAATAAAATTATTAGAGCAAAAAAGTTCAAAATAAAGTTCGAATCGCTACTAAATTTCCTGATAGAAGAAAAGAAAAATCACTAGATTTTCATTTTAATGAGAAATAATAAATATTTTCTCGAGTGTATTATTTCAAACTCTATTTCTTTAAATATATATAAATATATAAATATAATATTCGATTATTCAATTTTTAAAACTATATCAAAGAAGTGGAATTTTTAAAAAGAATCGCAATTTCCAGTCTTATCATATTAAAAAAAAGCCTTTTGTAATTACTCTAACACAAAACGATATTAAACTACAAAAAATCCTTCTGCAAAATAAAAAAAGAGTTGGGCCCATTTTGATCGTCTTATCGTGTGATTGTATAAAAACAAAAACAAAAAAAAAATGAAAAAATTAGCAAATAATGAATGTAGTGTTCAAAAACTATTATTATTATTATTATTACTATACAGCGAGTGTTGCAAAAAAATCATAATAAAGCGAGTGTTGAAAAACATATGTAAAAAATATTAAAAGCTTAACGCTCTATGTGAAAGACCAAAGGTGAATTAACGAAGAAAAAAAAATTCTACATTATAAGCCCAACTCTGCTTCTTTTTTTCAAAAAAAAAAAAAAAAAAATGAGTGTCTTTAATTTCAGTGAAAAGTGAATGAAGATGTGTAGGGACAAGGGGGAAAAAATCTTGATTTTTTTTTTGTTTGCTTGTACTTTTTATACGAAAAAAAAAATATTTATCATAAGTATCATATAGGCTAGATTTATAAATACGAAATAAATATTAAGACAATATAAACGATTTTGTAAAACAAAAACAAAAAATTAAACAAAAAAAAATCACTGTAATTAAGCCAGGTTTTTAAATTAGCGAGCGCTTTGTTTGAAGAATGCACTCTGTCTAAAAAAAAAAGATGTTTTTCTCTCTTGCGGTGAGATGAAAAAAAAATCCTTTTGTACGAAGACTTAAAATGAAAGAAAGTAACGAGATTATTTTTGTCGTAGCCATTTTTCCGAAGTGTGTACAGTTTAAATAACGAGAAAAAAAATTGCAGCACTATCTTCAAAAGAAAAGAAAAATTTTTTTTCAATACCGCATGAAACTTTTTAAAATCTATATTTTTCTAAAGATCGATGTCGAGTAGTGGAGAATTTGATTTTAACAAGAATCATGTCTCGATCTCCTGTTTTTTTTATTATTGAATTTTTTTTTTTTTTTATACCTGTGATAATAATGGCCATTCTCTGGAAAATTTGTTTGCGTGTGCTCAAGAAAATTCCAATAGCAAATTAATTTGAAATAGAAAGAAAAAAATCGAGTACAGAAAAAAAAAACAAGGAAAGCAACGGTTTATATAAAATACTGTATTATAGTAATTTTACGATTATTTATATTTGTATTTATTTTATAATTCTCAGTGTAAAATTGTCACCCACGTACTGATTCGCTATTATAAAACTTTAATATTGCTTTATACTATAAGAGTAAAAAATAAAAATAATTATTAAATTAATTCAGTATAATTTATAGAAAATCCCCTGAGAAAAATCAGGGCTCGGATTTGTGCGACTTTTTCGACTTTTTTTTCGACTTTTCTAAGAAAATGTGACTTTTTTCGACTTTTTTGTGAAAAAATGCGACTAATCGACTTTTTGGAAATTTTTTTTAATAAAATGCGTCTAATCGACTTTTTTTCACATTTTTCAATTACTTTTCGACTTAAATTGTAAATGGCAGAAATCTTTTTTTGTAAACAATATTGTTCATAAAATCATTCTTATCTTTGGGAAAAAAAAATTAATAATCCCGTTTCTTAATATTTTTGTAGGAAATTCTCAATTTTCATAAGGAAATAATTTGCATCATTTCTATTTCTTAATTACAATTGCTTTAATAAAATTCAAAGTTTTTTAAAAATTAATGAAAAAAAAATGTTTATAAATTCTATTTGTCAAATAGAAATTGAAACTTTTAAAATTTTTAGAAAATTAAAGGAAAAAGTTTTAGTTAAAAAAAAAATGTTCTGTTACATTTATTTACAAATTTCTTTCAAATTTTTCGAAAACATCAATGACTTCTTTTTTAAATAAATATTTAATTATTATTTTTCCAATAGGAATTAAAATTCTTCAAAAGATTCAAATTCATTCGTTTTTTGAAATTAAACAACTTAAAAAAATTATTTTAAAACATGAAGAAATCAATCACTCCGAGTCTTCGACTCGGAGCAATCCATGTCTTCATGTTTTGTAATAAGTAAAGATGACCGAGAGATAAAATCATTATTTTATATTATAAGAAAGACTTTATAAAAAAAATAATTTTTTAATTTTTTTTATGAAAATAATTGAATTATTGTCAAGAAATTTATAAAACATTAGGAAGTAATTGAATTTTGCAGAAGAATTTTGATATTTACAAAGATAATTGAAATTTTTACACGAATTTCATTAAAATTTTTACAAATAATTAAATTTCAGAGAAGAATTTTATTATTTATAAAGATAATCGAAATTTTGAACAGGTTTTTTTTAAATGTTTAAAAGTAATTGAATTTTGCAGAAAAATTTTGATATTTACAAAAATAATTGAAATTTTGAGGAGAATTTAAAAAAAATTTTGAAAATAATTGATTATCTAGGATGAGTTTTATTATTTATAATGAGAATTGAAATTTTGACAAGAATTTTATTATTATTTTTACAAAAAAAAAAAAAAAATAAAAAAAAAATAAATAAATAAAATAAAAAAAATAAATAAATAAATAAATAAAAAAATTTTGAAAATAATTGATTATCTAGGATGAGTTTTATTATTTATAATGAGAATTGAAATTTTGACAAGAATTTTATTATTATTTTTACAAATAATTAAATTTCAGAGAAGAATTTTATTATTTATAAAGATAATTGAAATATTTAAAAAAAAAAATTTTTTTTTTTAAATGTCTAAAAGTAATTGAATTTTGCAGAAGAATTTTGATATTTATAAAGATAATTGAAATTTTGAGGACAATTAAAAAAAAAAAAAAATTTGAAAATAATTGAATTTCTGTGGAGAATTTTTTTACTTTTGAAGATAATTGAATTTTGCAAAGGATTTTATCAGAACTTTTGAAAATAATTAAATTTCCATAATGAATTTTATTATTTAGAAAATTTTCACCTGAAATTTAAAAAAAATTTTGAAAATAATTGAATTTTAGAAAAGAATTTTATTACTTTTGAAAATAATTGAATTTCAGAGAAGAATTTTATTATTTATAAAGATAATTGAAATATTTGAAAAAAATTTTATGTCTAAAAGTAATTGACTTTTGCAGAAGAATTTTGATATTTGTAAAAATAATTGAAATGTTGAAGTGAATTTAAAACAAATTTTGAAAATAATTGAATTTCTGCGAAAAATTTTCTTACTTTTGAAGATAATTAAATTTTGCAAAGAATTTTATCACAGAACTTTTGAAAATAATTAAATTTCATGGTGAATTTTATTATTTAGAAAATTTTCACCTGAAATTTTAAAAAAATTTTGAAAATAATTGAATTTTAGAAAAGAATTTTATTATTTATAAAGATAATTGAAATTTTGATAAGAATTTTATTAAAATTTTTTTTAAATAATTGAATTTCGGAGAAGAATTTTATTATTTATAAAAATAATTGACATTTTAAAGAGAATTTTTAAAAAAATGTTTGAAATACCTAATTAAAATTTTGCTATGAATTTTATTAAATTTTATTCCGGATTGTTTGAAATTAAAGTATATGTTAATTTAAATAATTTGTAGGCCAGTTTTTCCACAATTGTTTGTTTATTAACTTATGTTATTAAAACAACGTTTCGGTAGTAACCACTACCCTTATCAAGTTTAAATTAAAAGCAATAAAGCATTGTCAAGAAAATAATTAAGTTTTTGTAAAATAAAGTATTTTAAATATTATATCATTTTCGTTCAATTAATAAAAATTTTTTTTTTTTTTTTTTTTTTGTGTTATATAATTAATATATTAAGAATCCACAAATAAAATTTCATCTAACTAAAGTATATGTTGTCGAGAAATGTGATTTTTTACAATTTTGATAATTTCGTGTTTCCTTTATGTCTTTTTTTCGAAAATTTCATGCGACTTTTTTCTTGGTTTTTCGGAAATTTTATGCGACTTTTCGTGACTTTTGTTGTAAATTTATGCGACTAAAGCGACTTTTTCTGAGTCTTAAAGACAATCCGAGCCCTGAGAAAATTAAAAAAAAAGTTCAATTTTCATTCACTAGGGACGGATTTTTGTATATTTTTCATTTGTATAGAATAGTAGATACAGTGATAATAACTTTCTCTATTAATCAGTAGTTGGAAACTTGTTTTCATTCAAGCATCATTTGACGAAAATTATAGAACAGAGACTTCAAGTTGAAATAATATTAAATTTTGATTATTCGAAATGGCAAATGTTCCATTTTCCAGAAAATTATGGAATTCAAAGAAAATTCCCGCTTTGGGACTAGGAACAAATGCTGGATTTTTGGTAAGTTTTTTTTCACAATTCAAACAAAAATATTTTAATAATTTGGAAATTTTTTTTTGAAATTTAATTTAAAAAATATTTTTCAGTACGATCCAGAATTGACGGAACATGCCGTGGCAGCGGCGATTGACATAGGCTACAGACTTTTTGACTGTTCGCCAATTTATATGAATGAAAAAAATATCGGAAAAGCCATACAAGCAAAAATTTACGAGAAAGTCGTGAAAAGAAAGGATCTTTTTATCGTCACAAAAGTAAGTTTTTCAATTTTCTTTTAATTTTCACAAGATTTTAATATTATTCTAATTTTTTATTTTATTTTTATTTTATTATTTTATTTTTTATTTCTAATTTTTTTTTTCTAATTTTTCTACATTTTTAGTTTTGGATAACGAATCATAAATCAATGAATGTCTCAGATTCGTTGACATCATCACTGAAGGCTCTTAAACTCGACTACGTGGATTTATTTCTAATGACTTGGCCCTTTTCCCACTCGGTTAGTTTTATTGAAATTATTTTTTTGAATTCTATTGTTCTATATTATTTCATTTAGTCATTAAATTAACAATTCAAGAAATAATTAATTTAGTAATTTGGTAAATTAGTAATTTAGTAAATTCATAATTTAGAAAATTCATAATTTAGTAAATTAATAATTTAATAAGTTCATTATTAAAAAATAATATATCGAATAATTGAATAATAATTAAATGATCTCTCGAACAACTGTTTCAGAATGACGTTGACTACACAAACGTGTGGATCGAAATGGAAAACTGTATTCATAAAAAAATGACAAAGTCAATAGGAGTGTGTAATTTTAATTTAGAACAATTAACTCGACTGCAACAATTCGCAACAATAAAACCGGCAGTTATTCAAGTGGAATGTCACATTAATTTAAATCAAACGGAATTGAGGGATTATTGTAAAAGAAACGAAATTATTTTAATGGGATACACACCGTTTGGTGATGTTCACGAGGCAACCGATGGACCATATTCAGAATGGAGAACTTCTGAGCAAGTCACTTTAGATGCGCCCGAAATGAAAGCAATCGCAGAAAAATATAAGAAAACAGTTTATCAAGTTGCACTTCGATATTTAGTAAGTTTACACAAAAATACAGTCGCCTCTCGATAATTATTGAATCTCAAGAAGGGGCACAGAAAAAATTTAAATTGGTTTTGTTTTGATTTTTGGTAAATTATTCAATTCTCGATAAATTGAATTTCTAGGAGGTGAAAAATTCAAATTCTCGAGAATGTTATTTATCGAATATTTTAAGTATCAAAATTATTTCAAGGGAATAGAACAAAAATGCAATTTATTGCGAAATTCCATTTGTCGAAAATTTAATAATCGAGAGTTGAATAAAAGGAAAATAATATAATAAAAAAAAAAATATTTTCCAGACACAAATTGGAGTCGTCCCGATACCAAAATCATGTTCCTTGATGCATATTGAGAGTAATATTGAAATATTCGACTTCCAATTGACTCAGGAGGAAATTTTGATAATTGACAGACTTGATTGTAACAAAAGAATTCACACCGCGAATCAGTGAGTATAAATTGAAAAAATTTCAAGAATTTTCACTAAGCTCTATTTATAAATAATAATTATTTTTTGTTTCAGATACCGGGCCCACGATTATTATCCATTTTATTAAAAATATTTTAGATAAATTGATATTAAATCTGATTTGTAAGCACCGAAGATGCTTTTCTTATTATCAATTACATTTTAATTAATTTTTTTTTATTAAATTCCTTGTGTATATTTTTTTTGTTAATATTTTGTGCTTTTTAAAATATTTATCTTCTATTTTATATGAGGAGACAAATAATAAATTTTGTCATAAGAAAAATTTTATGTTTATTTTTGTTAATTTTGATTTATAATTGAGAATTATATTTTAATTTCGATTCTATAATTGAGAATGAAGTAATGACATCACTTATTTTGTGATTAAACAAAACATTGTAGCTATTTGATTTGAAGGTGACAAGTGTATTAAACCTTAATTTTATTAAAGTCTCTCTTTAGTTTCACGACAGTCAGGAAAAATTGCGGAAATCAAAAAAGAAGGAGGAAAAGAAGAATTGAGTTCAATAAATAAACGAGAGTGTAGAAATTAATTACTATTTAATTCCAACTGAAAATGTCAATTCTCACTAAAGAAAGTACTACGAAATTGAGATACAATGAGATGAAAATGCCAATTATTGGATTTGATAGCACATTTCATAGGATATGTGTAAGAGATAGTGTAAGTCATTTTTTTTCCCGAATGTTTATGAATTTTATTCAACAAAAGGATTTGTTTCGAATAAATTTGTTATTTAAATAAATAAACTAATTAGAATAATAGTTTCAGGATATCGATGACAAAGTAAGAGAAGCTTTATCAGAAGCAATTAATGCCGGATATAGGCTTGTATTTTGTGATCCATTTGTTAAGGGAAATGAAAGAGCAGTTGGAGCAGCTTTAAAGGAAAAATTCCAAGACAAAAGAGTCGAGAGGGAGGAACTTTTCATCGTAACGAAGGTAATATTTTTTCAAATAAATCAAACGTTTTTGCGTTTATAAAAAAATTTTACATTCAAATGAATAAATAAAATCATCAAATTATTCACAAATTATTCTCATAAATTATTATTCAATGATTTTCAATAAATAATAAAATTTTTTACAGGGATTCAATTATTCTCATAAATACATAATAAAACTCATCGCAGACTTTCAATTATTTTTAATTTTTAATACAATTTTAATGGAATTCCTCGAAAAATGTAATTATACTTAAAAATTTTATTAAAATTCATCAAAGAAATTCAATTATTTTAAAAACTTTCGCTACAATTTAAGTATTATTTTCAATACATTTTTAATTAAATTTCTTTAAAAAATTGAATTATTTTCATAAATAATGAAATTCTTTGTAACAATAAAAATTTTTTCAAAATAATTTTCATAAAATTCTTCGTAGAAATTTAATCAATTTTAAAAATTTGTCAAAATTCAATTGTTTTCAATGTCTACTATTTACATAAAATTTTACAAAAGAATTCAATTATTTAAAAAGAAATTTTAATAAAATTCGTCTCAAGAATTCAATTATTTCCAAAATTAAGAGATTTAAATTATTTAAAAATTTTGTTAGTAAAATTCTTTATGAAAATTCAATTAGGTACAAATGATTGCAGAAATTCAATTATTTTTAAAAATTTTAATAAAATTCTTGGCAAAATTTTAATTATTTTCAAAAACTTTCCTCTATTCAATGATTTTTAATATTTACTACTTTAATAAAAATTCCTAAAAGAATTCAATTAGTTAAAACAAATTTTAAGAAAATTCTACGCAAATATTTAATTATTTTCATAAATGATAAAAATTTCACAGGAATTCAATTATTTAAAAATTATTTTCACATATTATTCAATTATTTTAAAAAATAAAAACATTTTTTCCAGAGATTCAATTATTTTCATAAATAATATAACTCAATGCTGAATTTCAATTATTTTTTTTAATACAATAATTTTAATGGAATTCCTCGAAAAAGTTATTATTCTTAAAAATTTTATTAAAAATTCACCAACGAAATTTAATTACCTTTGTTACAATTTATTTATTAGAATTTGTTTTAAATAAATTTTTAATTAAACTTTTTTAAAGAATAAAATTATTTTCAAAAATTTTAATGCAATTCTTTGCGTAACAAATCAATTCTTTTCAACATAATTTTAATAAAATTCTTCTCGAAAATTCAATTATGTTCAAAATTTTTTAAAAAATTCTCGTCAAAATTTCAATTATCTTTATAAATAATAAAATTTTTCTCCGAAATTCAATTATTTTAAAAACTTTTAATAAAATTCTTGGCAGAATTTCAATTATTTTTTATTTTTAATACAATTTTAATCAAATTCGTCGAAAAATGTAATTATGCTTAAAAATTTTATTAAAATTCAGCAAAGAAATTCAATTACTTTACAAAATTTTGCTACAATTTAAGTATTATTTTCTATACATTTTTAATTAAATTTCTTCAAAAAAATTGAATTATTTTCATAAATAATGAAACTTTTTGTAACAATAAAATTTTTTTAAAAATAATTTTCATAAAATTCTTCGTAGGAATTTAATTAATTTCAAAAATTTAGCAAAATTCAATTATTTTCAATGTCTACTGTTTCAATAAAATTTCACAAAAGAATTCAATTATTTAAAAAGAAATTTTAATAAAATTCGTCTCAAGAATTCAATTATTTCCAAAATTATTATAATTCTTCGCAAAAATCCAATTATGTTAAAAAATTTACAAAAATTCTCGTCAAAATTTCAATTATCTTTATAAAAAATAAAATTCCTCTTGGAAATTCAATTATTTTCAAAAATTATAATAAAATTCTTGACAGAATTTCAATTATTTTTAATACAATTTTCATCAAAATTCTCGAAAAATGAAATTATTCTTTAAAATTTTATTAAAATTTTTCAAGAGAATTAAATTATTTAAAAATTTTGTTGATAAAATTCTGTACGAAAATTTAATTTTAAGAATCATTTAATTATTTGATAAAATATTTATTTTTGTAGTTAAATAATAATTGAATTCTTGTAGAATTCTCTAATAAATACTGATTTAATAATGAATTTCAGTTAAAATTTTAGATTATAATTGAATATTGAAAGCATTATAGCGTCGATTTTTAGAAATAATTGAATTTTCAAAAGGTTTCAAATTAAAATCTTTGAAAATTTGAACTTTTCATACTTTTAATTAAGAATTCTGTAGAATTAATTTTTTTTCAAAAAGTTTAATGGAATTTTTTTTAATTATTTAATGTTTTTAATTTCTAATATATTTAATTGAGGAATGTCAGAATAATCGAAATTTCATAAAATTAAATTGTAAACAAAAGAATTTGAAAATTCTCTAAGAACTTTTTCAAAAATTATTAAAGAAAAATTGACCTAAAGAAGAATTTTAGTTGAAAATTCTAGAAATGAATAATCGTAATAATGAAAATAATTTTTGAAGAAGTTACAGTAACAAAGTAGCAAGTTTCAATTATTTTAAAACATGAAGAAGGCGATCACTCCGAGTCGAAGACTCGTAGTGATCGATATCTTCATGTTTTATAATAATATTCTTATAAGTTATTAAATTTCAAATTTTTGAAAATTTTAATTTCTATATGAAAAAATAATAATGATTAAATATTTATTTAAAAATGAAGTTGTTGAATTAAAAAAATACTAAAACAATTTTTTTTCTCTTTTCAAATAAATCAAAACATTTTGACTCTATAAAAAAATATCACCTCGTACATTAAAATAAATAAATAAAATCAGCTGAATAAATAGAATTAAAACAAAGAATTAAAAAAAAGTAGAAAAAAACTTAAATTAAAAATAAAATACAGGTTTAAAAAATTACAGGTTTACATGGATTTAACCTATACACCTGGCTTTGTAGAAACTTCGGTTAAAAAATCACTGGAAGCTTTGGGTTTGGATTATCTGGATATGATCCTACTTTTCTGTTCTGTATACAGTGAGGTAAGTATTTTAAATTCAAAATTTCCACTAAAACAAATTTAATTTCTATAATTCGTATAATTTTCGTTACTTTATTAGGACCTTTTATTAACATTATTAATATATCAATTATTTAATGTTAATTTTTAATTTAGACTAAACCATATGGACCAGATTATACAGAGGCATGGAGGGGAATGCAAAATTGTTATTACAAAAAATATACAAGATCACTTGGATTGTGTAATTTCTCGTCAAATAAAATAGAACGTATTTTAAAATTAGCGGCAATTAAACCAAGTGCCAATCTAATGGAGTGCAATATTTTTAGGAATTGCAAAGAACTGCGTAAATATTTGAAAAAACATAAAATTGTTTTACTCTCGAATGATTTATATGGATCGGTTGGTATTGCGACAATTGATCCAGGAAGAGAATCACCTGACAAAGTACATCTCAATCAATTAATTCCAATTAAGGAGTTGATGGAAAAATATAACAAGACTGCATGTCAGATAGCCATTAGATATCTCGTGAGAAATTTACCAATTTTGCCATAATTAGAAAATTTATTATAAATTCTTCAGTACATATTTAATATTATAATCTAAATTTCCATTTCATAAAATGGCATTAAAGCAAAAAATTTTTTTTTTCTAGATTGAAACCGATACAATTCCACTGATAAAATCCGGATTGGACACAAGTATTCAGGCAAATATAGATGTATTCGATTTTAATATAGAAAAAAGTGAAATGAAAATTCTCAGTTCGATTGATAATGGAACGTATGATCCAAATTTGTAAGTAGAAAGAAATTTTATTTTTTTTTTGTAAATATTTTCGAAAAGAAACAAATTTTTTTTTCTTTTTTATGTACTTGGATTCTCTTTCAGGAAACTATATAACAGATACCCGGAAGACTATGCTTATATATAGATTTATCTGATTTCAAGATTTCAATTTTATGAATTTTATCAATTCATGCGATAATTTAAATTAAATACTGACGATGAATTATTTCGCAGTTTTTAAATTATTTTAACACTGTATGCGAATAAATAATTTCGAATTTTAATACACTTTTTTTGTTTTTATTTTTTTTTCTTTTAAATCTCTTATTATTTTTTTCTTTGTATTATTATTATTTATTTATTTATTTATTTTTTGTTGACAATTATTTTACGTTCATTAATACAAAATTGATAATAAATAAAAGAAATAAAAAAAAGTTCTCAATCATTATTTATTATTTTTTCTATTTTATTATTATTCAGGGTTGCCACAGGTCAGGGAAGTCAGGGAATTCAGGGAAAAGTCAGGGATTTTTAGTAAAAGTACTGAAAAAAATTGAATTTTAAAAATTCATGAAAAAACTCTGAATTTTGATGTTTTTTTTTGTTTGCCTCGTAAACTATGAAATTACCACGAATTTTAATACAAAACCTTGAATTTTTTCTATTTCAGACAATAATTTCCTTTTTAAATAACTTAATTTTACAAGAACTATCATAAAATTTTGACCTATAAATTATTTAATGAATCATTTTTACAATTTTCATAAATACTAGATTGATAAAAGAATTTTAGTTAAAAATACTAAAAAAATTGTATTTTGGAAAAGTTACAAATAATTCCAGAAATCCAATTATTTTCAAAAGTAATAAAATTTTTCACAGAAATTCAATTATATTCAAAAATTTTTAAAAATTCTGTTCATTTCAATTATATTTTTAAAAATAATAAAATTCTTCTCCAAAATTCAACTATGTTCAAAAATTTTTTTTAATTTCTCGTCAAAATTTCAATTATCTTTATAAATAATACAATTCTTCTACGAAATTCAATTATTTTTAAAAACTTTAATAAAATTCTTGTTAAAATTTCACAGAAATTCAATAATTTACAAGATTTTTAATTAATTTCTTCGAAATAAATCAATTATTTTCATAAATAATATAATTTTCACAGGAATTCTATTTAATGTAAAAAATTTCAAAACATTTTTCGAAAAATATCAATTATTTAAGAAGAATTTTATAAAATTCGTCGCAGGAATTCAATTGTTTAGAAAAAAATTTAACAAAGTTCTTTTCAAGAATTCAATTATTTTTAGAAATAGTAAAATTCTTCACCGAAATTCAATTATTTTTGTAAACTTGAATAAAGTTCGTTGGAAGAATTAAATTATTTTCAAAAGGAATAAAATTCTTTGCAAAAATTCAATTATGTTCAAAAATTAAAAAAAAATTCTTGTCAAAATTTTGAATTATCTTTATAAATAATAAAATTCTTTAATATTCAATTATTTAAAATTTTTTTTTTTTAAATTCTTGTCAAAATTTTAATTATTATTATAAATAATAAAATTCTTTATCAAAATTCAATTATTTTTAAAAACTTGAATAAAATTCATGTTAAAATTTCACAGGAATTCAATAATTTATAAAATTTGTAATTAATTTCTTAGTAATAAATCAATTATTTTAGAAAAATTTTAATAAAATTTTTGGGAAAAGTTTTAATTATTTTCATATAAATAATAAAACTTACCGCAGGATTTTAATTAATTTTTGATACAATATTTTAATAAAATTCCTCGATAAATGTAATTAGATACTCTTCAAAATTTCATTAAAATTTGTCAAAATAATTGAATTATTAAAAAATTTGTTGATAAAATTCTTTATGAGAATTCAATTTTAACAAACATTCAATTATTCAATAAATTATTTATTTTTTAATTTAAAATAATTGAATTCTTTTAGAATTTTCTAATAAAAATTGATTAAAAAATGAATTACCGAATAATTGATTTATTATTTATGAAAATAATTTAATTATTGCAACGAATTTTATTACAATTTTTTCAAATAATTGAATTTTTTGAGAAAATTTACTACTTTTTAAAATCAATTGAATTCTTGCGAAGGATTTTATTAGAATTTTTGTAAATAATAGAATTTTTTTTTAAAAATTTCATGGTAATTTAATTTATAACAAACAAATTATTGTTGAATTTCAAAAAGGTTTAAATTTGAATTTTTTGAAAATCTTTATTTCTATGAAAAACTAATAATAATTAAATATTTATTTGAAATAAATCTTGATGTTTTCGAATAATTTGACAATTAAAGAAATTTGTAAATAAATGTAATAGAACATTTTTTTGAATTTCTAATTATTTTTAGAGTGAATCAGAATATTTTTTAGGGTCAGGGAAAAAGTGAGAATTTTGTCTGGAAATCAGGGAAAAGTCAGGGAAAAATAAAATTAAATATTTGTGGCAACCCTGTTTTTATTATTATTTATTTTTTGTTGACAATTATTTTACATTCATTATTTCAAAATTGATGATAAATAAAAAAAAAGAAAAAATTTTCTCAATCATTATTTAATAGTTTTTATTTCTAGTATAATTTTCAGTTGTGCGTAAACTTATTGAAAAATTAAAATTTTTCATTAACTGAGAAAAGAAAATTGACTATCTTGAATAGATAAGAATATATGCTTATTGGATTATTTCTTATTAATGCATTAAAATTGTATCTAATACCAATGATTAGGTTTTTAAAAAAGTTGGGATCACGCGCAGACTCAAGAGGTATATAAACGGAATAATAAATATGGTGACAACGAATACAAAAGTTGTTTATGTGTCGAAACGACAGATAAAAAAAAAGAAAATGTTTACAGTCACTTTAAATAATGGCTTGAAATGCCCTATTATTGGACTCGGTACCTGTACTTATACGGTATAAGTTATTCTTTTAATTAATCATTTTAATTTCTTTTAATTTATTTTAATTTGTTAAAGAAAATTAATTTAAAATTTAAAAATGAATTTTTAAAAAAGTTGATAATTATTAAAAATATTTTAAGAATAAATGAGATTAAAAAATTAAACAAACAAATTAATAATTAATTAATTGAATTAAAAAATTATTAATCAATAGAAAAAATTTCAATTTTAATGAAAAAGAAATTAAAATAAATTTTTTTTGTTTGAAGGACAATCAAGAACTTGTGGCAAAATCAGTTCGAGAAGCTATTGATGCTGGTTATCGGCATATTGATTCGGCTTTTATTTATCATAATGAAGAGGAAGTTGGAAGCGCTATTCGAGAAAAAATTGCTGAGGGTGCTGTTAAGCGAGAAGAACTTTTCATTACAACAAAGGTAATTTATAATAATAATAATAATAATAATAATAATAATAATAATAATAATTCATAATAATAATTAGTAATAATAATTAATAATAATAATTATTGTTCAAATAATTTTACGTCGAAAGAGTAATTTTAATTATTAAATTCTAACAAAAAATAATTTTTAGTTATGGAATACGTCACACAAAGAAGGACAAGTTGTTCCAGCTTGTAAACTATCATTGAAAAATTTGGGTCTGGATTATGTGGATTTATTTTTGATGCACTGGCCAACTGCATATACAGTAAGAATCAAAAAATGAAAATTAACTTATTTTTATTATTTATTAAAATTATAAAAATTATAATAATCAATTTGCCTGTTTATTTATTAATTTATTGCTATCAATCAATTTACTAAAGGCGAATTGTAAATTTATTGACAAGAAAAATTAATAAATTGAAATTTAGTGAGAAAAACTAATAAATTAAAATTTAGTGAGAAAAACTAATAAAATAAAATTTAGTGAAAAAAAAAAAATTTTTTTTCAGTACGATGGAGTGCATCACTATCACACAGTGGACGCAAATGGAAAATCTCTAATCGAAAATACAGATTATTTGGAGACCTGGCGAGGAATGGAGGAATGTGTGAGACTTGGTTTAACGAAAAGTATTGGCGTGAGTAATTGTAATTCAGAGCAAGTTGGACGAATTTTATCCGTCGCAAAAATTAAACCAGTCATCAATCAAGTCGAATGTCACATAAATTTGAATCAAAAGAAATTGAGATCATTTTGCGAAGAGAGAGGAGTGAAAATTACCGCTCACAGTCCATTGGGATCGCCAAAAAGATCTTGGGCAAAACCTGGTGATCATCAGGTATCGCTCAAGCATCCCGTGATTCTTAAAATTGCCAAAAAATACAAGAAAACTCCAGCTCAAGTAATCATTCGATTCATGGTGAGAATTTATTTAACAAAAAAATTTTTTAACGATAATTCTATTCTTAAAATAATAATAAAAAATAATACCCATAAATTAATAGATAGCAATGGATTAATTCTTTTTAACTAAAAAATTATATTAAATTTTTTAGTTTTTTTATTTTTAAATATTTTTTTATTTCTAAAAGAATTATAATTTTTATTTTCTTTTTAATTTTTAAAAATTATTTTATTGCAAAATATTTATTTTTTTTTATTTTTTGCTTTTTTGTTTCTAAAAGTATTTTACTATTTTCAAGAATTCAACACAAAATTCCCCTTTTTTCCCGGCTTTGTCCTAATTTTTCCCGGTTTTTTTTTCTCATCAAATTTAAATTTATTTGATTTCGAACATAAATAAATCTACAAATGGCTTCACAAATTTTTATGAATAATTAAATTCTTTTGATGAGTTTCTTTAAATTTTTTGAAAATAATGTTTTTTTTTACTAATTTTAATTAAAAACTTGGAAAATAATTGAATTAAACAAAGAATTTTTTCAATTTTTTAAAAATAATCTTGTCTGTTTATAATTATAATTGAAAATTTGATTATTTAATTTTATTAAAATTATATTGATAATAATTGAATTTATTCAAAGAATTTTACTATTTGTATTTATATAAAAGTAATTGAATCCTTCCAAAGAATGTTAGGTATTATTTATCAAAATAATTCAATTCTTGCGAAGAATTTTATTAAAATTTTTGAAAATAATAAGCAGTAATAATTAATTATTTACTTAATAACTAATAAAAATTTAATTTGCTCGAGAAATAAATAAGTATTATTTATTTGAACATTCAGAAATTTAAATTATAAAAATTTAAGAGAAGTTTAATAATTGTAAATTGTAATCATTGAATAATAATATAATTTTTATAAGCAAAAAATTGATTTAAAACTTTAAGAGGGACTTTATATTTTAAAAATAAAATTATAATTACGGCCACTAACTTCCCTTGATTATTTTTATTTTCGAAAAATTTAAATAAAATTCTTTAAAAGAATTCAATTAATTTTAATAGAAAGTAATGACATTTCAATTATTTAAAAAAATTTCAATTATTTGTTTACAAAAATTCAATTATCTTGAAACAATGGAATTGAAATTTTTCAAAAATCTTATTTTTCAGAATTTTCAAAAATACTTTGCGAAAATTCAATTTTATTAAAAAACTAGCAAAAGTTACGCGCGAAACGAGATTTTCGATTTATTATTGTTATGCAAATTACAAAATTTTTTATTTTTAAATATAAATTTTTAAAATAATTTCATAATTAAAATTCTAAAAATTCACCTATTAAGCACAAAATTAATTATTTCTGTTCATATTTTAAAAAATTTTAATAAAATGTCACGAAAGAATTCAATTATTTTCTAAAATTTTAATAAATCCTTCTAAACAATTCAATTACTTTTTTAAATAGTAAAATCTTTACAAAAATTCAATTATTTTCAAAACAATTTTATTTAAATTTATTCTTTGGAAGAATTCAATTTTTAAAAAAAATTTTAACACATTTCGAAGTAATTCAATTTTTTTCTAAAATTTTAATAAATCCTTCGAAAAAATTCAATTATTTTTATAAATAGTAAAATTCTTCGCAAGAATTCAATTAATTTTGTAAATAGTAAAATTCTTTGCAGGATTTCAATTATTTTCAAAACAATTTTAATTGAATTCCTCGGATGAATTCAAATATTTTTAAATATTTTCATAAATTTCAATTATTTTCAAAAATTTCCATAAAATTCAATTTCAACAAGAACTTAAAATTCTCTAAAAATAATTCAATTATTTTTTTTAATTCATTATTATATTTGAACAAGAGGGATCAAGCATGCAAACACATGTTTTTTCCTTCCTTTTCTTTTTTTCCGTTTGTAATTCTTATAATTAACAACATGTTCTTTTTCTTTTTTATATGTGTCTTTGTTGACAATTTCAGATGTGTTTTTTTAAATTATATATTCAGTAATTTTCCACTAAGAAACCTTCTTGTTTAAAATTACATTACATGTCACATGAAAATTAATGAAAGCGTGAATGCCAATGAGACGATAATGAAAAATATGTTCATTACATTATTTTTGACTTATTAATTATCAAAAATAAATTACATTTAATTATAATTTATTATTTATTTGTTATTTTGTTTCTAATAGTTTTCTAGTCAAAATTAATTAATATTATTTTCATGTCATTAACATTCAAAAATTCAATTATTCAGAAGAATTCTCCACAAAATCACTATTTTTCTAAATTTATTCAGGGAAATCAGGAAAAAGTCAGAAAATTTTGTCAAAAGTGCTGGAATAATATTCAATTTCAAGAATTCATAAGAAAATTCTGAATGTTATTCTTCAGGATTGAAAAGATTTTATATATTTCAAACTCTTCCTGTTTTTAACAATAATTAGACTTTACAGATTTAAAATTGATTTTCTTAAATAATTTAATTTTTGAAAAACTATCGAGAAAAAATTATTTTTTATTAATTATTTTGGAATAATTTTTTATTTAAAAATTAAAAAAATAATTGAATTTTATGAAATTTGTATTTAAAATTTTTTTTATAAATAATATAAATAAGTAGTAAATGTCACGCCCGCCAAACAAAGTATTTAATTTATTAGTATTATTATCATTACTCAAAAGAAATTCGATTATCTTTACAAAATTTCAATAAAAAATTCTTCGAAAAATTTATGAAAAATTACAAAAATGTTATCTTTTGAAATTATTAAATTTTTTAAATATATTCGTCAAAAAAATTGAAAGAATTCAATTATTTTCTTCTTGTGGTGAATTCAATTATTTTGAATAATAATTCTTCATAACAATTTAATTATTTCTTAAAATTTTAATAAATTCTTCGAAAAATTTCAATTATTTTTATAAATAGTAAAATTCTTCGCAATAATTCAATTATGTTTATAAATAGTAAAATCCTTTGCAAAATTTTTTAGTTTTCTTATTTTCAGATATTTTATGCTTAAAAAAGCGTATATTTTTACTTTCAGATTGACAATGGAATTATTGTCATTCCAAAGTCAAGTTCGAAAAATCGAATTATTGAGAATATTCAGGTCTTCGATTTTCATCTCAGTCTGGAGGAAATCAATGAAATTGACAAATTAGATATGGGAGCTCGCATTTGTCCTGCACTTCAGTAAATAAATTTTTTATTCCTTATAATATTTATATTGTACTTCAAAATATTTCGAAATTATGGAATAAAAACATTTTATTTTTCAGACGAAACGATCATCCGGATTATCCATTTAATATCGAATTCTAAATTGAGGATAAACGCTCAGAAAAAATGTTATATAATTTAATTTGACTATTTTCGCACATTTTTGGTAAACGATAATTATTGTGGATATTAAATAAAATCTATTTTTCAAAAGTAAAAATTTAGCTTTGAAAATATTTCTTTTTGATATTAATAGTAATTTTAATATAATATTCTTTTTATTATTTTATTTATTTTTGAGTATTTTAATGTTCCTTTATCTTAATATTCCTTTATTTTAATATTCTTTTATTTTAATATTCTTTTTATTTTAAATATCCGTTTATCATTACTTTTTATTTCATTTCAATAAAACTTTGTAAAGTTTTATCTGTAGACAGAATTCGTAATTGTTTAATGAAAGATAAATGAAGAAGTAAGAGAAAAAAAATTAATAGATTAAAGACTGAACATGCAATGATTGTAATTCAAGGTCAGTGTGTGATTGCGTGTAAGTACAGAATCGAGTGAACGTGCAATCAATTCCAGTTTATGTAATATAAACTAGTCATTTTATTTTAGTCATTTGACTAAAGAATGGCAGCCGACAAAGTAACATTAAATAATGGAGTAAAATGTCCAGTTCTTGGATTAGGAACCTGGCAATCCAATGTAAGTTGAGAAAAATCTATTTAATATTTCCTCTAATTTATTAATATTAAATATTTAAAATTCAAAAATGAATTCAATAAAATTGTAATAGAGAAATTTTTTTATAGGACAATCCGGGAATAGTGGAACAAGCGATTCGTGATGCAATAGATGTGGGTTATCGGCACTTTGATTGTGCTTTCATTTACGGCAATGAGAGAGAAATTGGAAAGGCAATTAGGGAAAAAATTGCCGAAGGCGTTGTGAAACGAGAGGATTTGTTCATTGTCACTAAGGTTAGAGACAAAAATTATTATTTTCATTTCAACGAAACAAAAAAAAAATTTATTTTTCCAGCTCTGGAACGATTCTCACAGAAAGGAAAAAGTAATATCAACTTGTAAAAAGTCTTTGAAAAATTTTGGACTCGATTATGTTGATTTATACTTAATTCATTGGCCCACTGCATATAAAGTAAGTTACTTAATACTAATTAAGTAAAATTTCAAAAAATTAAGTTTCAAAAAAGTTACGTAAAATTAAAAAAAATATATATATACCTAAAATTAAAAGAAAATATTTTTTATTATAAAAATACAAAATTCTTCCCATTTTTTCAGGGTTTAGGAGAAGGTTTACTTGGATTTGTCGACGAAAAGGGTAATTCATTAGAAGACGATGTGGATTATTTGGATACTTGGAAACAAATGGAGGAATGTTATAAACTTGGTCTGACAAAAAGTATTGGATTAAGTAATTTTAATTCTCAACAAATTGAACGAGTTTTATCGATTGCCAAAATTAAACCAGTAATGAATCAAGTTGAATGTCATCCGAATTTGAATCAAAAGAAATTGAGGGATTTTTGTAAAGAGAGAGGAATTGTAATTACAGCCTACAGTCCACTTGGTTCGCCAAAAAGATCATGGGTGAAACCCGACGATCCTCAAGTTGCTATCGAGCATCCAAAAATAATTAAAATCGGAAAAAAATATCAAAAAAGCCCCGCACAAATAGTTTTGAGATATTTGGTGAGGAATTTTTTCGAATTGTTTTATTAAACTAGTATTAATTTTAATTTAGTATAATTTTAACTTAGTAATACTTTATATATACTTTATAATAATCGTAAGTTTCCTTTCCGTTAGCAAATTCTCTGCATTCATTTATTTGTTTTGAAAATTAATTTTTGTGGGTTATTCTCATTTTTTTAATGTCAAAAAAAAACCCAAATAACTCGTTTTATTCACTTCACAAAATTGACAAAAATTCCATTCCATATTTTTTATTTTCCTGACTTTTTCCTAATTTTCATGAAAATTATTTACTTTTTTCTTATCCTGCTAGTAAATTAAATTCCTGCTACGAATTTTATTATTCATGAAAGAATTTAAAATATATAAAAAATAATTTAATTCTTGCGAAGAATTTTATAAAAATTTTTAAATAATTTATTTCTTTTGAATAATTAATTTTATGCAAATTCTAATTTAAATAATTGAATTGATGAAAATTTTTATTATTCATGAAAAGAATTGAATTCTTACGAAAATTTTAACAAACCATTTTTTAAATAATTGAATTCTGTTTGGAAATTTTATGAAAATAGTAGATATTGAAAATCATTGAATTGCGAAAAGTTTTTAAAGATAATTAAATTTTACAAAGTATTCTATTAAAAAATTTGGCAATAATTAAATGTCTGTGGGAAATTTTATTAAATTTTTTTTGAAAATAATTGAATTCCTAAAAAACATTTTATCATTTATGAAAATAATTGAATTCTTTCGAACGATTTATTAGAATTTTTTAAAATAATGGAATTTCCAAGAAGAAATTTATTACTTTTAAAAATAATTGAATTATTGTGACGAATATTGTTCTTTATGAAAATAATTGAATTTTGAAAAGAATTTAATTAAAATACATCAAAATAATTGAATTTTCCGGAGTAATTTTCTTATTTATCGACATAATAATTGAATTCTTTCGAAAAAGTATTTGTGTAAATAATTGAATTCTTAGAAAAAATTTAATTAAAATTTAAAAAAATAATTTAATTATTTCAAAAAAATTTAATTAAAATTGTATTTAAAGCAATTAATTTTTTTCGAACAATTTTATTAAATTTTTGAAAATAATTATTCAATCCCTCCAAAAAATATTAAAAAAACATTTTTTTAAATAATTGATTTTTTCGAAAAATTGAAATTAAGTTTTTAAGAATAATAACATTTTTTGAGCAATTCCTGTAAAATTGTATTAAAAATAATTGAAATCCTGCTGTGAATTTTATTATTTATGAAAATAATAATTGAATAGTTTCGAAGAATTTTATTTTAATTCTAAAAAATAATTGAATTACAGAGAAGAATTTTATTATTTTTGAAAATAATTGAATTATTGCGGAAAAGTTTATTAAAATGTTTAAATTAAATTTTATTATTTATTAGTTTAAATAATTGAATTCTTGTGAAAAACTTTATTTGTGAAAATAACTGAATTTTTCGATTATTAATTTAGAATAGCAATAAAAATAATTGAAATTCTTCGCCGAGTTTTATTATTTATGAAAATAATTAAATTCATGCTTAGAATTGAGGCCTTGGATCCAATAACTCGCCCGACGCTCGAACGATTTCCCTATTGGTAGTCAAGACCGTCAAAATAACTAAAAAAGTAAAAGTCGGTAATTTTAATTTTAAAACATACTACCATATAGAGAATAAAAATGCGCAACTTTTTTTTCTTTGAAATTTTTTTGTAGGATTTTTATTTTTAATAATAATGGCCAAAAACTGAATATTTTTTATTCCGTAATTTCATTGAATTTTGGAACATAAATCGTCGTATCTCATACAAATCTGTATGAAATCAATTCAAATTTGGAATACTTACGCATTTGGATCTACCAACGACGATAAGTTGATTAAAATTTGAAAAAAATGTTATTGTTGAGTTATTTGTTAATGCAAATGTGGACCTGTCGGTAAGTGCGATTTCTCAACTTCAGTGAAATAAAGTCTGTGGGGAACTTTCGAGTTGAGAGAACTTCCAGTGACAAATTTGTTAATTAATATCTGAAGAAGTTTTCTGGAAATTTTCAAGCCATTTTGTTAACAATTTTAAGAGATATAATCCTTTTCCGAAAACGTAATTTGCACGTCAGCGCCGTACTCACAGCAGACAGCGCGCCGTGCATGACAACGTTTGGAACAAGTGGAATATTATACTGTCTTGTTTACAAATCTATCGATTTTTGAGGTTAAAAATCAGCCGGCTTTTTTAATTAGTGATTTTTTTATTATATTTATGTTTAAATGTGATTTTTATTGACATTTATACTGAAACAAATCTATTTTCAATTATGTTGAAAAATAATTCTATTGAAAAAGGTAGAAAAAGGTCAAGAGATGAAAGTGCTTGGAAAGACAACAAAAGGAAAGCAGCTAGAAATATGGTAAATTTATTATTTTTAATTTGTAGATAATCACTGAGAAATCGACTAATTGTTTTTATTATCGGTATCTCAAATAGAAATGTAAATTAATCAATAGAGGAATATTAGTCATTAATATTTTTATATGTGACTTTGATGATATAATTAAATTGACTTTCCAGTGTTTATTTATTTATTACTACCATTACCTTTTTCTACCTTTTTCAGTAGAATTATTTTTCAACATAATTGAAAATAGATTTGTTTCAGTATAAATGTCAATAAAAATCACATTTAAACATAAATATAATAAAAAAATCACTAATTAAAAAAGCCGGCTGATTTTTAACCTCAAAAATCGATAGATTTGTAAACAAGACAGTATAATATTCCACTTGTTCCAAACGTTGTCATGCACGGCGCGCTGTCTGCTGTGAGTACGGCGCTGACGTGCAAATTACGTTTTCGGAAAAGGATTATATCTCTTAAAATTGTTAACAAAATGGCTTGAAAATTTCCAGAAAACTTCTTCAGATATTAATTAACAAATTTGTCACTGGAAGTTCTCTCAACTCGAAAGTTCCCCACAGACTTTATTTCACTGAAGTTGAGAAATCGCACTTACCGACAGGTCCACATTTGCATTAACAAATAACTCAACAATAACATTTTTTTCAAATTTTAATCAACTTATCGTCGTTGGTAGATCCAAATGCGTAAGTATTCCAAATTTGAATTGATTTCATACAGATTTGTATGAGATACGACGATTTATGTTCCAAAATTCAATGAAATTACGGAATAAAAAATATTCAGTTTTTGGCCATTATTATTAAAAATAAAAATCCTACAAAAAAATTTCAAAGAAAAAAAAGTTGCGCATTTTTATTCTCTATATGGTAGTATGTTTTAAAATTAAAATTACCGACTTTTACTTTTTTAGTTATTTTGACGGTCTTGACTACCAATAGGGAAATCGTTCGAGCGTCGGGCGAGTTATTGGATCCAAGGCCTCAATTTAATCAAAAAATTTTTAAAAAAATTGAATTTTCATGAAAAATTTTATTATTAGTGAAAGTAATTGAATTATTGAGAAAAATAAATTGCATAAAATTTTGTTAAATAATTGATTTTTTCGAAATTTTTTTAAAAATTAGCGAATTAAAAGTAGTGGAAATTCTCTAAAAAAAATATTATTTATATTCTTTGTTCAGAAAGTTAAATATAAAATAAATTTTTTACCTTCTCTATTCTTCAGAATAATTAAAATTTTTAATTTAATTTAATTTATTTATTATTATTATTATTATTATTATTTATTTATTTATTTTTATTTATTTTTATTTAATTTTTTTATTTAAATTTTTAATTTAGTTATCAAATAACAATTTTTGCGAAATTTAATTTTCCCTGTACAAGAAAGTTTAATTATTTTCAATTTTGAAAATAGGATGTCAAATTTGAAATTAGTATCAAAATTAGTTAAAGATTTTTTATGTATAGATACTTTAAAGTTTAAAAAAATAATATAATTTTAAAATTTAATTCTAATTAGTTTTTCAGTTATGTGTCATAATAAGTATTTCTTTAAAAATTATTTAAATTAAATTGACTTGAATTTTTTTTGTCCCAAGTACAGGTCAAAAACGAAAATCGCGGAAAATATTTATTTCTCCGATTTTAAATTGAAAAAAAAATTATTTTGATACTTAAAATTTTAATTAAATTTAATAATTTTCTTTTCAAAATATCAAAATTGATTTTAAAAAAATTCTTTATTTAGATTGACATTGGAACCGTTCCTGTTCCCAAGTCCACCTCAAAATCGAGAATAGCGGAAAATATTCAACTCTTTGATTTTAAATTGACAAGTGAGGAAATTAAGGAAATTGATAAACTAGATTCAGGATTGCGTATATGCCCAGCAGTGGAGTAAGTTTACACATTAAATTAATTAAAATAATTATTTCTACTTTTGATACAGTAATATTATTAATACTTAATAATATTAATTAAATTAATTTAAACCATTTTTATTACAGATTGAAGAACCACAAGAATTATCCGTTTAACATTGAATTTTAAAGAAGAAGAAAATTACAAGACAAGAGAAGGAAATAGAAAAACTAGAATTTAATTAGAAGAAAATTAAGTAATTTTAATATGAATTTGTGTAATAAATTATGTACTTTGTAAAAAATTTCGGTATTCCATACTTTATATAGTTTTTGGAAAAATTGTTAATTATTCAATAAATAGAAAAAGGGGAAAAGATTTTTTGTTGTTATTTTGAAAAATTCGCGGGTTAATTGCAACGTCATCTGAGCAGTTGATCCATAAACTATTTTTTTGTTTACAATCAGTGGTTTACATGTTACGTTATTTTCGTTTTTTTCAGTAAAGAAAGAAAAATCATTAGATGAGTATATTATTTAATTAAGAAAAATCTTCCACGACTGTATAATCGGGTAATTTTCAAACAACGGAAATTAATTATTAAATCGAATTGTAATTAACCTTCAAGAGTTACATAATAAAAGAATTTTTATGATTTTTATCTTCTATTTATAACCTAAAAAAACGTTATCATCGTTTTTATCGCATTGCTCAAATAAAAATATAAACATGACCATGAGCTCTAAAGTGCCATTTTTTGAATTCTATAATGGACATAAAATGCCAATGTTTGGCCTCGGGACATATTTGGTAAGAAAAAGAATTGTATTTACTATTAAAGAAAATAATAATTTATAAAATTCAATTTTACTTTAATTAATTTCACTCATTTTATTTTTCAATTTACATATGTTTTAAATAAAATTTATTTCAAAGTGAATGAAATACATTTTTCTTTTCGAGTATTTTTTAAATTTGATTGAATTTTTATTCTGTATTATAGTAATGAAAATAAATTAAGCATTTAAAATTCTAGTCCAAAGAAGGAGAAGTTGTAGAAGCAGTAAAATTTGCAATTGATACTGGATATCGTCATATCGACACTGCACTTTTATATGAGAATGAAAAAGAAGTTGGAGAAGCGATTCGAGAAAAAATTGCTGAAGGTGTCGTTAAACGTGAAGAACTGTTTATTACAACAAAGGTAATTATTTATATTTACGAATATATTTATATAAATATATTTTAGATAACTTTTCACTTTATTTACACTAACAAATAAATAAATAAATACTATTACTAATATTAATAGTATTAAATATTAATAATAGTATTAAATTTTAATAATAGTATTAATATTATTAATAATATTAATTAACTATTTTTCTAATAATAAATAAATAAATACATTTGATTTCACAGTTATGGAATAATTGTCACGAAGAAAAACAAGTTGTTCCCGCCTGTAAACAATCATTGAAGAATTTGGATCTGAATTATGTTGATCTGTATCTCATCCACACGCCAATGACTTATAAGGTATAGAAGCAAAATTACGAAAATTATTTCATGAAATTCTATTTTTGTAATAATTTTTCATTTAGAAATTTCATTTCAAAAGAATTTTTTAATTTCTATTTTCAAAAATTTATCCTACGAATTCGTGAAAAAATTTGTCATTAATTTCGACATTAGAAAAATTATTATAATTTAAAAATTCAGGCAGGAGAGGATTTAAAACCAAAAGACGCGGATGGAAATTTAATTTTACCTGACACTGATTATTTGGAAACATGGAAAGGAATGGAAGAATGCAATCGTTTGGGATTAGCTCGAAGTATTGGCGTATCTAATTTTAATTCAGAGCAAATTACCAGACTCATGGAAAATTCGACAATAAAACCCGTTAACAATCAAGTGAGAAATTTTCAATTCATTCTAATATTAATTATTGTAATCTATATTAATAATCGTTGTATTCCGGTAATTTGTTAGCAGTTTCAAGTTATAGTTGCTGTTTGCTTTTTTGTTTTCTAACTTTTTAAATAATTTTTCTTTTTAAATGTTTAAATTTTTTTAATTAATTGTACTGAAAATCATTGAATTCTTGTAAAGTATTTTTTAAAAAAAAATTGCAAATAATTTATTGAATTCATTTCAAGAATTTTATCAACATTTTTTTCAATAATTGAATTCTTTCGAGAAAGTAAAATTAAAATTGTATTGAAAGATTTTTATTAAAATTCTTTAAAATAATTGAATTGTTTTTGAAGAATAATTTATTTCAATATTCTTGAAAATAATGAAGTTTTTTTTTTTGATAATTTTTACTGGAAATTTTGAAAGTAATTGAATTTTATGAAGAATTCAATTATTTTCAATCATTGTATTAAAATTCTTCGCAAAAAGTCAATTTATAAATAATACAAATTTTCGTAAAATATTCAATTATTTTTATATAAATAACAAAATTCTTATGAGGATTTCACTTATTTTCAATATAATCTTAATTGATTTCCTCAAAAATTTCAATTATTTTTAAAAATCTTGTAAAAATTCACCGAGAAAATTCAATTATTTAAAAAAATAATTGAATTTTTCCCAGGAGTTCAATTATTATTTAAAAAACTTTTAATTCACCTTTTTTTTAAATTTTTGCAAAAATTTAATTATTTGCAGAAATAATAAATTTTTTCGCAGGGATTATTTAAAAAAGTTTTAATAAAATTCTATTCAAGAATTCAATTATTTTCAGAAATAAAAAAATTAAATTAAAATAAAATAAAATTATGCATTGAAAATAATTTAATTCTTGAAAAGATTTCTATTAAAATTCTTTTAAATAATTGAATTGTTTTTAAAGAATTTATTTCAATATTCTTGAAAATAATGAAGTTTTTTAAAATAATTTTTACTGAAAATTTTGAAAATAATTGAATTTTATGGAAAATTTCTTTTAAGTTTATAAAATAATCGTTTTTATTATTATTTGTAATTAACAATTTTCGTATTAAATTATATTAAAATTATTCATGGAAAATTAAATTCTTTTAAACAATTTTATTAGAGTTTTTGTAAATAATTATTTTTTTTTTTTTAAGAATTTCATTAAATTTTTAAAAATAATGTATTTTTTAAAGTAATTTTAATTGAAAATTTTGAAAATAATTGAAATTTACAAAGAATTTTCTTAATAACTTTTGAGAACAATCAAATTGTTTAGAAAAATTTTATTACAATTTTTAAAAATAATTGAACCTGTTAGGGAAATTTTATTAAAATGATCTTGAATGTAATAATTGAATTCTTTCAAGAAATTATTATTAAAATTATATTGAAAATAATTTGAATTCTTTACACGAATTTTACAATTTATAAAAATAATTGAATTGTTTCCAAGAATTTTTTATCATAATTGTTGAAAATAATTAATTTTTTATTACAACTCTTGAAAATAATTGAATTTAATTTATATTTTAATTTATTTTTATTTGTATTCTTTCGAGAAATTTTATTAAAATTGTATTGAAAATAATTATTGAATTTCTTAGGAGAATTTTATTATTTATGAATACATTTTAATTCTTGCGAAGAATCTTCTTATTTATGAAAATAATTAAATACTTGCGCAGGATTTTACAATATAAATAAAAAGAATTCAATTGTATCATTTGCTAGTTTGTTTATTATAATTATAATTACAATAATTATAATTTCAAATAAAAATCGTGAATTTTAATTGATTGAAAATAATTTAAAAAATTTCAGATTGAAGTTAACATAAATCTGAATCAAAAGCGATTGATTGAATTTTGTAAAGCAAAAAATATAAGCATCACCGCATATTCGCCATTGGGGCGTCCAGGAAATCGTCATGGTATCAACAATTCTTTGGATCATCCGAAAATTCTCGAATATGCAAAAAAATACGGAAAAACACCCGAGCAAATTGCTTTTAGATTTTTAGTAAGCAAAACTTGAGTTCTTTTATTTTTTTCCTCATTATTATAAATTTTATTATGTTTCTATTTTAATTTTATCGTCCAAAATATATTTTTATTTTCCGTAAAGAATACAATTTTGAATTTATCGTTTTTGTTTCAAGTTACAAGAGGGTGCTGTTCCCATACCAAAATCAGTGACAAAATCACGTATAAAAGCGAATTTTGATATATTCGATTTTGAATTAACAGCCGAGGAAATGAAAGTAATCGAAACTATTGGAACTGGCGAGAGACTCTGTTGTTTCACTGAGTAAGTAAATTTAAATTTCATTAAATTTACACGCATAAAAATGCAATCAAACGAAAATAATAAATAATTTATTATTTCAGGGCAAAGAAAAGCAAATACTATCCATTCAATATTCCTTTCTAGTGTTTGGAATTTTATACGTTACGAGTATTATTTCTTTATAAAAATTATAATAATAAATATTTCACAATTGTAAAAAACTGTTTTCTTTTTTATATCGGAATATTTTTACTAACATCAAAATACGTAAATAAAAAGTATAGAGGAAACCAAAAAAACCACAAGTTGACAAAAAAAAAAACAGAATTGTATTCAGTATCTTATCAATTATTATTGATAAGACTATATAATAGAAGTTTGTAAATAAAAACCATTAGTTAATGAAAGAAGACTTAACTTTCAGTTAAGACTGTTTTTTTAAATTCCCTTTTCTTTTTGAAAATTCCTGGAAAATTCCTTTTTGAAAAATGGTACCTTTCATCGAATTTAGCAATGGAAAAAAAATGCCGGCAATCGGCCTTGGAACATTCTTGGTAAAATTTTTGCTTCACTAATATTATTTTGTTGTAATATTTGAAGTAAATAGAATAAAATTTATCTTATTGCAGTCCAAGCCGAGCGAAGTGGAAGAAGCAGTCAAGCATGCCATTGATTTGGGATACAGATGCATAGACACGGCATTTTTTTATCAAAATGAAGATGAAATCGGAAAAGCAATTCGAGCGAAAATTCAGGATGGAACCATTAAAAGAGAAGATATTTTTGTCACTACAAAGGTAATGTATATTCAGGGTGTCTACTAACCGGGAATTCCGGGAAAACCGGGAAATAACCGGGAATTTTATTTGACCGGGAAAAACCGGGAATTAGCCGGGAATTTTATACCGAACCGGGAATTTTTTCACAAAAATTAAAAAAGTTTTATTATTTTAATTTGTTTTTAAAAAATCAATTTTTATTTCAATTTTTATAGATATTTATACTGTTCTCTAAATTTAAGTTAGTTAAAAATAATTAATTTGATGATAAAAAATCAGTTACCAATTCAAATATATTATGTAAATAAATTTTTAAAAAATTATGGAGTTAATAGAAATATTGTGAAATTCGACTGAAAATATGTAATTAAATTTGTTAAAGAAATTCATTAGAAACTTTTTAACAAATAGAATTTTCAAAGTATTTTAATTTAATAATTGATTAATAATTGAATATTATAAAGAGTTAAATTCTAATGTATTCATGTTTCTTACTGCGAAGATTAATAATTAAAATTTTTATTAGTTAATTTAAAAAAATATACATACTTAAAATTGTTTAATGAAATTGAACTTTCGCAAAATTTTTTTAAATCTAAAAAATAAAATTGTTGTAATTTTTCAATTCTATTGTTTCAAGATAATTGAATTTTTCTAAACAAATCATTGAAATTTTTTTACTTTTTTTGAAAAATAATTGAATTTTTTTAAAGAATTTTATTTAAATTTTTCGAAAATAATCAAGGGAAGTTAGTGACCATAATTATAATTTTATTTTTAAAATTTTAAGTCCCTCTTACAGTTTTAAATCAATTTTTTGCTTCTAAAAATTATACTATTCTATTATTATTTAATAATTATAATTATTGAACTTCTCTTAAATTTTTATCATTTTAAATTTCTGAATGTTCAAATAAATGATATTTATTTATTTCTTGAGCAAATTAAATGTTTATTAGATATTAAGTAAATAATTAATTATTGCTGCTTATTATTTTCAAAAAATTTAATAAAATTCTTCACAAAAATTAAATTATTTTCATAAATAATAGCATTCTTTGGAAGGATTCAATTATTTTTATAAATAGTAAAATTCTTTGCAGAAGTTCAACTATTATCAATGTAATTTTAATAAAATTGAAAAATCCAATTTTCAATTATAATTAGAAAGAGACAAGATTATTTTTAAAAACTTGAAAAAATCATTATTTTCAGAAAATTTAATGATTTATTTATGTTTAAAATCAAATTTAAATTTACATTTGATAAGAAACAAACCGGGAAAAAATTAGGATATATCCGGGAAAAACCGGGAAATAACCGGGAATTTTGTTAAACGAAAATAGTAGACACCCTGATATTATATATTATTATTATTACTTTATAATAATCGTAAGTTTCCTTTCCATTAGCATATTCTCTGCATCCATTTGTTTGTTTTGAAAATTAATTTTTGTGGGTTATTGTCAATTGTCATTTTTTTAATGTCAAAAAAAAAAACCAAAAACACTCGATTTATTCACTTCACAAAATTGACAAAAATTCCATTCCATATTTTTTATTTTCCTGACTTTTTCCTAATTTTCATGAAAAATATTTACTTTTTTCTTATCCTGCTAGTAAATTGAATTCCTGCTAGGCTACGAATTTTATTATTCATGAAAGAATTTAAAATATATATAAAAAATAATTTAATTCTTGCGAAGAATTTAATAAAAATTTTTAAATAATTCATTTCTTTCGATTAATTTTATGCAAATTTTAATTTAAATAATTGAATTGATGAACATTTTTATTATTCATGAAAAGAATTGAATTCCCAAAAAGCATTATATTATTTATGAAAATAATTGAATTCTTGCGAACGATTTATTAGAATTTTTTTAAATAATGGAATTTCCAAGAAGAAATTTATTATTTTTAAAAATAATTGAATTATCGTGATGAATATTGTTATTTATGAAAAAAAATTGAATTATTACGAAAAATTTTATTAAAATATTTGAAAATAATTGAATTTTCGTGAGTAATTTTCTTATTTATCAACATACAGTAGAGACTCCATTATCCGGACTAATGGATGCAGGCACTTGTCCGGATAATCAAATATCCGGATAATCGAGTAAAGTACGAATTAAACAAATTTTTTATTCATAATTTTATGTATTTATTTGCATATGTATTAAAATAAAACTGAAACAAACTAAAACTTTTAAAGTCAACATTAATAAATATTTAGTTAGAAATATTTAAAAATATTTACATAAACATTTTCTTAAAATAATTAAAACACTTTAAAATGCAACATTTCGTGTTTGTTGGCGGGGAGAAATTTAAAATAGAAGTTAACGGCTTGAGACCTTATAAACTTTATATTACAAAAAAAAAAATTTTTATTTTAAATTTGTCCGGATAATCGAATATCCGGATAACAGGGGTCCGGATAATGGAGTCTCTACTGTAATTGAATTCTTTCGAAAAAATTTTATTAAAATTGTATAAAAAATAATTCAAATCCTGCTATGAATTTTATTATTTATGAAAATAATGGAATAGTTTCGAAGAATTTTATTATAATTCTCAAAAATAATTGAATTACAGAGAAGAATTTTATTATTTTTGAAAATAATATTGAATTATTGCGTAAAAGTTTATATTAAAATGTTTAAAAAGAATTGAATTTCTGTGAATACTATTAATTATATAAATTAATCACATTTTGTTCCATAAAAATAATTTCAGCTTTGGAATACATTTCATAGTGAAAATCAAGTCGTTCCATCTTGTAGGGAATCTTTAAAAAATCTCGGTTTGGATTATGTCGATCTTTATTTAATGCATTTTCCAATTTCCTTTAAGGTAACAAAAAAAACTATAATTTTCTTTTTAATTTCGATCTAAACTAGAAAAATTTAATTTGAATAAAAATTTTTCAGGAAGGAACTGAATTATTTCCAAAAGATTCTGATGGAAAAATATTAGCGACTGATATTGACTATTTAGAAACTTGGAAGGGAATCGAGGAATGTTCCCGTTTGGGACTCGCAAAAAGTATTGGCGTCAGTAATTTTAATTCTGAACAAATAACAAGATTACTGGGAGCAGCGACGATAAAACCAGTCAATAATCAAGTAAATTGTATACTGTTTTGTAATATTTTCGAAAATTTAATTCCAATTAATTTAGTTTAATTCAATTCAATTTAATTCAGGGTTGCCACGCTTTTGCTCATTTCAAATTCCCTGACTTTTCCAGGTTTTCCAGGTTAAGAAACGGAATTAATAAAATTTTTAAGATTAATTTCACTTTTCGAGAAATTAGATTAAAATTGTATTAAAAATAATTGAATCTCTGTAAAAAAATTTGATTGAATTAAGAAAAGTTTTTGAAAATAATTGAAATTTTGACAAGAATTTCATTAAAATTTTTGAAAATAAGTTAATTTTTATGAAAAATGTTATCATTTATATAAAGATGATTGAAATTTTGACGATAATTTTTAAACTTTAGACCATGATTGAATTTCTGCGAAGAATTTCATTATTTTTGTAAATAATTGAAATCTTGAGACGAATTTTAATAATATTTCTTTTTAAATAATTGAATTCTTTTGTAAAATTCTGAAATAGTAGATATTAAAAATAATTGAATTTTAATAAATAATTATTGAAATTAATTAAATTTCTAGAAAGAATTTTATTAAAATTATTTTGAAAAAAAAATTTAATTGGTAAAAAGAATTTCACTAAAATTTTTGAAAATAATTTAATTCTTGCAAGAATTTCTTTGATAAATTTTAATAAAATTTTTAAAAACCATTAAATTTTTTGAGAAATTTTATTAAAATTTGCATTAAAAATAATTGAAATTTTGCGATGAGTTTTATTATTTATGAAAATAATTGAATCTCTGTAAAAAAATTTGATTATAATTTGATTATTTAAAAAAAAATTGAATTATTGCGAAGAAATTTATAAAGAATTTGTAAATAATAGAATTCCTGTGAAATTTTTATTATATAATTAATTAATTTAAAATCGAAATTTTACAAAATTGCAAATTAAAACCTTTTGAAGTTTATCTATTAACGAAAATTGTAAATGCAACTGTTTTAAAATTAAATTAATTTTGAAATATTTAAGAAAAATTAGATTTCAAGAATAAGCACAATAACTTTAGAAAAAAATAATTTTTCAGAATTTTGATCAAAATTCCCTGACATTTACAGGTTTTTTTTAGGTTTTCCAGATTGCGTGGCAACCCTGTAATTTAATTTATTCTAATTTAATTTAATTTAACTTAAACTATAAAACTTTCAATATTCCAAAAAAATAAAAGGTGGAACTTAACATAAATATAAATCAGAAGAGATTGATAGAATTCTGTAAGAATCATAATATAACGATAACGTCATACAGTCCTCTGGGAAGACCCGGTTCGACCGCAACTTTTGGAGACAAAGAAATTCCGAATTTTTTAGCTAATCCAAAAGTCATTGAAATTGCCAAAAAATATAATAAAACACCAGCGCAAATTTCCCTACGTTTTATTGTAAGAAAATTTTAAAATACTTTTTTTATTTAAATATATATATTTAAAAAGAAATTTATTCAAAAATTTGAATATATTAAATAAATTTGAATAATTCCAATCTTGATTTTATAAACCTAACAATTTATACAATTTCAGCTCCAACTTGGTGCTGCTGTTATTCCAAAATCAGTAACAAAATCGAGAATCAAGGAGAATTTTGAAATTTTAGATTTTGAATTAACTGCGGATGAAATGAAAATTCTCGAATCTTTGGAAACTGGAAAACGAATTGTAACAATGGATGAGTCAGTATTTGAATTTTAGATTTTTTTCAGAATTTTTTTTTAAATTTAGTCAAATTTTCAAACTACGATTGTAAATTTCAGTTTAAATTTATTGCAATTTGCTTTTTATTACAGATTAAAAAATCATAAGTACTATCCTTATGGAATTCCATTTTAATTGTACGAAAAAAGAAGAAGGAGAATATATAGCCAGCTCAATTAAAATTGCAAACGTTTTGGAAACATAATTGTAATTGTACATTTTACAATGCCTATTTTTTTTCAATTGTCGCTTATTATTGCTTATTATCTAAATAAGCAAATAAATAATTTTATAATTTAATTTTTATTCATAAAAATTGTTTATTTACTCACATTTATTGTTTTGTCTGTTACTTTTACCGCACATTTAGTGTGAATGTCACTTTAATCGCAACTGAAATAATAATAAACGAGAAGAATAAATAAAAAGACAATAAATTAGGCCATTTTTACTAGAATAAAATTTTTAATTCTTTTGTTTAAAATAAATTACCTCGTATTTTGATTGTAATAAATATTTAACATTTCCGTGACATTTTTCTATCACCATTAATCACACATTTTGATTTCCCACACCACTATTCAATTTTTATAATATTGTTCGCACAGTAAATTCACTTTACTAAAATCACTATGGAATTAATTAATTATTAAGAAATTAACAAATAAAATTATTTTAATCTTTCCTTTATTTTTGTTAACTTTCCGGCCCTAGAATAAAAACCATACATATTTACAAGTTTTACTAACAATTTTAAGCAAATCTTTGCGATCTTTTTCCGTTTAGGACTAAAATAAATCAATTAAAATATATTGCCGCGAGTGTTAAAATGCGTGAAAAGCAATAATTATTATTAAAAAATGAATTTTTGTTAAGTATAACAAATAACAATACAACACGTACTCGAACGTTAAAAACATTAAACTAATTTTACAGATGGCGTCACTGTGCAATTTCAAATTAATACGTTAATTAAATGGTGAGAGGGGGAGTGGATTAGGCTTAAGGCTTTAATTGTTGTAAGATTTGCCTTTTGTTGCACTTGCCTCACATCCAAACAATTGTTAAAAAAATTCGTTTTTACGGTTTTTACACATTATAGACGCGTACAATAGTTTAAATTTACAAATCTACAGGAAAAAACGAATCAAGATTGATATAAAAATATATCGGAACAAAATATTTGCGGTCCTTATCTTCAAAACAAAAATCGAACACCATCTAACCTAACTTTTCTCTTCAACAATATTTATTTATTTTCTCATCCGTTGAAATAACGCAGTATCAATAGTGGTCATGGATATTCTGAAAAATTGTACCATTTATCAAAAATCGAAAATTATGATAAGAATAAATCGAAAATGCAGATGTTATTGGAAAATGAAAGAAATTAAGTGAACACTTTCATTTCTTCGCGTATAGAGGAGAGAAAAAAAAATGGTGAGTTTGTTACTTTTCTATATTATTATTGTAGGAGTATGAGAAAAATATCGATTGTTGCCTTTTATATATTGTGAATGGTGAATCATAAAATTGAAAATAATTCCCTAAGTGGAAATGGGGAAATACGTCTTTAAAATTCTATTCAACAAGATTTGTCAGGGTCTTCAGGTATTTTTGCCACCAGCAGAAATTGTTCAATTTCTGAAACTAAATTTCGGTTTTCCCCAAAAGTACCAGTCGTTTATATTATTACGGTCTATTGTATCTAATATCTGGTTTTTAACCTATAAACTTGAATTTATTGCACGCAAAATCTACCGGAAATTTTAATTGTTAAGTGGCAATTCATGGCCATTTTATTTATATTGTATATTAATCGTGTATTTACAATTATTTTTGTTTTACTATTATTAGTTTTATAATAACTTATTTACTATTACGTTTATTATTATTATCATTTTATTAGTATCATAATTATTGTTATATTATTATTAATATTGTTATTTTTTATCATTAGATTAGAACTATTGTCATTATTGAGTAATTATTATTATTATTTATACACTGTAGGTTAACATCTGGAGATTTAATTTATGTTCGCATTTGAAGACCGTCAACTCGCCCTTTTCTTGACATGTTTGTATTTTGAATTTTGAAGTAGAACATCGTTTGCATCCATTAACGAAATGTAATGTATTTTTTCCCACGACTTGAAACAGAAAAGCGGAACATTTTACGATTTACGATGCTTTTTAGTGTCAACTCCCATTTTCAGTTTTGCCCTACCGATTTTCCTCGAGTTCAAAATGTCAAACTACATATATTAACTCTTCTAATGACTTTTTGAAAACCTGTTTCATTTGTTTATTCGGCTAATATTTTAAGTAGATCAAATGCGTTAATTTTAACTCTTTGTATAATTTTTATACAATATTTTAAACTTACTAGTTTTTAATAGAATTCAAGTTTTTCAGATGATGAATAAGTGCAGGGTCCAAAAATTTGCTTCAAGTCCAATATTTTCAAAAGTAATAAAATCCTTCGCAAAAATTCAATTATGTTTAAAAATTTTTTTAAATTCTTGGCAAAATTTCAATTGTCTTTAGAAATAAATTATTTCTTGCTAAATAAATTATTTCAGGGTTGCTACGCAAACTGGAAAACCTGGAAAAGTCAGGGAATTTTGTTCGAAATCCTGGAAAATTGTTGATTTCTAAAGTTATTGTGTTTACTCTTGAAATCTAATTTCACTGAAATATTTCAAAATTAATTCAATTTTAAAAGAATTGCGTTTACAATTTTCTTAAGTACATGAACTTTAAAAGATTTTGATTTTAAATTTTGTAAAATTTCAATTTTAAATTAATTTAATTAGAAATATATTAAAACACCTAGATTTAAAAAAAATTTTAATAACTAAGATTAAAATTATTAATTATTATTAATTATTAATTATTAATTATTTTATTAAAAATAATGGATTTATAGAAGAATTTTAATTAAAAACAATTAAAAAAATTCAATTTTTGAAGCAATTACAAATGATTGCAGAAATTGAATTATTTTCAAAAGTAGTGAAATTCTTCTCAGAAATTCAATTATTTTCAAAAATTTTAATAAAATTCTTGGCAAAATTTTAAATATTTTCAAAAACTTTCCTCAATTCAATGATTTTTAATATCTGCTACCTTAATAAAAATTCCCAAAAGAATTCAATTAGTTAAGAAAAATTTGAATAAAATTCTACGCAAACATTGAATTATTTTCATAAATAGTAAAAATTTCACAGGATTTCAATTATTTACAAATTATTTTCATATATTATTCAGTTATTTTCATAAATATTAATATTTTTTAAAGGGATTCAATTATTTTCATAATTAATAAAACTCAATGCTGAATTGCAATTATTTTTAATACAATTTTAATGGAATTCTTCGAAAAAAGTGATTATTCTTAAAAATGTTATTAAAATTCATCAAAGAATTATAATATAATAACCTTTCTATAACCTTTCTATACCTTTCTATAATAACCTTTCTATTTTAATAACCTTTCTTATAATTTATTCATTGGAATTTAAGTATTATTTTCAATACATTTTTAATTAAATTTTTTTAAAGAATAAAATTATTTTCAAAAAATTTTAATTAAATTCTTTGCGTAACAATTCAATTTTTTCCAAAATAATTTTAATAAAATTCTTCACAGAAATCGAATTATGTTTAAAAATTAACAAAAATTCTCGTCGAAATTTCAATTATCTTTATAAATAATAAAATTTTTCTCCGAAATTCAATTATTTTCAAAATTTTTAATAAAATTCTTGGCGGAATTTCAATTATTTTTAATACAATTTTCATAAACTTTTTCGAAAAATGCAATTATTCTTAAAGATTTTATTAAAATTTATCAAGAGAATTCAATTATTTAAAAATTTGTTGATAAAATTCTTTATGAAAATTCAATTTTAAGAAGCATTTAATTATTTAACAAGATATTTATTTTTGAAGTCAAATAATTGAATTTTCGTAGAATTTTCTAATAAATATTGATTTAAAAATAAATTTCAAATTAAAATCTTTGAAAATTTGAACTTTTTATACTTTTAATTAAGAATTTTGGAGAAGTAATTTTTTAATTTTTTCAAATGTTGAATGGAATTTTTTTTTAATTATTTCAAGTTTTAATTTCTAATATATTTTATTGAACAATGTCAGAATAATCGAAATTTTGTAAAATGAAATTGTAAACAAAAGAATTTGAATATTTAAAAAGAACTTTTTCAAAAATTATTTTAAAAAATTGACTTGAAGATAAGAATTTTAGTTGAAAATTCTAGAAATGAATAATCGTAATAATGAAAATAATTTTTGAAGAAGTTACAGTAACAAAGTAGCAAGTTTTAATTATTATATGTTATTGAATTTCAAATTTTTGAATATCTTAATTTCTATAAAAAAAATAATGATTAAATATTTATTTAAAAATGAAGCTATTGATGTTTTCAAATAATTTTCGTTTTAAAAACTTGGAAAACCTGGAAAATTCAGGAAATTTGAAAAGAGAAAAAGCGTGACAACCCTGATAATTAAATTCTTCTGCAAAATTCAATTATTTTTAAAAATTTAATAAAATTCTTGGCAAAATTTCAAAAATTTTTCTCAATTTAATGATTTTCAATATTTACATTTAATTATTTTCATAAAATAATACAAATTTCACAGGAATTCAATTATTTACAAATTTTTTATAAATTTCTTCTCAATAATTCAATTATTTTCATAAATAAAAAATTCTGTTCAGGTATTCAATTATTTTCATAAATAATAAAACTTATTGCAGGATTTCAATTATTTTTAATACAATTTTAATTGAATTCCTCGAAAAATGTAATTATAAAAATTTTTTTTATAAAATTCTTTTTGAGAATTGAATTTTAAGAAACATTCAATTACTTAATAAATTAATTATTTTTGTATTTAAATAATATTGAATTCTAGAAGAATTTTCTAATAAAAATTGATTTAAAAATGTATTTTAGTTAAAATTTTAGATAATAATAAATTGAATTTTAAAAGCAATATAGCGTGAATTTTTCATTTTTGCTTCGTAAAATCAGTATTTTTAAATACTTTCACTGATTCGAGCCCTGATAAGTGAGAAAATGTCGAAGACTATTGTAAATTTGATATTTTTTGTTTAATTAATATGTTTTTCTTTTTTTAGAATTTTCCCTGGAACTCTGTGGAGATTTTTAAAAAAATTTCAATATCAGGGGAAAAAAGAGGTCAGGATTTATAAATCATTAAAGGAATTTAATTAAACGAGAATATAATAATAATAATAATAATTAGATGATGCTGATTTTGATCTCGGGCCGACGAATACTGAGAAAGGGAATTGGAGAAAGGAAACGGAAGAAACGATGGCGTGACGATGTCGCGACGTCAAAGGTTCTTCCCAATCTTTCTCACCCTTTTTCACATGCAAGCAGGAGAGTATTCAAACTGACAGCTACTCTCATGACAGCTAGTCTACTTTGTAGTTCAAGCCACCATAGTGACAGATTTCATTTTCAGGCGAACAGATTGACAAGAAAGTAGGGCAAGTGAGAGGAAAAACTTTTCTTCCCTTTTGACAAAATTCATCAAACATAATTAGTATCTGTACAAATTTTTCTTGCACTCATAAACTGCTATTTTTACCTACTCATTCACGGTTTGAAAAAAAAATAATTTCGAAAATCAAATATTTTATCTCAAAATTATACAAATTTTGAGATGATTTTACCAAACATTGTATAACTATCGCATAATAATAATCATTCTCATCACTATTGTTACACTTTTTTCAGTTGAGAAATTTCTTCTTCTATAAATGTAGTAGAGTTATTCGATCGCAAAAAAAGAGGACCTGGGGGAGGAGCAAACTTAAAAAAAAGGAATCATGTGAACCGGATTTTTAGCAGACAGCAGCTGTCATCAATCCTTTTCGAATAAAATGTTGTCTAATTCGATCAACAATCGTAATTCATCTATTATTTTAAATTCTATTCTCCTTTTTATTCTTTTCTCTCTTTTTTTCTTTTAGAAATAATTATATTCCGCAATTTTCTATGGATATTCTTTTCGTTCGTTCAGAATCGAAATCTTTGACGAAAGTTTTGTTTCTCAACTCAATATAAGCTTTCCGCGATAATTAATTAGGTGCTATAAACACATATTTTGTATTTTGAAAATTATTTCTCTCATTTTCTTGCCGTAAATTACCATATATTATTTCTTTTTTTAGATAAAAAAATCTGACCCCATCGTCTCTATGCACATAATCGAGGAGACATCTCCTCCCACTTGTATGTGACCTTTCGAACTCTCGAAGAAAATGGACGAAGTGTAGAGAATTTTAGAAAAATGCCGCCGACGCCACCGCGACTACAGCTTTGTCATCAATCATTGCTCGTCCAGCTGTAATATAAATGTATCATTAGGAAACGGAAAAAAAAATGAAGGGTAATTTGTTTCAAATATTACTTTTATTTAACTAAAATTTTTAATAAATTTCAATTATGTCGAAATTCTTCTATAATTTTGTTCTTCGAACTCAATTTGTTTCTTTCGTTTGGACATATAATAGATAAATTATCAGTTTTTGGCAAATTAAGCCATAGAAAACAGCGTCTCTATTTTTGTGAGGATTTACGATGAACGGAAGAAAGGGGTAGCGATAATAATTATTATATTTTTCCGTCATTCATTTTTTTTCCTTCACTGTTTATGCGGAACATGTGGAATCTTATCTTCGCTGTAAAATGTTGTATTTTCGACTTGTTAGTCACTTTTTTTGGGATTAGGCATAACATTGGTCTAGTATATATATAATAATAATAAAATACAATAATTAAATTGCTAATAAAATCATAGAAAATTATTATTATTAATAATAATAAAGTACATGTTCCGGTAAACTGTTCGCAATTTGAATTTAGTTGTTGTTTGCTGTTTGGTTTCTTAATTTTTTTATAATTTTTCGTTTCAAATATTTTCAATTTTAAAATTAATGTATTGAAAATCATCGAATTGTTGCAAAGAATTTTACACTTTATAAAGATAATTGAATTGTTTCGAAGGATTTATTAAAATTTTAAGAAATAATTAAATTGCTTTGAAAAATTTTATAGAAATATTTGAAAATAATGAAATTTTTCTATAAATTCAATTAAAGTTGTTTCAAAAATAATATTGAATTTCTTTAAAGAATTTTATTAAAAAGAATAATAATTGATTTTTTTTAGAAAATTTTAAATTATTGTTGAAATTGAATTTTATGGACATTTTTGAAAATAATTAAATTCTTTCGTGTAATTTTATTTAAATTTGATTAAAAATAATTGAATTCCTGCAAAGAATTTTACTATATTTATAAAATTAATTGAATTCTGGCGAAGAATTTTACAATTTATAAAAATAATTGAATTGTTTCGAAGGATTTATTACATTTTAGAAAATAATTGAATTTATTCAAAATGTATTAAAAAATTTTCGAAAAATTGAATTCTTCAGAGGAATTTAATTAAAATTGTGTATTTTAAAATTGTTTTGAAAATAATTGAATTTGTGCAAAGATTTTACAATAAATTTATAAAAATAATTGAATTGTTTCAAAGGATTTATTAAAATTTTAGAAAATAATTGAATTCTTTTCTGAAATTTGATGACGAATTAAGAAAAAAATTTAATTCTTTCGCAAAACTTTATTGAAAATAATTGAACTAATGCAAAGATTTTAGTTCAATTCAATTATTTAAAAAAATTTAATTGAATTGTTTAGAAGGATTAATTAAAATTTCAGAAAATAATTGAATTTTTTCTGAAATTTTATTAAAATTTTGTTAAAAATAATTGAATTTTTGCAAAAAATTTTACTATTTATAAAAATAATTCAATTGGTCCGAAGAATGTTATTATTTAAATGTAAAAATAATAATTGAATTGTACTTAATAAGTGAATTTTAAAAATTTTGATAATAATAATAATAAGTTCTTTTGAATGTTCGAAACTTTAGGAAAATGAATAATGATAAGAAAAAATTTGAATTATGTTTTTTTAACTAACGGACAAAAATATTAAAACAAATGATACTTTTTGGAAACATTTTTTGTACTTTAATAATAACTGAATAATTTTCAGAAGCTGAACTTTGAAAATAGGCGTGGAAATCATTAATAAAATGCAAAAGGCGAGACGCCGATTTTCCGTCAGTCAACCATTAATCTCCACCAACTCTTGACAGACGTGGTTTCAATTTTCCTGAAATTTATTCTTATGCGCTGGGAAAATTAATCTTACTCGTTAATTAAAGTCCATTACATTACAATTTTTACTATTTTTACACTTCTTACATTGATAGTCAACAATATTTGAAACAATCATTTGAAATTCTTGAAAACAGAAATTTTCTCCTTCACTTTTTTATTACTGAAAAATATAGTAATTGCTTCTTACTTAATTTTTCAGTAAAAATTTGTTATCTTATTAAATATTTAATTAATATTAAATTTCTTAATTTTCTGTTTAAATATTTATTCGTAATTTAAAATTTTTATTATTCGTAAAATAAATTTTAGTATGACATTCTGTTTGTTGGTTATTTTTTTGTCTGAAAGTAACAAAAGAATCAATATTGTTGGGATTATTATATTTTTTACTATAGTTTTAAAAAAAAATTTGTCTATCACACCAAAAGATAATGGACTCGAAAAAGTTGAGAGTGAGAGATTAATAGAGACAAAAATTCAATGATAGGGAGAGGAGTGATTTACGGCAAGTGTCAAAAGGAAGATATTCTTAAAAATTACTTTGAAACGCGTCACTGGAAACCGGAAGTACGGTGTGAATCTGTCGTTAAAAACGACATACAAAGCCTTATGGATGCTGCGGCTTCATCCTTTAATAGCAATATATTCTAGAAGATTGACATTCTTTTTTCTTTTCATTTTGTTCTTCTAAGTTTTGTATGTACGTAATTTTCACATTGAACTTTAATTCATAATTCTGTAGATTTAATTTTTTAGATTAATTTTCTAGATTTAATTTTTTATTGTTATTTGAAGAAAAAAAATATCCATTTCTATACTTTTTCCATTATAGGTTTTCAAATATATGGGCGGGGTTCTTCTACCTGTCTCAGCATCGCACCAATAGAGAGACAGAATTTTCTACGCGTGAACGATATTTTATCTTCAAAAGCATCCGTAAAAATGGCTTTCTCACTTCAGAATTAAAAAAAAAATTCTTCGTTCTTTTTGCTGAGGTATTGATTTTAAATTAATATTTGTATTTGCTAAATTAACACAGCATTAATTAAAAATATAATTTTTATTATTATTAATTAATAATTTTACTTATAGAATAAATTATTTTATCAGAATAATTATAATATTTACAAATTAATTCTGATGTGATTAACATAAGTTCATAATTATTGTAAAATTATTGAAAAATTTACAAGAATTTTGAAGGAAAACTATAGTGACCAAAAATAATATTAATAGAAATTATTATTATTATTATAATTACTATCTAATAATTTTCTTATAAAATCAATTATTTTATTTTTTGAAACAGAATTATTTCTTTGAGATATTATTTAAATTATTATTTATTAGCTGTCGTACACGTTATTAACGATTTTTATTTCGACGTGTTAATGTTTATAAATTAATTGTTTTTTTTTAAATGAATTTATATTCATAACAATTGTAAAATTATTGAAAAATTTTTTCCGTTTTACAAGAATTTTGAAGGAAAATTAGAGACAAAAAATCTTTAGCTACTTACCATATACAATTTTAAAAAGCTTTTTTTAGATTCATTGAATCTTCTTTTTTAAAAGAAAAAAGCAATGAATCTTTCGACGACAAGAGTGAAAGAAAGAAATTTCAAAGATACGTTTCCTGAGGTCAAAAGTTACGCGTGCCTTCTATTAGTTTGAAAATTCTAAGAATGATTTTTCCATTTTTGAACTTTTCTTTAAAATAATTATAAATTCCGTTACATAAATATAAAAATGTAAATTTTATTAACAAATAATTGAATGACAAAATGTTTCAGTAAGAAAAGTGCGGCTCCAAAAAGTAATTCAGTTATAAATCCAAAGATTTTGAAACAAAAAAATTATATATTTTCATTTAATTTTTTAAAATTTTTCCTTAAATTTCATTAAATCAAAGTAAAAATTCTTTTAAAGTGATTTTTTATAAAACATTTTCGATCACAGAGACAATATTTTTTGTTTATAAAGTAGTAATTATAAGTAATAAATAATAATAGTAATGAATAATAATAATAATAATAATAAGTGATAAATATAATACCTCGAAAAAAATAATTTTGTTCCAAAAAATATTCATATACAGTTAAGTAGAGGTACAAGTTGTCATAGATTTATTATTGGTATTAGTTTTCATCAATAAATTTAAAAAGAAAAATTTATCGAAATGAGAAGAGGAATTTAACACATGCTGAAAATTTATTAGTGAAGAGAACCAAAAAGTTTTTCTAATTAAATCCAGGGGGTAAGGGATGTTCTTTTTTTCTCTCCTGGGTCGTTTTTTATGTTGCTTTGGGTGAACCAACTGTTGTTTAAGGGGAGAAAAAGAAACGACGCCCCTTCAATGATGTGTTGAGAGTTGAAAATTTTTCGATAGCTTCCCCCTTATATACATTATATAGCTCAGCAGGAGAGCCTGCTCCTTTTTATTGGGTAGTTTAAACCACGCCAGCATCCTGTGTGTACATTTCTATTGTCCATTTTTGCGCTCCGACATTACGGAGTTATTTTATTTTTCAAATTCTTCCCATTTTTTTTTACAAAATTAGAAAAAAAATTTCCGCTGGAAAAATATCTTTTTTTTTTTGTTTTCATTAAATTTATTTAATTATTTATTATAATTATTTATTTTATTATTTATTTATTATTTTTTATTTTCACCGTTTTTTTTCTCGAATGTTAAAATTAATTATTAACAAAATATTTAAATTATTACCGATTTAATTAACAGGGCTCGAACTAGGTCCGTAAATTTGCTTCAAGTCCGTAAAAGACGTAGTTTTTTTGAAAAAAGGTCCGTAATTTGATTGAGAAAAGACGAAAAGTTTGTAAATTGTGCGATATAATTTGGAGAATTTTAGAGAAATTACAAATGATTGCAAAATTCAATTATTTTCAAAAGTAATGAAATTCTTCACAAAAATTCAATCATGTTCAAAAATTTCTAAAAATTCTCGTAAAATTTTCAATTATCGTTATACATAAAAAAATTCTTCTCCAAAATTCGAATATTTTCAAAAGTTTTAATAAAACTCTTGACAAAATTTTAATTGTTTTCAAAAATTTTTCTCAAATCAATAATTTTTTATATCTACTATTTTAATAAAATTTTCCAAAAGAATTTAATTATTAAAAAAAAAATTAAATATATAATTCTACGCAAACCTTTAATTATTTTCATAAAATAATAAAAATTTCAAATGAATTCAATTATTTACAAATTTTTGATAATTTTCTTCTTTTTATCAATTATTTTCATAAATAATAAAATTTTTACAGGGATTTAATTATTTTCGTAAATAATTAAATTCTATTTAGGAATTTAATTATTTTTATAAATAATAAAACTCGTTGCTGAATTTCAAATTTTATTTTTAATATAATTTTTATCATATTCCTCAAAAAATGTAATTATTCTTAAAAATTTCATTAAAATTCGTCAAAAGAATTCAAATATTTTAAAATTTATTGATATAAAATTCTTTATGAGAATTCAATTTTAAGAAATATTCTATTATTTAATAAAGTATTTATTTTTATATTTAAATAATTCAATTCTCGTAGAATTTACTAATAAAAATTGATTTAAAAATTTATTTCAGTTAATATTTTAGATAATTGAATATTGAAAGCAATAAAGCGTTTTTTGAAAAAGTTTAATTGCATATTTTGAAAATATAATTTGAAGTTTTTATTTTCTAATATTTGTTTAATTGAAAAATTTACGAATAATTGCGAAATTTTTGTAAAATTGAATATTGTAAACAAATGGATTTGAAACTTGTTAAATGACTTTTTCGAAAATTATTAAAAATAATCGATTTAAAGAAGAATTTTTAGTTGAAAACACGAAAAAATAATTTAATTTTGGAAAAGTTACAAATTATTGCAGAAATTCAATTAATTTGCAAGAGTAATTAATATTCTTCGCAAAAATTAAATATTGTTCAAGAATAATAAATTTATTCTTAGGAATTTAATTATTTTTACAAATAATAAAACTCATCGCATAATGGCAATTATTTTTAATACAATTTTAATCTATAATTTGTTGAAAAATTTAATTATTCTTAAAAATTTTATTAGAATTTGTCGAAAGAATTCAATTATTTAAAAGTTTATTGATAAAATTCTTTATGAGAATTCAATTTTAAGAAATATTCTATTATTCAATATAAAGTATTTATTTTTATATTTAAATAATTGAATTCTCGTAGAATTTTCTAATAAAAATTGATACAAAAATGAATTTTAGTTAATATTTTAGATAATAATAAATTGAATATTAAGAGCATTAGAGAGTGAATTTCTAGAAGTATTTGAATTTTGAAAAGGTTACAAATTAAAGTCTTTAAAAATATGAATTGTTCATATTTTTAACTATAACAATTAATATGTAGAATTAATTTTTTTGAGAAAGTTGAATTGCTAATTTTTTTTTTTTTTTTTGAAATTATTTAAAGTTTCTATTTTCTAATATATATTTAATTGAAGAATTTACGAATAATTGAAATTTTGTATAATTTAATTCTTGTAATAAATGATTTTGAAAATTATCAAAGAACTTTTTAAAAAATTATTAAAAATATTGCATTAAAAGAAGAATTTTAGTTAAAAACACGAAAAAATAATTTAATTTTGGAAAAGTTACAAATTATTTCAAAAATTCAATTAATTTGCTAGAGTAATAATATTCTTAGCAAAAATTAAATATTGTTAAAAAATAATACAATTCTTCTTAGGGATTTAATTATTTTTACAAATAATAAAACTCATCGCATAATGGCAATTATTTTTAATACAATTTTAATCAAATTTGTCGAAAAATGTAATTATACTTAAAAATTTTATTAAAATTCGTCCGAAGAATTCAATATTATTTAAAAATTTATTGATAAAATTCTTTATGAAAATTCAATTTTAAGAAATATTCTATTATTCAATAAAGCATTTATTTTTATATTTAAATAATTGAATTCTGGTAGAATTTTCTAATAAAAATTTATTTGAAAATGAATTTTAGTTAAAATTTTAGATAATAATTGACTATTAAATGCAATATTTTTGAAGATGTTTAATTGAATTTTTTCATATTA